GGTGGACTGAATGGAAAATAGGAATAATGAAGGCCCCTTGAGAAACGATGCAGAAAACATGGAGGGGAAAACATAAGAAACACGATATGGAAAGCGTGTGCATATGGTCACTTTATTGTTAGGCATCAGTATTTCACCATATCCGCCTGTCGATTCGCCGATAAAATATTCCACCAGATGCAGCTACGTCTCACTGTTACACCAACGCCGTATCATTAGTGCTGCCTATTGACTTACCGCTGGCTGGGATTGCACTTATGCCATATTTTTCAAAGTGAACAAACCGTCACTGTGGCTACCCAAGACATGCTGTGTCGTACCTTTAGGAGTTGACTGACTTTAAACAATGGATGGTTAGGCGTAGTCATTTCGAAACAAATGATGGTGTGATATCTATTTCAACAAATGCATCGGAAAGAGGAAGTTTCGCAGAGTTTCAGAAAAAGTGGAGCTCCTTTGTGTCTGCACTGGAAGTGACTAAGCATAGTGCACTGTAGTGAGAGATAGCTACTGTATGAAAATACGATAGACCGGAGGTAATGTGGTAGAACCAATCCACTTTTGCTTGTCTCCACTCACCAGCAGTTGATAGTGCTGCGACGGGTCCATACCGATGAAGCCGATAGTCACATCAGCAACGATAATATTCCCGCAGAAAAGACGACTATTTCCAGGGCTGATGTCGGTAATTATATTACTCTACGTTATGATGTGTGAACCGCTGACTGCACGCAGTTGTAGAGATGATGACAGAGACTACCTAATCATAGTCAAGATGATGCTAGAAAATGACTTAAGTTATCTTCAGTGTAATGTGATAATATGCATTTCATCTTCAGCCGTGACACCGAATTTTAATGCATCTAACTATCAGACATATTTGTGATAGTTAAAGCTGAAGTTCTTCGATCAGTTCCTGAAACACAGTCAGATGGAAAGAAGCTAACACAATTCAGATAAGTCAAAGCGTTCCTCTGCATAGTTTACTCGGCTGTCTTGAGACACAGACTGAAAAAGATCATATTCCAAAAATACCAGGATACTACCTAACATGATGAGATATGTATTGCAGTTCGTCAATAACCAGTTGAAACGAAAATACGAAAATGTATCTGTACGGTTAAACGATGAGAAGAATTCTCCGATACATAATGCACACCGAACGGCAAAATACAGTTGACTTGAAACACGTCTCAAAAGTGAGATTTGACTTCTGCGAAAGTGCATCGATAATCAATGAAATGTTAATAGAAATGTCAAAAAACTTAGGGTGCTTCCGGATCTTTCGTTATGCTGCAATGATATGCTTTTATGGTACCTCATTCAACCTCATCAATAAGTGGAAGCTCGAGTCCTATTCTATTCATTTTCAGATGAAGACCTCGCCCAACTGTAAATTGGCTTAAGTAGCTACTGTGTAATCAGAAAGTATCCTAAGAAGATGTGTGACTGACAGTCTGGAAACATGATGACATTGAACCTGTTGCATTTTGGCTGCAGCGCTCTATGTGCGTCGGTGGCACAGTGGTTAGGACTCTCGCCGACCATGCACATGGTCCGGGGTTCGATCCTCTGCCGGCGCACACCCGATATCTATGGTCGGCCCGCGAAATTCGGGCTACCGATATCCATGCTGAAAATTCCACACTTGTGCTGAAAATACGGTGTGGAATCAAGCTGTAAATCAAAGTAAAGTAAGTAAAGTAAATATGTTGTTTCGGGACAAATCATGATACCCAATCATTTTCAAAAGTAGTAATAATTGCTTTATTTTAAAACAGTACTTATGGTGTGGTGAGAGCCCAGTTTGCTCGGAAGCAGCCAAAACAAGAAAATTATATTACTACAGGGTATGCGTAACCAAGATTAATAATAGCAGGTGTTTGGCATTTCCGATGACAATAAAGTCAGAAATGTATAAAAAGTGTAAAATAATGATGATAATATTGATAGTGAGAGTTATAAGCCAATTGAAAGTGTCACTATAGATCACAAATAAGACAGGATGACAAAGAGAATTATTCCGCCAATAACTTAGTATGCCGTAGGTTTCACCCTTAACTCTATCATGTAGAAAGTTGGCTTAATATGATATCGGTGAGTTTTTGTATTTGTTTGCACGAGCATACTCCTATTCGATGAGATGCAAGGGCGGATTCGGGGATAGAGAGGGTTTTGAGAGTTAGACAATATGGAGTTAGACCATTTCTGACTTGAGTGCAGTTGCCTGTCGACTACTATAGTAAAATGCTGAAAACTTTTAATATCCTGCTATTATGACACAGTCCTACTTGAATAGCCCAGGAAATATCGAAATGGAGCAGTTAAGCACAATAGGTAAGATGCAAGTGTTGAAAAGTGGTAAAAGTAGACTGAGTGACTTGATTTCCTGCATCAACTTAATCTTGTAAGGTAACAGACACCACATTGTAGAGTGGATAAATCATCTTGGACGAATAGATGATAACGGTGCCGTTCTAGGACCTCATGCATTCCAGTTGATAAATAAGTACATGTGGAACCATTTACCTTCTTGATGAATACGGAAAATGCTATCCAGAATGAGTGTTTTCATGCCCTTTTAATGTCAGCGCCGCAGTCATCCATCAACTTTTGCCATGGGTATTTATGAAACAGGCCTTTTAAATGGAACACTTATTCAGCATCAGGAAAGAAGCGACTGATGGATTGCAGTGTGATATAGTGGCCCAAGCCAGTTCGGAAAACATTCACCAGAACTTGTGCAGTATGTTAAGACGCTTGCATTTCCCTGGTGTTCTTAAGTGGACTGTTATTTCAGTATAGCATATGATCTTATTCCAGAGGGTCATATTCGGCAGCATGAAAACGTAGAGGACTGATGGCTGCATACTGAAGTGATGGCTCTGAATCATTCATCTACCAAAGGCCTAAATTGGAATCGCTTGCATTCCATTTCAAAAACAGCTAAGCATCATTACAGTGTACTGAACCGTGAGGAATGTTCTTCAAACTACTGACTCGGATGATTATCTGTTTCAACAAAATTTGGTGGTGAGGGTTCTCATCAAACTTGTAAATAAGCATAGTATATAGTAGTCAGTTCCATCAAGAGATATGTATTCATGTCAAATTGACACTTAGTTGAGATATACTGGGAATCTAAATGCAACACTAATGCCAGTTAACTATGGTGAACGTTTCACCTCTTCCTATTTGATTTTCACGACTGCATCCAAACGATAAGAAAAATCATACAGTGATATTTAAACGTGGATTTGAAGACAGCGGGCGAGAGTCATATTGTTGCAGTGGTAACAGCAATATTATTGGTGATAAAAAGAAATGCAGGAACTAAACTTACAATAATATATGAAGCGTAGTCGGCATTTATCAAAAATGTTAGAATACCACTGAATTTCTGTCTGACTCACAGATGGTCAATATTTACATGATGTGAGTTCTGATTTGCAGATTTGCAAATTAGTTCATGTTCCTGCGAAGTTTAAATGCCCTATAGATGTATTCATCTAGGTTACTGTAGGTCATGATACTGCGGAATCCATTGCTTTTCCTGACTCTCTCCTTCAATATAACCCTACCTAATTGTAGAGGTTTTCGGAAAACACAACCTTGTTAATAAGTAGAATGTTGCACCCACCCTCATCAAATCCATAATGGCAGATATAATTTGATCGGAGATAACATATCATAGCGTACCGCAAATCTGACTGACTCTTGTGGTTCAAAGTTTGGCAGACCTTGACTTTGACTATGATAGTTTGACTTCACCAACTGAAGGGTATCTTGAGACCACCTTCACGGTAAATCATGCATAGCACTTAAGGACTGGTTGCAACTCTAAGGCCGAAAGAAATAGTACTTTACGTGCCAACCGTATTAAGTCATTTGAGGTAATTCCGTGGCTTTTCATGCAGACGCAGTAAACAGTGGCATACAGTTTCCTCGGAAACCGAGGAGTATCTAAGACAATCCAGCAATTCAGCAGATAGCCACATTCTTTATCAGGTTGGGCACCATGCTAATCAGCCTAACCACGGCATAATTTATCCAATTCACCGGGATGCCACAGCAGTATGTGGTAAATAATAAAAAATCCATTGCTCTTTAGTCTCAGGTCAATTGATGTGATCCGCTAGATCCACTAAGAATTGGGCTTCTAAGCACTGAATGGAATTTGTGTAACTCCATAAGTAGTGGAGGAGAGCGATTGTCCCTCTTGTTCTTTAACATAGTCATGGACCAATTATTAAAATTGAAGGACCTACAACACTACTGGTGTCACAAATAATGGAAAGCCTTCCGAAAGCTAAAATCCTCCTGAAAAGCTACCATGGAACTGTTCATGAAGGGGCGCTTATCAGAATGTTGTATCTTGCAGGAGTCCTCGTCTTGCATTACAATAAGGTAGCTGCGGTTAGTGTTCTAATGGCAAAGATCTTTAAATGGCATCTAGATGATTAGACTGTCTGCCTGAAAATAGTGCGGCGTGACCTCTACATACTTTGTTCTCAAGGAGTAATGTTGAAAAGATTCATAATCTCACCTATATTATTTTGCAGGTATTCTTATAAATGATGCTCGTGTAATTATTTTCGCATATATTCAAGCATTTATTTACTGATTTTGGTTGGCATCAATATTGTCATTACCATTCTGTTCCACTCAGGAATAACAAACGAAAAACTTCAGTGGGATCTGGCCTCGCACACAATTGCCTCAGAGTCCTAGCTTACCCACAAATAAAGCCATACTCCCAATAACTTAAGGGTTTAGCTGATCCGCAACGAATTATTAGTTGGATTGACCACTGAGGTATTTTATTGTTATCAGTAGAGCAAGAAAGGAATATAAATTTTTTAATTGAATATTGAATAATTGTTTGACTGAGTGTAAGCGTGCTTGCGTTAATACAAAAAATAAACAATTATCGTAACTACGGTTGTTTAGACTTAATGTGTGTATTGTGGAAAACCTTTTAGTGATTGGGCAACATTTTTATGGATTCTCGATTCAAATTAGTACTTTCAGTGGTGACGTCGTATTTTAATGTGAATGGCGTGAGCGTAGAGGAACTGGAAAATGAGGAGCATGTTGATGACTTTTTAAATCAAATAAACGTTTTCATTCTTACCTGTCATCTAAAGAGCAATGATCACTTATCCTTCAGCAACCAAGTGAGTTAATTGCTTTATACTCTGATTTTTAGCTTGCCTACCGAGACAATGTAAAGCAAATGCTTGTATTTATCAAAATACAACCAACTTACATTGATGAGAAGAACTGGAAATCAGTCGTGATGGTTTGTTACATTCCTGGATCTCCTGTGGTAGGCTTTTACAACTCTGTCAGTAAATTGTTCGCTCCGTTGTTACTAAAGGTATGTGAAAGTAAACCAACCTAATATCTTATAGAATAATGAGAAATTAGTGCTTCAGGACCCGAAATTGCAAACAGCTCTCACTGATTTAGCCGCTGGGTTATCTGCGATTGTCAACGAAGAAGATTCTTCTGAAAAAAACACAAGTAATTATCCTATATATACATATATATGTATGTATATTCATTATATACATTTCGCTCTGTTTCTTCTTGCGAAACAAGTCAGTTCTCTGGCATGCATGATATTTAGAAGTTACAGAAACAATTTTTAATCAGTTTGAGAACTCAAAACTAGTGTATGTGACCACACACTTGAACCTCGAGGCTCAAGTCATTTCCACCTTTGGTAATTTTGTGCATATATATGACACTTCATATGCAACTTTCAGTAGGCCAGGATTTAGATATTCTTCCTTTCAAACTAGTGACTGTAATGATTGAATATAGGTATAATTGCACTGAATTTTATTTAAGACAGAAGTTAAGATATATGTCAAATTCATATAATAAGGATAGAAGGTTCTTCTTGTCTATGTTAATCCTTGCAATATATATCTCTGCAGAGATCTAATTTCTCTTTGAAAGCGTCCACCGATGGGGCTGTTACTATTGAGTCAAGTAAGGAGTTGCAGTCGTTGACCACTCTGTGAGAGAATCTAAATTCCACACTTATTTTATTCGACCTCGGTCTGAGCACCTTTTGTGGTGACCTCGTAAATTTATCCTAGAAGTAGAGAAAAGATTAGAAAGGTCAATCCCTAAATCATTCTTTAATATACGGTGTGCCAAAGTTAAGTCGCCCCTCCTGCTCTGGTATGATAATGGGAAGAGATTTAAATGCCCCATCCTCTTGTCATAAGGAAGGTGTGAGATACCACTAAATAATTTGGTTCCTACCCTCTGTACTCTTCCCAGGATATGTGCCTCCTTCTTGAAGCATGGACTCGCCGCTTGTGTGCAGCATCCTGGATGAGGTCTGGCATATGTTGCATAGAATGCTTAGAACACAGACTCATCTAATCGTTTGAAAGCCCTTCGAAGTGCCCATAGCATTCGAAAAGCCGTAGCTGCTGCTCCACTACAATTTGCCGTTGTTTTTAAGTCATGGCTTACAATAATTCCTAAGTCCTTTTGTTCCCTAACATCTGGCAGTTTTGTTTCCCCCAGGGAGTACGACGTGTAAGACTTCTGACCTAGGTGCATTACCAAAGGTTAGCCTATTCGGCTAATTTATCTAGATCGTTTTGTAGTACCAACCTATCATCGTTACTATTTACGGTTTTTTGTATCTTAATATCGTCCGCAAATAATAGGGAAGATGAGGTAAGAATTTTCGGCACTTCATTTACGTGTAACAGGAATAGCAGGGGGCCAAGTACAGTTTCCTGAGGTACTCCAATCAGTGCTGCTTTCCACCCTGACAGTACACCATTAACCCTTACCTTCTGCCTTCTATCCATCAGGTAGTCCCTAAACCACTCACTAAGGCGTTGGTCTAATCCAGAACCTTTTAGTTTATTACCTTATTGAATGCTTTACTAAGATCGATAAATACAATATGCAACAGATGGTTCTTATCCGTAGCTTTGACTCAATCTTCCCTAGCTAACAGTAGATTTGTCAGGGAGGATCTTCCTGGTCGAAATCCATACTTCTCCACCGCCAGTAAGCCATGTTTCTCCATATTAGCTAGGATCTGATCCCTTATGATTGTTTCTAATACCTTTGCTATAATGCAGGTCAGACTTGCAGGCCGGTAGTTAGATACCAACTGCCTTTTCATCTCTTTGAGTTGGGACTTATAATTGCATCCTTCCAGTCCCTTGGTAGCCTAGCCTGGGTCAGAGACATTTGAAAAATCTCCGTAAGTGGAAAGTATATTACATCCTCCAGGGTGAAGTACATCGGGTTCAGGTGATTTACCTGGCTTCAGTTTAGACAGTAGTTTGCGTCCTCTACCACAATTGAGGCCATTTTAGTGGCGATGGTGGTGACCTCGCTATACCCCTGGGTGGCATGACTAGACGAAAAGACATCGCAAAAGTATCCCGAGAGCTTTTCAGCTTTTGTTTCGTTTGACTCGGCCGCCTCTCCAGTACTGCTTATGAGTGACGATATAACACTGCTAGTTTTAGTCCTATGTTTTATATACGAGTACAGTCGTTTTGGATAATCTACAAAATCCAGTACTAACTGTCTCTCATACTCTATACGACTTTTGTCAGTCATATACTTTCAAAGGTTTTGAATTTTGCTGTAGTTCATCCGAAACTCCTCCCTCCCTGTCATAGTAAGCCGGTCCCAAAAGTTCTTTCGGTGTCTTAATAACCTCCTTATTTCATTACTAATCCAAGGTGGTTTATGCGACAGCTTTTGAGGCGTAGACCAAGGTACAAAGGGTGCAGTGACACCTAAATCCCATCCAAGCTTCATCAACAGTCTGGTGTGTATCAACAGACCAGTCAGCTAGGGTTGCTGCGTTTAGGATTGCAGGTATATTCGCTTTCCGAATGTTTGGACGAGCAGCTGTTGGCCTATGTATTACACCGTGAATCCTGAACGTAAAAGTGATACCTATATGGTCACTACTGCCTAGCGGCGCCAGGCACCTAATGTCACTGACATCCTCCTTCTGGTGTGTTAGCGCCAAATCTAGAAGGGACGGATCATGTTCAGAGTGGTATCATGTTGGCGTATGCATAGGCTGCACAGGTGCGCATTCAAGCACTGTCAGTTTGAGTTCCCTGTTGAAACAAGTATACAAGCTAGTTGATGTTAATTACTCCCAATTAATATGTGGAGCATTAAAGTCACTTACTATCAGACATCTATTTCTACTTCTCCACTCCCTGAGGTGATTTAATATGAAATCGTCAGCTTAGCTGGCAAAACTTCTATAAATAACCTCAGTCGTCACAGTGCCCTCGTTCAAGTTAATGACAGCTTGAGGCTCCACTAATGCCGCTGTCATGCGCTTCTGACAACTCTGACTTAATTCCTATGTGATTTCGGATATGTAGGGCAACCCCATCAACTTTTCCACTAATTACTGTGTCTGCTCTAATGCAGATTTACCCATGTATGAGTTGAGTTGAGTCTACACCCACTAAAAACCGTGTTTCCCAGTATTATCTTCAGTAGTCGTCAGGAACTTTCCGTTGCATCAGCACTTCGTTTACCGATTCTGATGACCTTTCTTATGTGGACTCCATTTGTTTTTCTTGGGAAGTTCTTCACGAATAATGTAGCTAACTACCTTGAGATCATCAGCATGTCGGGCAGCTGGATCTCCTTTCTTCGACTCCTCTAAGTTCCAAATTATGATACTGTAATTTGAGTCCGAAGGTTTCGAAATCGTATTAAAAATATCAAAAGTGCCACCACGTTGGCGCATCAATGCATTTGAAGTTTCTGACAATCGAACCCGGAACATCTTGCATGGGAAGCGAGCACTCTACCACTGAGCTACTTCCCCGCTAAATATGAGAAAGTTGTATTCGAGGTATGGTGTTTATAACACGGGAAAGAAAATTTATCTCTTGCTTCAGTTTTTGAGTGTTTATAAGCAGTAACCTCCAAGCAACTCATTATAAAAATGGTAGTTACAGCAGTGAGTAGCATTTTTGTTTGAGGTAAAGATTATTCCAATTATTTTGCGGTTTTATTGGTCGGCACAGATAAAAAGACATAAGTAGTTCTAGATCTAGAAAACTTTAAACTTAGTTGTCACCTTCTGTTATTATTGTTATTGTCTCCTTTAGTTCCTAGAGGAACAGAGGACTTCAACCTCACATTTCATTGCGTTTGGTTCTCCGCCAACGTTTTCACCTGACTCCATGTCAGCCCACCTGCTTTCATCTCTTCTTCACATGACATTCTCCATGTCACCCTCGAAAAGACGACCAACTCACCGCTTCCCATTCGGCTTCCACTCGAGCGAGAGCTTGGCGTGTGATGTCCCTTGATGGTTTTTCTTCTATTTAGATCTTAGTATTGTCATGACGTACAAAAATAATTGTTCATAAATATATATTTCACATTTTATTTAGATATTTTCACTCTTATGGATGAGGTCAACTACTGGCGTAACAAATCACGGTCTTCTTCAAGTAACAATACAGATGAAAAGAAACGTTGCGAGTTCTTTGCATGTCTTATAGAAAGCCCAGCTCAAAAATGTGTACAGATTGAGTCCGCATCTCAGTTGGCAATGAATATCAGAATACCTTCACCTGCTGATTCAAACTACCAAGCTAATGATGTACAGGATCAACTGTCTTTCGGGACAGGTTTAATAGACTTAGTGGAAATTCTTGATTCGCTTCTTATGGATACTTTGGATGATTTATGGAGGTGTTCAGATTCACGTGTATCTCAACCCTATCCAGAGAAAAGAATGCGTCAGCTTATTGAAAGTTTAAGTCACTGGACTGTACGTGTGATTCAGGGCTTCTTGGGTAGTATGAACAAATTGTCTAAAGATAATGAGATGATGTTTTCAAACTTATGGATTTTACCTTATAGTGAAGTAAGTTTTCAAAGGATCCAGTGTGATCATTTAGTTGGGTTATTTTAATAATAATACAGACGTTATATCAAGTTATTACAGTTATTATCTGCAGTTTTCTTCTTTAGCGTACCATATTGTCTTCGAATAAACTGACCAGGACTTTTGTTTCGTATCTCACCATCTAACGTATACGACCTGGCTCTCATGCATGATGTATGAAGGTAACAATTAAATGGGCTTTTACTGGAATCCAATACGAATCCTGTTTGCTAGAGTCTAACTGTCTTATGCTTCTCCTATTTGGCTTTCATTAGATTATTTCCTAATTTTTACTGTTTGGTAGCTTACTGATGAAAGGACTTTAGCTGAAAATGAGTGAACATTAATATTTGGATATAGTATGTCTGTAAAGTGTATTGGACATTTGGATTCTTTTCTCCTTTCCATTCACTTGGCACGATTGTATATCAAAGACTAAAACAGTACTTTCCCCACTTCTCTAGAGTGAAATTACATCGACTGAGATGGTTAGGACATGTCTTATGTATGCCTGGTCATCGCCTTCATCGACGGGCAATGTTAGCTGACATAGGGTCAGGCTGGAAAAGAGCTAGTGGCGGTCAAACCAAAACATGGCACCAGTCAATAAAATCCACAACAGTTAGTTTAAGCCACGTAGGTATGTGTTAACTTCCTGGCTAGTTGGGGTCCTCGGGACAGTAAAAACCAATGACTGGAGACACTTGGTGATTTGGCTCAAAATCGTTCTCAGTGGCGTAGATGCATCCACTCCTTGTGACTTATAATTTCCGATGAAACTATTTTGTTCTTCGTTATTACTATTCATTTTCTCTCATCCTGTCTACTGTCTCTATCTTGCATTTCTTTTTAATTTCTTCTCTTACTTTGTGTGCTACATGGAGTGTGGCGACTCAAACTGCCGCACATCGGTGCAAAGTTCTATGTCGAAAACAGACAGACAGACAGACTTCTCTATAGTTTCGAGTGGTTTGGCTATTTGTTTGTAATTGCAATGCTACCAGTTGCACATCTGATAGATCTCATTGATTTAGGAGCTTAATTGATAGTACTTTGGTATTTGAAATGGTGGGTTCTTGGTGTAACTAAGTCTCAATCGATGTAGGGGGATTCAGTTGACTAGTCGTTAGTAGGACAGGAAGTAACTTCTGGATTCTACCACTAGCCATCAGCGAATGGAAAACTTCTCAAACGATTTCCAACTCACAGCTTCAGGATAATTATGTCCACCCACAGCTTAAATAATGCTGTATGAAGCACAGTTGCTTATAACTTCAATCTTTAAACTATTTTGTGCTTTCAATTACTTCTTAGAATAAATGTGTGACTAGTATTGGGTAAAATTCTGACTGATACACTAATTTTATCAGTAAAGATACCTAAACTCTGCGTTTGGGAACTAGACAGCCAAACTTAGAACAATGCATAAAAAATGTATTCATATAACTTGTCACACGCACGTAGAATGATACTCTGACGTATGGGCGTGAGCACAAAAGAAAGAAAACAACTCAATCCGGAAATGTAAGAAAAAATCAGCAATTCTGAAAATGACACTTGCTAAATATGCTGTCACGGAGATCAGTTCTGAGAAGCCATATGAACAATTAATTTCTCTCCACCTACGTTTACAATTTCGAGTACTCCGGTCAGACTTTCCTATACTTCGTCAGACAGTTAAGGCTAATGATCTACTGTAAAGCTTTTACAGTTTAATATTACTTCAGCTAGCATTGCTGTTTGAGGGGGATGGTAGGCAGTTATGCACAACGCCTGCTGATGCATATTCATAGCTTTATTCATGTCATTCAATACTCCTAACCCCGATCTGCATACTCTAATTTTGTCGGCCATGACATAAACTTCATTTACCTTACGGTTTATTATGCAAAATTTCGATAGATTTTGTTTACTGACTTGATTTTACGATATAAGTTAGTAAATTATATAATAACTTATAAAAAAATATTACAAAACAGTCTATAATGACGACTAAAGGTAGTAGTGCCTTGGAGGGAGTTTCAAGGCATTAAGAACTATACAAATTACCAGTCTCAGAAGTTGTTAACTTTTAGTGGAAACTGTGTCTGAAGTATAATGTCCATAGACGGAATTCAGTAGTGGTTAGGAATAGAAAACTGAAGTATTCAAATGACTTAACCCATAAAATTTCTCAGTCTTCCTCTTTTCTTAAATCTTCAAATTTATAATTGGATGGAGGATTTCATCATGAACTGACATCAGTTAGAGAACCACTGGAAAACCAGCTGAGAGTGCTGAAGGGCTGTTTCGTCATGGTTTGGGACTCTTCATCGGTACTAGGATAAAACCGCTGTCCAGTACTCCCAGTTGGTTTTCCAGTGGTTCTCTAACTGATGTCAGCTCATCTAGATGAAATCTTCCATGCAATCAAACAAAATCCCTACAAAACCAATACTTGAAAACTTGTAATTATCACTTTGGTTTTGTTTCTTTTCATGTGGAGTTCCATTTGTTTTACTTCTATTTTGAGGATTAGATGCCTACACTGATTGGCTACTACGGCTGCTTAGTGTAAGTACTGGGTGAATTCATTCAGTCAGGTTTGGAATTTGGTCACCAAGTCATGTAATTGGTCAGGTGGATGGATGTCTTGAACCCATGCTTTGTTCTTATTAGCACTCGTTTACAAGGCTTATTTTTATCCTCGAAGAAACTAGTATTACCTAGTAGGACTGGACATGTGTCACCTAGTTTAGCAGTCAAAAACATTAAATATAAGCTGTATGGACTCAGGGTTGATCATCCTTAGCACTGTGATGAAGTAACTAGTGTGAAGTATCTAGTCCTAAGTATTGACGCTATTTTTCTTGATAAGTGTCTGGTAATATTTAGTCTAATATTGATTGAATTTCTGTTCATTTTTCAAACTTGTTGAATAAAGACTTGTGTAATACAGTGTAATAAATTATACACATGGGGCAGTAAGCTTTTAGATATAACTCATGAATGTAAGTGACTGATATAATCTTCAGAAATTTTATGGAATGTAGTAGTAGTTAGCAGTTTAGACAATAGTTATATTGTTCAAACAGTTTGTATTATTAGTATTACTATCATTATTCCCTTGGGTTCCAAAATGGAACATCAGGCTTCAGCAGTACATCTCCATTTTCTCCCAGTCTCTGTAGTCCTTTTTAGCTGGCTCCATTATTGTCCGTATGCTTACATCTCGCCCATTCCATCTTTGGACCATGACCCACTTCGTTGTTTCCCATTTCCGCTTCGCTCAAGGGCCTGTCTAGAGTGTGACGTCTCTCAACGCACTCCGCAGAGTGTGTCCAATCTATCTTCATTTCTCTCTGCACATTTGTTGGGCAATAGGTTGTTGGTTGACTTACTGACGACTACGTGAACTTCAGTATTGAGCTAAGGTAGCTGCTAGTGGAAGTCTGCAGGAGGCTATTGAATATGCTTTTCATGATGCGTCCAGCCTCTCAAACATTATTCATAAACACTGACATGATATTAATGCTGGAAATTCGGATCTTGTTCTTTACTCTAAGTGCAGTAGATTCCCATTCTGATTTCAGAGTAATGAAGATTTGTTCAGCCTTTCTAACTCTTGTCTTGACAGTGTCATCTATGCTCCCTGTGGTTGGAACAATGCTGCCTAGATAAGTGAAAGAGAGAGACTTGTATGTAATATATAAAGGGATCGATCTCCGAACTTTCAAGTCACAAGGTTAGGCTAGTAATGAAACCCATAATCCAAATCTCAGTTTCCATTTCATTGGCTGCTACTAGATGGATGTCTTGAAGTTTTAACGCGAAGTCATGACCCGTAAAGTCCATCATGTCAAAATGGAATAGGTGTTCGTTGACGGCACTGGCTGGAGGTAGTACTATATCACGAATGGACAGAAGTTAGAAATCATGGGTCTTTGAATTCCAACTTATGTGGCTGAATGGTCAACAAGCATGGCCTCGTAACCTGAAAGTCCTGGATCTTATTCATGGTGGTGACGTTGTGGGTTCACACTCCTGAAGAGTCCCAGACTAGTGTGATACATTTATTCCACCCTTCATCGTTTTCAGTAATTCTCTAACTGAGGTTAGTTAGTGACGAAATCTACATTGATGTTAATAGATTACAGAAACATAGTTGTATAGTTGTAGCAAATGTATTTCCCACTGACTCACCATCAAATATTTTTCACTTGGATATTAACCTTTTTTAAATACAGCTGTTGTGTGATCTTAAATGGAATTCGCCTTTTGCAATTTACACACAGTTCGGGGAGAAATTTCACCACAATTTACTTTGAATGTTTGTGTGATCTACAACGACTGGTCAGTACACATGATGATTGTACCATAGTGGGGACTGTAATAGAAACTAGGTCTAATCGGAAATACCTTGGTATTGTTATGTCCTCTAACCTTACTTGGTCATCCCATATTTTGTGGATCCCCAAGAAAATGTTCCATCTAAGCTACTTCATTAAGAAACTAAAACCACCTGGAATCACTCAATCTCTGCTCTTACAATTTTATTGAATCGTGTATCTTACCTATTATACTTTACTGCTCCCTCACCATAGTCTTTCCTACTGAGCTACTTAAAAAGCACTATAGAATTCTGAGAATCGTAATAAAGATTGTCAGTAGGGTAAGTGGTGTACAACTTAATAAGGCAGCTTGTCACTACATTAGTTGATGTACATCTGAATTCATGCGAGAAATAGTCTAAATCCATATTGTCTGACCCTCAACACCCCTTGCATTTTCGAATCTTCCATTGTATCTCATCTGGTAAAACTAGAAGTCAGTACAAAATATTATATGCTCGTACTAGTGAGTATAGGAAGTCAGCGATACCATATTTGGCCAGACAGTATTCTGTGCGATAGAGACAATGTAGAGCGTGAAACTTATGAATTACTGTGTTGTTAGCTAAATAGTTGACCCTATTGTTATCTCATATTCGTAATCTATGGTGACACTACCTCAATTAACTAACAATCTTAGCAACTAACCTTATTACTATTTGCAATTTTTTGGTATATATTTATATAACTTCACTGTCATTACAAATACCAAATAAAGACTGCCATTAACAATCCTGTGATATTATCTTTATAACTAACTGGTAGATGGTGACTAGCAGTGGAATCCACCAGGATGCGTATTTCGTCCTATTTGGGACCTATCGGCTGGATGTACCTGCATTCCCTAGTGAATCATGATCATGTTTCCAGAGAGGCTCGAACCCAGTGCCGATAGTTTCAAACGCCAAAGCGTTATCCACTAGACCGCTTGGGCCACGAGAGCCACTTCTTGTGCAACGGGTCCTATTAATTATTTAATTCAATTTTAGATTTTCCCGCCTCATGAGATGACGGGTACCAAATAGGACGAAACGCGCATCCTGGTGGATTCCACTGCTAGTCACCATCCACCAATTAACTTCTAATTACTTGCCCAGACATCGTCGAAGCATCTGCACAAGAAACCAACAGACATGTCAACCTGAGACCGAGCACTTCGGTCCAATCAATCGACGGGAAAAATCTAAAATTGAATTAAATATCCTTATAAAGGTTTTTAATATTATTCGATAAAATTAGATGCAATGATGTACCAAATGCTGAGAATTCCACACTGTTTTGGAATAAAGCAAATGGTTATTATTATTCCTTTGGGAAGCAAAATTCTTTACATCACAATGTGTATTCTGCTTGATGCCATAAATCGCAATCAGGAAAGCAAGCGTATATGCCAGGCGTCATATACTACTGATTGACTTTCATGAGTAGTTGGACTACGCTCATATCAACCAATAGTGCTAACTTGTGAAATCTAAAATTCCAATTGTATCGTACTTTTTGCATAACTCTACCACTCGGGCACTTTTATAAAGGAGAGAATGTGACCAATGTTTTTCATTGTTTCAACATAATTACAAAACGATGAGTATATCTAAAAAAATATTTGGCTTACATTTCCTGTGGAAAGAATGAAACAGCTGACTTTAGATCAGTGTGAATAGGTGTATTTTCCCTTTTTTATGAGAATTAAAAGTATGCTTGATTCTTACGTGGTTAAAATGATCGGAACAAAGAATCCAGAATGAGCTTTCGTCCGATGTGAGACTCATCAACTGGATGTACTAGCATTCCTATTGAGTGATTATCTTTCTATTCAGACTCAAACCCACCACCCATTACTTCAAACATCAGTAAGTTAACTACTAGGCCAAGCTGAGTGTTGCGTTCCAGTCTTAGTGAGAACGCCATCACTCACTGAAGAATGGAGGTAGATCCACAAAACAGGCTGCCAACTGGACGAAACGTCCATCATGGATTCCACTGTTAGTTACCATCCACCAAGTTGCATTATGTTAATTCTCGTGTCAATAGAGACCGGAAATTTGCTCGGCCTGACATTATCTAACCAACGGGAAATATAAAATTCACTTGAACAAATAACTGCTAGTCAACTGAGAATTCTATTCCTTGTAAGCAGATACATTGCCGGTATATCAGATGGCTAGAAAAGATTAGGAACAAGGAACTCTGACAATGAACTAATCATAAACTATTGCCCAGAAAATATTCCGAAGAAAATGGAGATGTATAGGGCAGATGCTGAGGAGACCGTTGAGTGACATCGCACACCAGGTATACCCTCGAGTGGAACTGAATTGGGAAACGAGTTCGGCATGGGTCCGAGAGTGATACGAAGAATATCGAGTGAGAAGGAGATGACACCCTGTGGGTAGGGATGGAGCTATCTACAAAAGGTACTGCTTTGCCCTTGGAACATATACAAGAATGTTATCCTATGTAACCATCTTCTAAACATTGCGTTATTTGTATATAGGACGTTAATTTCGAATTACGCACTTCTACTTCAGACGCATCTGATTGGTCGGTAGAGATTTGTTAAGTTCTTTATTAGGCAGTTTCGTTTTGGGCTGCTATAGTTTAAAGTAACCCTTTATTCTATACGGTTAAATCATTTGACAAATAATGCATATTTTATTATTAACTTGTAACTATTTAACTTTGCTTATAATTTTATAATTTTAGGTTAAAAGAGCTATTCTTTTGGGTATTCAAGCATGCGATCAGTGGATGAAGAGTAGTCATATATTAACTCAACAATTATGGTCACGTTATACGCCACATCCATGGGATGGTCCTTCACCAAATTTAGCCTATCTAACACAGTTTAAAAATCGTTTAAATGAAGTAAGTTTTAATGTAAAAAGAAAACAAATATAATTTCTTATATTTGCACAGAAATTTAAAATAAATACAATGAACAGAAATGTGGTCTGGAAGATTACTGAAGTTGATTTCATCTGAGTCAATAAGAACAACTTTAAGCCACATCACCAGTAGTCTCCATTCATTGTTTCTTAGCATCCTAAGGACTCAGACCAGGTGGTCTACACCGCTCAATGTGTTTGGCTCAAACCAACTACCAAATACTTGATGGATTGATTTCAGGTTTGGATCTGACTATCCTTAATTCTTTTCCAACCTTATCCTATATCACATAACATTACTCGTTGAGGAAGGCGGTGACTTGGCATGCTTAACACTATCATATTATCAATCAGTAGTACAGATCAGTGAGTTGATTCCAGTTCAATCGATTACTAAGCTACTAACCTATATAAGCCATCATTGTATCTACTGATTTTGCTCTTTTTTATCTATCAACTCACCTTCAGAGTCTCCTTTTCCCCACTTGTTATATTTGAACTGAACTGAATAAACCCCGTCGCTACTCTGTTATGTCTGCGCCTGTTAATTACTAAAACGGTAATGAACTTGACTGGTACGCTAATACGTCTGTTTGTCCGTTGGAGCTTCCGATTCACTGAGCCACGCAAATATTAAAAGACAAAGGCTGGCCTGTGACTGTAAGATATTGTATTATTGTACATCTACTGGGAAACAAAAAGTCATATTTATAAAATATTTAATTTATCACAATACAGTTGACTCACAACCGTGAGAATGGATTGTTCTTATTGGCTGGAAATGTCTATTGTTATCCGACAAAGATCAAGGTGAGACAAAAGACGATGAATATTGATGTCACACACTAAATCACAATATATGCGTGAGAAATGATACATTCACAGAGTAGTAACTTCATGACAAGATAAATCACACGATTTGTGAGAAGGGATGATATACTTTTTTATGCTGGGTCTGGTCTTATCACCTCTAAACCTATTTTTCTGCCAATTTTTTTTCTCTACAGATCCTTAGTTTAAGAGGCCTTTATGAACATTTATACCATTTCACGACAACTGCTGAACATATTGAATTCAAAATGGATTGTGGATTGGCTAATTTCATATTTCATACATTAGGATATGATGGTTCTAAAACAACAACAACAGAAACAACGGTTTCATCCATGCTAAAACAATTCATCAATCCTTTAATCTATAATCCATATACAATGGAGGAATGGATATCGGCAAAGAATCTGATTGATGCACGTCTACGACCGATCGAAGAGTGTGCAGCTTCTCGATTTAAAACTAGACTGTTAAGTTTGTCTAGTAGAATTGATTGTAAGTTTCCTATTGAAGTGTGCATATGTTATCCTCAGTGATTTGTAGGTTCAATGCTAATACTGTCGTGGATACCAAATACTTCTGAACCCCCAAGATCTCACTAACATGAAGGTATAAGACAACCTGATGTCAGGGGATTGTAGGTAATCGACAGGAGGCCCTGAACTCAGCTTTCGGGCTTGTTGGTGCTCGTTCGCAGTGTGATCACAATACTACGTGACTGATAGGATTTGGTCTGCACCAAACAAAGAACTGGATACTTGACATTAGTTCCTATTGATTATCTAATCAAAGTATTCATCACAGTCCTACATAAGGTTAGTTGCGAACCCAAGTAGCTCAGTGCTGGCATCTGTGACTGCACCGATGGATGTTCTGGGCTTGAATTTCAACTGGCTGACTGGTTTCAACATAGAACTTTGCACCGATATGCAGCAATTTAAGTCGTCACACTTCATGTGGCACACAAATCAAGAGAAGAAATTAAGAAGAAATGCAAAATAGAAACAGTAAACAGAGATATGAGGCAAAAAGAATAGTAATATCGAAGAACAATATAGTTTTATTGGGTATCATAAGTCACACGGAGTAGATGAATCTGTGCCAGTCATTGAGAACGACTTTGACCCATATCACCAACTGTCTCCAGCCATTGGTATTTACCGTCTCGAGGACCCCAACTAGGAAGTCTACACTTTCCTACGTGGCTTGAACTAAATGCATTTTGTCAGCGTCTTCATCCAGGTGGGAGGACTGTATCATCTGCTTATTCTAAGTCAACGAGATTATACCCTGGCAACAAGTCAATCCCGGAGTCTCTGAAGCGAGTTATGGTTAAGTCCATCAGTACATCTATGATGAAATTGAATAGAAATGGGGATAGTGGGCATCCCTGACGGACAGCTCGCCGTAATCTCTCACCCGGCTGGCTGCCTGAGTTCGAGTAGAGTGCCTTGATCAGTCGAATTCCATAAGGGATATGAGTTCCTTCGCGATTGTGGATACGCCTAACTGACTAGTGAGTGCAAACAAACACGAAATCTTGGTTCAGACAGGGCTTTCTGCCGATTGTCTCCAGTCAGTCTATAACAACAATTCAGTGGGCGCTGTAATGGCGAGTTACCTAGCATGGTAACCATATTGCAGACTTGACCGATAGAATTCAGGCTGCATCAAACAAAGGACCAGAGAAATAAAATAAGTTACTGCCTAGTGATCAATCAAAAACAGACTGGTCCGTAGTAGTGTTTTACAAAAGTACATTTTGTACAGTTAAGCTAATGAATAACCGATTACAATGGTTGCATAAATTTTGATTTATAAGTTATCCAGTCGCATTGTAATACGTTTTTCTGCCTCTGCCCAGTGATTTCATTTGTCCATTCTGGTTGAAACTTGTCTCGGCCTTATGTTAGGTGGTATGGGTATGCTTGAGTTCAGCTTTAATGCTCTTAAAATAATAATAATTTATATAAAAATGTTAATAAACCGTTTGATATGCTTTTTAATGTTAATATAAGCTTGATGCCAGGTTGTATAACTCTTTTGATGGAACTTCAAACCGCCAATCTGGAGACATCATCTGGTTTGTATCATGGCACAGCTCAAGATTTCAAACTATCTGTAACAAGACTAAGATAGTCTGTTAATCATGTAAATTCGACTGGTTTCATGAATTGAAATCAGTTAGACATCTATTAAAAATGAAGGAGTACTAGATAGCTGTTTAATCCTTGATGGGAAGTCTTCGGAAGGAAGCGTTTATGATCACACCAGCAACTGGACGTAGGAGGTACGTACTGGCTACGACTCGAACACTGTGATGGAGTCTAAGGCTGTGTGAATTCTAACTACTGATGATTCGTGACTTATAGCATCACTGCCAGCAAATGCTGTGGTCAAGAATCTGTCCTCCAATGCATCTTGGTGGACTCCAATAGTTGCGGCTTCATATTGGAGTGGCTGTTTTTTCTACTGCTACACAAGATTAAAAGACACCTCAGTAGTAGTACCTTCAACTCTCATGAAATGTATGTGTGTGTATGTAATTCATAGCGTCCTGTATGAGGAGTATCTTCCAAGTAATTGAATTCTAACTAAACACTTAAATAGTTAGATTAACCTTCAAAATCAGCTCTTCTCTGGTTCATTAGTGGTTAATTGTTTCATTCTAATTAAACACTTAACTGGACGAAGTTAGTCTTTAAGCACCAATAAGTGCCAACGGACAAGTGACCTTAAACGTACCAACCACATATAAAAGGTGATTTTTAACTATAAGGCAGATATATTTATGAAAACATTGATTAGAAGGTGTGAAACTGTTACACAGGATATCTTTCTCTGACGTGTGACAAAAATGCCTCTTAGTTTTAGATTGAAGTATCAATAGAGTATTGATACCATATTCCATACATCTGTTCATCATCTAGGTCTTATAACCTTCACCCTAACCCTAATCTTTCCTTTTAGCCTAACCCTAACGCGAAACTATCCCTAAACTAACCCTAATCTAACTCGAAGTAACTCTTCTAATATCTTCCTTGTCAGGTTAACCTTAAGCCCTAACATCCCTGTAACCCAAACCTAACGAAAACTTACCACATATCCCGTTTAATGTCAAAACACTTCACATCAAGCATGTTTTATTCATGATTCTAATGCTGTTTGTCCAGTTTCACTAACTTGCTCACCAAAGTCATTGGTGCGGGGTCGCACTCCGTTGGTACTTACTGGTGCTTAAAGTTTAACTTGACCATATTAATCATCGATAACACTAGAAGCATTTCTTTATATGTCTATAAATATTTTCTTTTCTTTTTTTTTGTTAAAAGCTAACAAAAGTACTTATTCCAGTAGAATGAATTCAAATCAATTATTGAAAGAATTTCAAAAGTTTCAAGATTTAATTCATCGTCCAATTGTCTCTGATGCATTACAATCAGAAAAAGAATTACTTCTTGGTTATTTGGAAGTATCACTTAAAGAGGTAATTTTGTTTATTTCACTGATTAAATAAAACGGTGAGAATATTCAAGTTTGAATGTTACTCACAATACTGCTTGTCTATTGTTTATCTTTTTTAAAATCCCTTTGCTTTCCGAGTGGAATATGGAGCTTCAAGCTTGAGTTTTGAAGTTTCAGTTGACGTATATTTTAAGGGGTGGGGTTGATAGCCTTCTGCTCAACCTGCTCCCTCTTTACCACGCCCACAAACGGGCTAAGCGAGGTTTAGGACTGCGTCGGGATCCAAGAATCAAACCCGGACCACCGACTTACACCTGTAAGGTAATAAATGAATTTAATTGATACATTGTGTGGATTTCTTCTGAGAAATTCTATTATATAAATTAAATGGTGCAGTTACGCGTTATGAGTAGAACAGGGGGCTTCATGTTTTTGCTTTAAAGGTTCAGTAGCGGTGGTGGTGCTGTTTACAAGGGCCACACTGTCAGCCTTCGCTCTTTTCAGGGATTACTACCGGCTGGTAGTCTATATGACGTTTAGGAGTGTGTCAGCAGGGAGTAGAACCCGGATCACCTTGCGTGATCGACCAGCATTCCACTGTTGAATCATCAACGCACTAAAACAAATTAAAAATATCAAATCGTGAGGTGTCTAGTCTCACTGTTGTCAGAAGGACTTTCAATAAAATAAACATCAATAAAATAAGTAACAGGGCTGTGTCAAAATGATTCACAATCTAAATGAAGAACATGCAAATATGCTGAGCAAGGTAAAAGAGTTTATTATACCCGTCACCAAGGTAACTTCATACACTCATAATAATCAATAATAATAATCCGCTTTATTCCAAAAACAGTACTTATAATACAGAATGGAATTCTCAGCATTTGTCACAGTATTGCATCTGATTTACTCAAAATATAAATAAAATTAAAATAAAATTAACCAGAGGAATTTCTCAACATTTACGGAATAATCACCGAAAATACCCATTGAGTCATGAAGAGAATAAAAGACGGATTCAGCGAAGAAAATTTTCTTTATCGACGAAATCATCTTCAGAGGCTGTACAATCGTATTTATACTTACAAAAATATATAGTGGTCTATTATTGAGTAATAGGGGGTGACATAATTGATATAATTACTCAGAAGTGGCTTTAGAAGTGAAAATTAGAAGTTGAAAATTACGTGGTACTCAACGGCACAAAGTTAGCAATTTGACAAGGTTGAAATTGCTATTGAGTCAGAATAGAGGTATTTGAGTGTCAATTTAACAAGTGTGAAGAGGGTGTGAAAATATACAAAAGGAGCATATGAGAGTGATAATAGTGAATTAATTATTAAAGCAAAAGCTAACTAAAAGTGAAAGTAGAATGAAAAGAAAAAATCAAAAAATATTTCATTTACAAGGAACGATTAGTGAAGAGGTTAAGACCAAGGTAGAATAAGAGACTGGACAAACTTTTTCTGTATACAGAGTTCAGGGTTGTATTGATGAATTGCTAGAGCCTCCGCCATACACAAAAGCCGGAACCTGACGCCCTTTGTACCATTTGGCTTCACTTTGTAGATGATCTTGAAAGAGGATTCTGGTTGAGCTACGTGGCCTGAGTTCACCAAATGCTCGAGAATTGAGCTAGTAATTGTCTTACATTGTCCCTTTGCTAACCATGCCGGATAATGCTCAGAGATGCGTTTGGAAAGCGTGCGCTTTGTGCGGCCAATATAACTAGCTCCACACGAGCAAGTGAATTTATAAACACACATTGAGGTGGCCCAAAGCGGCAGTTTATCCTTCACACACCCGTTGATCATTTGTCGGCTATAGAAGTTGATACGTAGCTCAGCCATAAAGAAGGCTTTCCTCAGTGATCTGCATAAGCGATTCTTCAGGATCTCAGCTGCGGTATCACCTTTAAATTCAACACTCATAAACAGTAGTTTCTTCGGTACCGTCTGTATTCTTTCAGGTTTTTCCCTTGGCTTCATGTTCTTCTCGATAAATCTCGGAGGATATCCATTCTCTATGAGGACTTGTCTGAGTCGCTCCAGTTCCCCATCGATTGTATCACTGGAACATATCCTCCTTATTCTTGAGGATAAGGAATGGATTAGATTTCTCTTCCTTCTCAAAGGGACCCAGCTATGGAAATTTGTGTACTGACCATTCCATGTTGGTTTCCTGTAGATCGATCTTTGAAGAGAACCATCCGATCTCCTCTTTAGAAAAACATCCAGAAAATGGAATTCCGAGTTGTTCTCTGATTCCGACGTGAACTTGATGGCATGATGGCAGCTGTTGAACTCTTTGGTTATCAATTCGATGTCGGTATTGTCGTCACATATGATGAAAGTATCATCCATGTATCTTTGGTACAGATGGAAGCTGTCGATAGTAGGCCGTAAAATATTATTCTCCAAACTGCCCAAGAAGCAGTCTGCAAGTAAAGGACCCAATGGTGACCCCATTGCAACTCCATCTCTTTGTCTATAAATTGTATTGTTGAACTTGAACTGAACGTTTAGGGTGCACCTCAATAGTAGTTCCTTTAAGTAGTGGATCGGAACACATACGTCTACGTTATTATCCTCAATGAATTTGCATATAAAGCAGATAGTTTCAGTGAGGGGAACGTTGGTGAAAAGCGAACGTACCGAAGAAACTACTATTTATGAGTGTTGAATTTAAAGGTGATACCGCAGCTGAGATCCTGAAGAATCGCTTATGCAGATCACTGAGGAAAGCCTTCTTTATGGCTGAGCTACGTATCAACTTCTATAGCCGACAAATGATCAACGGGTGTGTGAAGGATAAACTGCCGCTTTGGGCCACCTCAATGTGTGTTTATAAATTCACTTGCTCGTGTGGAGCTAGTTATATTGGCCGCACAAAGCGCACGCTTTCCAAACGCATCTCTGAGCATTATCCGGCATGGTTAGCAAAGGGACAATGTAAGACAATTACTAGCTCAATTCTCGAGCATTTGGTGAACTCAGGCCACGTAGCTCAACCAGAATCCTCTTTCAAGATCATCTACAAAGTGAAGCCAAATGGTACAAAGGGCGTCAGGTTCCGGCTTTTGTGTATGGCGGAGGCTCTAGCAATTCATCAATACAACCCTGAACTCTGTATACAGAAAAAGTTTGTCCAGTCTCTTATTCTACCTTGGTCTTAACCTCTTCACTAATCGTTCCTTGTAAATGAAATATTTTTTGATTTTTTCTTTTCATTCTACTTTCACTTTTAGTTAGCTTTTGCTTTAATAATTAATTCACTATTATCACTCTCATATGCTCCTTTTGTATATTTTCACACCCTCTTCACACTTGTTAAATTGACACTCAAATACCTCTATTCTGACTCAATAGCAATTTCAACCTTGTCAAATTGCTAACTTTGTGCCGTTGAGTACCACGTAATTTTCAACTTCTAATTTTCACTTCTAAAGCCACTTCTGAGTAATTATATCAATTATGTCACCCCCTATTACTCAATAATAGACCACTATATATTTTTGTAAGTATAAATACGATTGTACAGCCTCTGAAGATGATTTCGTCGATAAAGAAAATTTTCTTCGCTGAATCCGTCTTTTATTTTCTTCATGATTTACGGAATAAAGTCAAAAATATCCGAATTACAAAATGAGAATAATAACTATAATAATAATAATAGTAATAATAAAAATTAATAATAATAATGATAATAATAATAATAACAGTGGGTTTGTTTCAAACAATATTGTCGATACAGTGTGGAAATTTCAGCGTGTTATAGAGTACCGATTCTAACGTTTTCTTGATATAACATGGTGAGGGGAAAACAAAAAATAACAATTATTACTGAACTTAACTGATGTTTACACTTCTGAGAAAATAAACACACAAAGAATGAGAGGATTACAAATATAAGAAGAATAACAACAGTCAAGCTTGGTGGAATAAGGATGGAGAAAATGGTTTATTTGTTAGTGGAAAGAAGGTTAATTTTCATCACATATGGTATCGTGGAATTTTTATACTTAGACGTGCGCGTGTAAAGTCTTTTGAAATGACTTCTTGTTTTACCTGAGAAGATACAAAGGAGAAAGCTGCTGATGTTACAGTGGATACTCATAGTGTGACAAAATACCTTTGGCAAATTTGTTGCGTGAAATTAAGTGCCTATCATCAGTGACGTTGTCAACGATATGATCCAATGGGATACCACCAATCGCACAACTGACAGTCTTCAGAGTTCTACAAAGTATAACAGTCTTTTTTAAGAAACCCAGGGAAGAATAAGAGTGGACAATACATAAGAATACAGAAGGAATAAGATGCAAGAGTTGACAGACTGTAAGAGGAGGAGAGGATGAGTTATGCCTGAGTGCATTAACTTCTTATGATGTAAAAAGTCAGATGAAATATGTTTTTATAATTCACTAGGACGTGGGAAGACCAGGGTAGATCCTAAGAAAGAATTGGTCCAAGATACTTAATGTCAAACTTGATTTCTATATCAATATCATCAATTCTGCAACGGTCATGAGAATTAACAGATTCACTTAACTTTCTTTTACATCGGAAGCTGAAATTAACAGTCTGATACTTGGAAGGAATTAGTTCAAGACCATTAGACGAAGACCATTTGCTGACTCTTGATAGAGTAAAAAAGATTCAAGAGAGAGAGAGTATGGAACATACAGGAAACATGTACACAAGATACAGTTTATTGCTAAGATCAAAATTACGATAAATAGAACGAAAATTTGCGTTGTTAATATTAATATCCCTTGGGGGTTTGAGTAGAACATAGGGCTTCAGAAGCACATCTTTGTTTCACTCTGTTCTCAAGTGTATTTTTTTAAGCTAGCTCAATGATTGCTTATAAGCATTCATCTCCTCTTCATACGGTCTCTACCATCTGATTCTTGGACGCTCAACTCATCTTTTCCAATTGGGGTACCACTTGAGGGTCTGTTTAGCGTGTGACTTCAATCGACGGTTTCCTAAGCGTATGTCCAATCCATCTCGATTTTTGTTGGGAGATAGATTCTTGGTTGGTTTTATTGTTTTAGTTCCTTGCTGATAATCCTTTCTAGGCATATAATCTTCAGTATGGAGCAACGGCAGGAGTTGTTGATAAAGGTCTGCAAGCTGTCGGGAGTATTTTTCGTCAAACTTCAAGCTTCAGAAGCATATAGAAATAGTGACTCGACATTAGTGTTGATGATCTGGATCTTGTTTTTTGTGCTACATTTATATTACTTACTAACAACAAGTAGTATACTGTTGATCAAAAAGAAAACATCGTGACACAATACTGTTAAAAAATTTAAAAGAAAAGGCGTTCAGAAAAGAGTTACTCCTATTTTCGGCGATATCATTCTCAAGCTGTATAATCGCGTATATATATGTAAATTTTCTTAACATCAAAAGGAATATTTCCAAAGATGTGTCATTAGAATTGTAAATCTTACGTAACAAATTACGTAATGTAGAAAGCGCTAATCAGGTACAAAGTAAAATTAAATAAGTCGAGTGACTTAGTATAATTGACGGGGATGAATAGAATTCAAGTAAGATTGGACGACAGTCAGATTAACAACAGTGATAATAAGGAGGTAGAAATTTAATAGGCGTTGAGGGAAGAAGATAATACAATTACGAAACAGAAGACAAAGATCACGTATTTGATTTTTTTATTTTTGATTAATAGCTTGATTCCACACGCATTTTTGGTACAAGTATGGAATTTTCAGCATTTGATATCGGTAACCCGAATTTGCAGGCTAACCATTGATATCAGGTGTGCGTCGGCAGCGGATGGAACCCCGGTAGGCGAGAGTCGTAACCGCTCTGCCACTGACACACTGACGCGATGTTAACATAGATCAGGTCCATTGAAGATTTAATGACTGAACAAACTTCTTTTGTATGCAGAGTTCAAGATTTAGCATGTGGATTGCCATTGCTTCTGCTCTGCTTGAAGAAGTTTGAATCGTATTCTTTTAGGATGGTTCCCACGTCTTCTGTAGATAACTTTGAACTTCCTTTGTAGGTTGGTTTGGTGTCCAGATTCGATTAGGTGTTGTAGAATATACATGTGGCGAGGGGATGTTTTTTCTCTTTTATGAAACTATGAGGGTAAGTGTTCAATGATACGTTTGGAAAGCAAACGCTGGGTACGGCCGAAATACCTAGCTCCACATGAGCAGGTGAATTGGTAGATGCACATTGATGGAGCTGACCAAGAGTGGTAGTTTATCCTTAACGTTCGTACGCATCACTGGTTTCGTAGAGAAAGTCAGTCGAAGTTTATAATCATCAGAGATTAATGAACTGTACGTTATATCTTTTGAATATAAAGTAGTCTAACTGAAACGGTTGAGTATTTAAACTCAATCAATGGAAAGTCTAACTTGCATACAGATATGTACTTGCATTTTCCTAAGATGCTTTTGTATCACTGTATCTGAATATTGCTATGATCCGATGGTTTAACGAAGTAAATGGTCGGTAATATTTAGGCTTTGCCTTATAGGCTTTAAATTTAGTTTTGAAGGCTCATTCCAGAGAAGAAATGTAAACATATTTCTTCAATTTCAAACTTCAAAATTAAGTATTCATTGTAGTCATATATAAAGTCATAGGAACAGCATTACACCTGTTCTCATATATTCAAGGATATGTCGTTTAACTGCGAATACGTCAGTCACTGACTTCACTAGTCTTTGTAGCTTTTACGAGGCCTTATGACTTCTTGTGAATTGTATTCTTATTAGTTATATTTATAAACTTACATTATAAGTGCTCGTAAGATGATGGGGAAATAAATATACATCTGCAGATATGATAAATTTAGAGTTTCAGTGTAAGTCCCGCCGAGAACTGATGTCAGGTCGAGAATCATTGTAAATCAGGGAATACTGGCCAACCGTTTTTTCCTAGTCGGAGGCTCTTCACTAGTGCATACCGAAGACACTAACTCCGTTTATGAGCCAAGCCCACTGATTGTTCAGTCATTGGTTTGACATTCAATAGCCTGCGAATTTTAACTTCTGCTAATTCGTGATATAATGCTTATTGCTAGCCACTGCTGTCCATGAGTATCCACCTGATCGTGAAATTGTCAAATGTAACTCTAACTGATGTCAACTTGTGACAAAATCCACACTAAAATTATTCTTAAAAAGCCTTAAATCTGAAAATAGTGAATTCTCTAGACCTTATCACTGAGAAGTCGTGGCCACTGGAGTCCACCATGTGAATGTGCAGTGAATGCTCATTTATGACACTCTTTAGAGATAGTGAAGTATCACAAATTGACAAAATTAGAATTTATGTGTCACTGCATTCTGACTCAAGTGACTGAGCGGTCAACTACCTTCATGTGGTAATCTAACAATGTTTAGTTTGGTCCTTCGTGGGTCATGGGTATATAGTGTGAAGAGTCTCAAAATAGAACGAGACAGCCGTCCAGTATTCTCTGGTTTTCAGTGATCATTATTACTAATGTTGCTTTGTGACTTTATCTTCACTGGAATTAATACAAATTCCTCCAAATAACTACAATAAAATTATTGAGTAGAGGGGTTTTTGTATGGTCACGTCTAGTTTTTTCTTGAATCTGTTTAGCGGTTGCTCGTTTAACTTACTATCCGTCAGACTGACTGATCAACTAGGTTTCAAAGTGGAACAGTTCCTATTGACACACTGTATACACTACACAAAAGCATTTCTTAAAGTCTTATTTCGTCACGTTCCCATTGAAACACAGGGCTTCAAGCTAGAGCTATGAATTTCCGTTAGCAGTGGTGTTTATGTTTACGGGATGGGGTTGTTGGCCTCATGCCCAGCTATCCCTCTCTACTAATGTTATTACTGGTTTAGCGAAGTAAACGAGTGCGTAGGCCGGGGATCGAACGCCGGACTACATGAGTGGTTGGTGAGCACTCTACCGCTGTGCCACTGACGCCCACACATAGGTGGAGGGAAAGAAATTCAAGAGAACTATAATGAGTAAAAATGTACGAGAGAATGGTAACTTGGAGAAAAATGAAGACTTAATGGATGTGAGCGATTACAAAGAAGTGAATTTATGTTCATCATTGAGAACGATTTTAAGACATTAACAGTGGTCTCTAGTAATTGTCAGGAAAACTTCCTACATGACTGCCTCAAACCAATAGTCAAAGGTTTCATGGATTGATGTCATACTTTGGTATAACCACTCCAAACTCCCCCCCCCCCCAGCCTAGACCTATATCAGATAGCATTGCCCGAGAAAGAAAACCATCACCCAGCTCTACTCTACCAATCAGTCTAATTATTTTCATGTAAAAATTATATTGTAAATATTTATTACACCATCAATAAGATCTCCAACCACTTTTTAAATTATATATCCCCAGCTTCATGAAGAATTTCTATTGAAATCAAACTCTGGAGATTCACATTATCATAATCAGCGGGAACAACAGCAGCTAGCACAAAAGAAATCACAAGTTATGCTTATTAAAAATATTCCAGATCGTGTAAATCGAATACTATGGGCTGGTCAGTTGAAATCACGTCTACAAGAGGAATATACACTTGTTGAATTTCTTCTGTCTGATCTACAACGCTTTGAAGCATATAAAGAGGTAATGAATAATGTTTTGAAGTCTTATGAATGTCTTTGTTCAGTGAATGTTCCTTTTTACTAGTATTATTCTTTGCTTGTGGTCGCCAGTGGACATAGCGCCCCATTGGTTCATCACCACTGTACTCGGTTATCTGTTATTATAATCAGCTGGTTCTTCAACTGCTGCTCACAGACTCATCTTTAAGTTTATGATAAATAATAATAATGATTCATGCGAAGTAGTAATATTCAGTTACTACACCACAACCCGTTGTCTGACCCCAATGCCAGAAAATTGATATTTACCAATCAGAGAACGTGTAGGTAGTCAGAGTAACGCCTACGCACTTGTAGTCAGTTTGCTATTTATCTGATTGGTAGATTTTAGGCTGAAGAAATCACGGGCAATCAGCTATCTATAGCCTTCACCCAATGTAATTTTTGGAAAGTAAATTGGATTCAAACTGATTATAATAATAGTAATACAATAATACGCTGTGTGCTACTGACAAGAATTTAAAAGTAGTATACTAATGATTTCTTCTACAAAAAATTTTGAATAACAAAACAATGGATTAAGTTTTTTTTAACAGGAGAAATGCAGATAAGTTTGATGCAATATAGGAAAGTTGAAATGAAGACAACAGAAGCAGAATACGAATAGTGTTTCTGCGAATAGAAGTTTTAATGTGTGACTTTTATATTTCGGTACTACTGCGCGTCATTTTGCCTAACAAACAATTCAGAAATTGTTTTGATTGTGTTAGGCTAAAATGTCTAGTCTAGTCACCTAGTACGGACGCTTCAATGGTGTCTTAGGAATTAACATGGTGTTATTTATGTTGATGGTGGCTAGACATGGAATCCAGGAAGCATACATCGTTCTATTTGGAACTCGTGATAGCTGCATACCCCAGTGAGTAGTGGTGTTCTCACTGAAACGCAAACCTTGGACTCGTTCTTTCAAACGTCAAAGTATTGATCATTAGAACATTAAGATCAGTTCCCGTTAATTGATACAGTTAGACTGAAACTCTCGGTTTATGTTGACATGTCGGCTCCTATTACGGGTTACAATTACTCATTGGGAATACAAGTGCATCCAGTCGATGAGTCACAAATAAGAAGAAACACGCATCCGACATTTCTCTAGTGGGCAAAATCTACCCAAAATGAAACAATTCAGTTGTCAAAAAACTTCTATGTTCTGTAGTTACAATAATTGATTTGTTCTGGAACATATGTGTACACACGGTATGGAATCCTCAGCGTACTTTATTCCAAATATTTACTCTTAGTAATGAATATCCAAGTAGAATACTAATCACTGGTATCTAGAATGATGTAATGTTGTTCAACTTCGAAGCAACACTCCCTCCCCTACGATATTTTCCCCTCATTTCCTTCGACGAATTCACAGCAGTTCTCTGAAAGCTGATCGAAGTTGCTCTTGAGTACATGCTGCAATTGAAGGACATAGCTGAATGATTAGAATAGTAAGAAATAGAGAAACTTTCGTGCTTCATACCTGACATATACTTAGGTAGCCAGGTGATTTAAGTAGACCGTCTTGCTACTGAGCTCCAGCACAAGTTACAACACGGTTGAAAACCACTGACTATATTGGCACAGACGTGTACAACATTTTGCATGTTGCAATGTGGCTTGGTACATTACATGAGAGTCGTTGGTTCAGTACTTCATTGGTTGATCGATTCAATTAGTGGAAAGTTTAGAAATAAAAAGATGTAGATATACAGTGTCATTTTTCCTTCGATAGTTGTCTATTCAGTGTAGGGTTGTATTGAAACAGCCTCAAAATAATTATAGGCAACTACTAAAGTTTTCCTGACGAAAACACGTTGTTTAGCTTTCTGGCTACCATGAAGTTGATCATTCACATGAATCACATTGACCTAAATCCTGCTGAAACTCAAATGTACCCCACAATCACCCCATTGGAGATCGAAACCAGGATCTTCAGGTTATCAGGCTTGTTGACCATTTAGACACTGGGGTGGAATGCACTGGCAAGCCCATGAAATCTAACTAATGTCAATTCAACATTTTCAGCACCACCGCTAATCATGGACAAATACTATTGAAGAGCCCCAAGTTGGGACGAAATGGCTATTCAGCACTCCCTGGTTTTGAGCGGTTATCTATTTGATATCGATGTTTGACCAAACTTGAAACCAATGAAATCCCTACAAACTATCATATTAGTTTGTTTATTAGATGTATCACACAGTGAAACAGTGTTATTTACTGGATGACGTTTCGAACAAAATTTATTGTTCATAATCATATCAATTGTAATCACACGACTTTGACACTTGAGTTTTATAGTTTTCTTTGTTCTCTCCTATTTGTCGTCGTATGGGTAGTAGAATTTTCCAGATATCGGGGACATGTGATGAATCATTCCTATTACATGTATTTGTAGTTGATTCGATGAACAAAGCTTCTGTTATCAATCTCTCCCTATACCCTGTGACATTCGATTTTAAAACTGTCATCCTATCCCATCCTATTGTATGGTTGTGTGTAATTGCATGTAGTGAGTGGTATAGCTGAACTATTCTCTAGATTTCTTATCTTATTCGGGTCAACTAATCTAGATTTTGCTAGGTTTTTATGTTCAGCTAGTCTGACTGCCCCTGTTCTACTAGTTTGATTTATGTATTTGACCTGACAATCATTGCAGGGTATGAGATAAATTAAATAGTTTTGTTTTAAAGGCTTCACAGGATGCACCATTTAACCGACAAAGCTTGTTTCTAATTGAGTTTATGGTTGGTTTGAATTCCAGCCACTTTTATTCCTGCCTTGTTAAGAATTCTCCGGCGTAAGGTTTCCGAGGTTCCTTCCTTGTATGGAATTACTACTGATGATTTAGATTCCTTATTATTGGTGTCGTCATTAATATTATTATTATTATCATCACTATTATTATTATTACCATTATTGTTGCTATTATCACTATCGCTACTATCATTATTTATTTTATTTTTACATTTCTTTACATATTTCTTGACTAATTTATCCGGGTAATTATTAAGTTTCAAAGCTTCTTTTATGTGTATCAGTTCCTGTTTTAGATTTCTAGGTGAGCCTAAGTGGTTTAATTTAATCAACTACAAATACATGTAATAGGAATGATTCATCACATGTCCCCGATATCTGGAAAATTCTACTACCCATACGACGACAAATAGGAGAGAACAAAGAAAACTATAAAACTCAAGTGTCAAAGTCGTGTGATTACAATTGATATGATTATGAACAATAAATTTTGTTCGAAACGTCATCCAGTAAATAACACTGTTTCACTGTGTGATACATCTAATAAACAAACTAATATGGAATCACTTACTACCACAGTGCCCAAGTTTTGCACCTACAAACTATCACTTGAAACCCAAATGAATAATTGTCCAGAAATGTTTTCTCAATATACAATTATCTTTCTAACTTTCTAATGTTTCATAAATATTTCTTTTCTTCCCCGGCTACTAGGAATCTGTTCGTCTGATTGAACAAATTGAAAATTGGCATAATGAACAATTTCAAGCATGGTCACACGATAGTCTTGCTGCACTTTCCTCTGAATCATCAACATTCAATCCTACAGGCACGTTACTAACACTGTCATCAGTTGATGGTCATTTAGAAGTTGGATTTCCAGATGGTTTAGTTCAACTGCAAAGAGAAGTACGTCTTCTAGGCGGATTAGGTTATCCTATGCCATATAAAATAATACAAGCTATTGATCAAGCTGAAAAAATATCCCAATATGCAGTAATGTTGAAACAGGTAGGTGAAATCAGAGCATCTTTTTCTAATATCACGTGCATCTTTCTTTTATAATACAGCTGCCAACATATACACAGAATGCTTTAATTTTAAGCTCGATCAAAAGATGAATTCCGCGGATTTTTTTCTAGTTTAATTTACGTTTCTTGTTGATTGAATATGTTGGACCGAAATTCGTGGTCTCTATGGACATGTCGACTCCTAGTGCTGACACTTCAATAATGTCTTCAGATTAAGGTGAAGTTATTTCTGTCGAAGGTTCGTTTCATCCTGTTTAAGACTTATCGCAGCTGGATGTACTTGAATTTCACTACGAATGCTGGTGTTTCCGCAGATAGCTCAACCCTTCATATATCGCAGCCCTAGTAGTCCAGCTGGGCAACGACTTGGTGCTTGAGACGATGGGTGTAGAGTTTGAGTCTCAGCACGGATACAGGAGGCTAATTTCGCATATGCCAGTTTACGCCGTCTCTGGCGTAGACGCGATATCCGACTATCGACCAAAGGGCGTGTGTACTGCTCAACAGTCCGCTCCGTCCTCCTTTATGGCTGTGAGACCTGGCCATTGAGATTAGAAGACATGAAAAGATTAGCTGTCTTCGATCATAGGTATCTGCGTTCTATCTCCCGCGTGCAGTGGTATAATAAGGTGAGCAATATTTAGGTCAGGCATCGGTCGAGTGCTAGGTAAAAAGGGGGGATCAATTGACGACGCTGTGAAATTACGTCGACTGAGATGGTTAGGACATGTGTAACGTATGCCTAGCCATCGCCTTCCTCGACCGACGGGCAATGTTAACTGACATAGGGTTAAACTGGAAAAGAGCTGGCGGCGGTCAAACGAAAACATGGCACCAGTCAATGAAATCCACGACAGTTAGTTTAAGCCACGTAGGGAGGTATAGACTTCCTGGCTGATTGGGGTCCTCGGGACGGTAAAAACCAATGGCTGGAGACACTTAGTGATATGCCTCAAAATCGTTCTCAAAGGCTAGCGCAGATGAATCCACTCCTTTGAACTTATAATTTCCAACGAGGCAATATTGTTCTTCGTTACTACTATTCCTTTTGTCTCTTATCCCTGTTTAATGTCTCTATTTTGCATTTCTTCTACTTTCTTCTCTTGTTTTTTGTGTGCTACATGGAGTGTGGCGACTTGAACTGCTGCACATCAATGCAAAGTTCTATGTTGAAAACAGACAGATGGACTGGGAATACAGGCACATTCACCTAATAATTCTCGAATAGGACGAAATGTACATCCAGGACTCCACTGTTATTCAGAGTCAACCAGAAGAATCTCTCCCAGCTGTCTACCAGAATAATTATTGAAAGTAGGAGACAATCTAGAGAAGACAATAGTTCTCTTTTTATGAAGCTGTCGATGTAAGATGTACAGTAGCATTTATACAGATGACAAGCGAATAGCAGTCTATTATCGTCATCAATAGCGTGCATGTGCGCGCGTTTGTGTTGATGTAAATAACAGTGTTAAAGAATTGTAATGAATGAGTTACTTTTGAGAACAGAAACCATTTACGCAGTGATTCAAAAGACGGTGAAGATAATAAACAGCATTTGAAATTCGACAAGATAAAATTTAAAGTAAAACCCCACAGAATCTTTTTGACTAATCTAATAACAGTGAATGAAAATGCTAGAAACATGAGTTGAGTTGAAAACGATAATAGCGAATAAACTGCTAATGATAACAGAAAGTTTGAAGCCTTTTCAAAATGAGAGGTTATCAGATCTATCCTTCTGCACAAGTTTCTCAGTCTAACTATTATTTTCTCTTTCAAATTTTGGTTCGCAGAGATTTCATTAATTTCAAGGAAGATGAAGAACTGACATCAGCTAGAGAACTTCTGAGAACCGGAGAGTATTGGACAGTTGTTTCATCCAAGCCTGGGACTCTTCAGAAGTACACACTTATGAACCTCACTAAGGACTGAGCTCACGACCTTCACAATTACAAGGAGAGCACGTTAGCATTCAGTTATTCCGAATTCTAATCGTTATTAATTCGCGATATTTATCGTCATGTTCAGCCAGTGTCATCAGGGAGTATCTCTCCTTGCACCCGACTTTGAGAACCCCAGTAGTCACAGGTTCTCACAAAAACTTCAGGAACTCCACCTTGAAGTCAGTTATCAAAGAGTAGTAGATTTATTTTCAAGTGTTGAAACTCAGAGATTTGATTGATTCCAAGTTGGGTCACTCAGTTAGAATTTATAGATAATATTAACCAGAGTTTCACGTAAACGTGTGTGCATCAGGTTATCCAGATGTCGTAGGATGAGTTGATATTTCACCTACATTATTCTTTTAATACTCATGAAAGGTTAGTGCTAAGAAATGAGTTTGTACACTACTTTCATTGAACAGCCGTAACCACAACTTTTAATAATTGAAGAAGCATAGAAGGATCAGCTTTTCTCACGACGATAAAGGTAATTTCACAAACAACCGTGACTACATTTGTAATCTTTCACATTTTGATACACGTCATATCTGTGCCCTAGCTTGATGAAGATTGTTTATCTCAGACTTAAGAAAAATATAGCGAACTTTAACTCTTATGAGTATACGAATTTTGTAAGAATATCTCCAGTGGAAAAGAATTATATGTCCTTTCTTTCATAATAAATAAAGCATATTGATTAAAACATGTCGAATAGTCCTTGTACGCCAGACTGATCCTGTGTTAAACAAATCATCACTGAGGGCGTAACGAAGTCTTGAACATGAAGGATTCTTAACCAGTAATTTCTGCGTTTTGAATCCTCCACTACTTGACTAGACGCATCTCGGCAAAGATCCCATCGATTTTTTTCCTCTTGCTCTTAGCTGAACTTTGTATTGTGGCAGTAACCTAAAGTCCTTTAGTTCAAATCTGACTGCAATCCATGCTTTCATTTTAGCTTCAGTCATCACCCTCTTAACGATTGGGAATTGCTAGTAAGCTTTTGTCTACATATGTATATATATTGGATACATCTGTGTAGTTAGTTGCTTTTACAGAAACTTTGGAACCTCACAGATAAAATCTGTGACATTCCATTCAGGTTTGAGCAAGTACGGTGCATAGGAACTGTTATACACCCTGTAGGGATTTCAATGTTTTTCAGACAGTCGAGTTCTTTCCATACAGTGGTACATTCCCAAACACAATGAAACTCTTTTTATATGATACATCACGATGTTGGGTCATTTAGTCTATAGCTCTAATTATTCAAGTGACAAACTGAATTCATTTGGGACCAGGAAATATGATACACTGATGAATAAGTTATCCTTGGATTCGGTCAAGCTGACCGACACTTTCTACACTGACGTGGTGGTGGGACTTTCATATCATAATAATCCAACGAGCTACACTAGCTAAAACGAATGTTTCTGCAGGTCCTACCATACCAGAAGTGTCGCTTGGCTGGTGGTTAAACCTAAAGCAGTTATCGCCATAGTGTAGGTCGCTCACTTTACGTTGGGAGGTCTGAGGGTGAAGTCCTACTGTGGTGAGAGCTGTCAGCTAGCCAAAATTGGTAGACAGCAATTTTCGTCAATGTTTATGTCCTAAATCTTGGTCATGCGAAAAAAAACAAGAACAAAGACTAACTCAGCAGTCAATAACAGCAGGCTTTGCGTGGGCGGATACGATTAGCAGATATATGGTCTAGCCATCAAAGAAACGGCCACAAAGAGATGACAGATTAACTTCCAATGAGAAAACGATCAATCAGAAGACGCTGTTTCTCTGCTAACAATAACGCTAATAATGATGTACATAAAAATCTATAAATATCTGTTGATTTTCTCAATAAACGATCTGTCTCCTGGCTCTTGTCTTCTTTCGTTACAATACTACTGACGAATCAGAGTTTTTAGTAACAGTAAGGTGTTTGCTTCGGACAACCGGCGCACTAGCTATGCTACCATCTTATTATAGATAGAAAGAAGGCTAGAAAAGGTCGACTCCAAAAAGTATACACCCGATCCACCTGTGGTGATTCCTTACCTGTGATATTATTTTCATGCGTTCACAACTTCTCAAACCACTCCACCATGATCCATGTGTGACCAGAGTCAGTTATATATCCGCCAGGCTCTGAGGTCACAAAAACTAGCGGTGTTTTAGGTATTTCAGTTGAAATTGTGTTTGTAAAGGTTAGTAAAAATGGTGTTTGGCTGTTGCATTGAGTAGTGCAACTGGTTAGCCTTTAATGAGGCCTAACTAGCGTACATACATCTTACAAACTGTCGTAAAGTTGTATAAAGGGTGGTAGAAACCAGACTGTTTAACACTTGCTATTCTTCAATAGGAATTAACCAAATGTTCTAATATGTCACTGTCTTTTTATCATTAAATTTCATACTAATACACTTTATTTATTTCATATTCAATTTCTATTTTTAGATAGCACATTTCTATAATTCTATTGATAATGAAATGTTACCCTTTCAAAAACCACTGATGCTTAATTCAGCTATGGCATTTGAACGTTTAATTAAACTACACAATAATATACCAAATTTTACTAAAGACACTCTATTGAATCCAATTACATGGAATCAAACAGAAGAAGTAGTACAGTATATTCAACAGTTACAAAAATTATCACAACAAGTAATGTGTGAAAATCGTCGACTACGTAAAATTCATTATGCACTTATAGAAAAGGTGAGTTCTACGTGGAAGTAAGTGAAGTGGGTTTTTTCTGGATATGTGTGTGTGCGTGCGTGGAAGAGTTCTTCATGTGTAATCTTTTCCATTGCATCTTTTGGTTCCAGGTCCACTGGATGACTCGGCACGTAATGTCACTCAATAGTCTTTCCAGTCTATTCTGAATCCACCTCCACTTTCTTTTGCATGTTTATTCGTTAGAAGATTTCATCATTAGCTGGTATCAGTTAGAAAACCCCTGGAAAACCTGCAAAGAGTACTGGACTGCTGTTTCCTCCGTCCTAGTTCGGGACTTCTCATCAGTATACACCCACTCCACTGGAGTTTGAACACAGGAACTTCTAGTTACAAGACTAGTGAGCTCGTAGACTATTAAGCCACTCACTGGGACCCGATTCAATGTCCAGCCTACCCATGAGTTCTAACTTCTGCCAATTCACTCACCACATAGCGCGACCACTTCAAAATGTCTTCTTCGATGAGTTACTGCCTCACTTTCAACCTGCTGTACCTTACTGTGGTCACGGCTTCCCACTAGAATCCCAGGTTAACTGCCTGAATAGGGCCAGTCGCTAGTGAGCATCAGATCAGTTTGCAAGTATTGGTGTTTGTAGGGATTTTGTTTGGTTTGATGCTCACTTCCGCCTGGTTCTATTCAGGCAGTGACTTGTGGTTATAGTTGGAAGTCGTGACCAGTAGGTTGCAGCGGGTTGAAGGTGAGGCAGTAACTCATCGAAGAAGACATTGCGAAGTGGTTGGTCTATGTCTTGAATTGGCAGAAGTCGGAATTCATGGGCTGATCACTGGGTCGGGTCCGAGTGGCTTAACCGTCTACGAGCTCACTAGCCTTATAACCAGAAGGTCCTGGGTTCGAACTCTGGTGGTGGGTGTGTACTGACGAGGAGTCCCAAACTAGGAGGAGACAGCTGTCTGGCAGTACTCCTCCCAGTTGGTTTTCCAATGGTTCTCTAACTGATATCAGCCCATGATGAAATCCCCTAACCAATCAAATAAAATCCCTACAAACACCAATACTTGAATATTTACTGCTTAGTTGTTTGCCAGAGTTTCTTGTCGCTTATCCTTCTCAGAAGGCCGGTCATCTCATCTTAAGTATCAAGTGAGAGCAAGTCTTGACAAAAATTTGAAGCAGCAAGTCGGAAAAGCTATTCGTGACGTAAGCGGTAATTTTCTGAATCGTATTGAAGCAGTGAGTGAACTGACACTTAAGTATTGGAAATATGAATCTTGTACCTTATGCTGCGCATGTAGCAGATTTCCATGCTAATTTCAGAATAATGAAGGTGTGTCTTGTTTTTCCTATCCTAACTGACTTTGACATCCTCATCTGTGTAGCCTCTCGCCACATAGTTAACTAGTTCACCAGCCACTTTTAGCCTGGAAAAAGGTGGCAGTTTATACGTGGAGCTAGAGATTTTAACCCGGATAAAGAAGCTTCATGGCGTAGTGTTTCCTTATGACATGAATCGTGACTGAGTTTTTTTATTTGTCATTTTATTTCTTTGTCTTTGCCACTAATTATCTTGTTGACCTAATATTTTATCTTTCGATTGTGTGTGTGCCTTTTCATTTACACCTCTACGGCAACATGTCTATTAAGTGCAGATTGATTTGAGTCCCAGGCCTCTAATCATACTCTTGCATAGTTTTGATTGGGCACTAGTAACTAGTGTGTCGTGTCTAGTCCTTTCTTTGGTGTAGACTGAATTCTGTCAGTCAGGTTTACAATGTGGCCACCATTCTAGGTAGCTAGCCATCACGGTGTACATTGTTTGTGATGATATTAGATGGTTGGAGGCAATCGGCAGGAAGCCTTGGACCTAGGTTTCGTGCTAGTTGGCACTCGTCAGCAAGGCATATCTGCAACCTTGAAGGGACTCATGTCCCTTCTGAGATTCGAACCCGCATCACCCAGTGCTGCAGTCAGAGACGTTACCACTGAGCTATTCGGGCTCGCGACTGACCTCCTGTAGGACTGTATTGGGTAGTTTTGATGGGAGATACGCCTTGCTGACGAGTGCCAACTAGCACGAAACCTAAGTCCAAGGCTACCTGCCGATTGCCTCCAACTATCTAATATACTCTTGCATCTTTTGTGGTTCCTCTGATTCGTATGCTTATTTTCTCCTGGTTCGGCTGGTGTCTGTAGTTGTGCATAGATATGCATTAATACAAAGGAGTGAATGCCATGCCATTTGATTTTGTTTCTCGTAGATGATGAAAACCACCTCCATGGATGATGCTGGTTTCATCTACTTTTTGCTGATGAATCTTTCCGTTTACATTGTATGGCTGATATGAGTATTTCCATATCACTCATATCAAACAGTAATGCTTGCGAGTTAAACCGAAGGGATTTCAACACTGGATGGCCATTTTGGATCGTTTCATAGCCGAGCGTAACAACTGTGTTCCCAGTTCGTCTCACCTCAGAAAGCTGAATCAGTTCAAACCACTACTACTACTCATTTGTATCAATCAGTAGTATACAGTTTTGTGCGAAACAACTTAAAAACGGTTAAATGTCACAATATTATCCCAAGAACAAAATACAGAGTCACATAAGAGCAGCTACCTGAGAAAATTCAAGTCGTATTTGATTGCTGATTAATTGCTCTTGGTACATTTAATCCTGCTTCAAAAATATGGTGGAGATATGTGGATGACACTTTCACAGTGTTAAAAACAGAACATATCTCTAGCTTCTTGACACATTTAAACTCACTAGTAGAGGGAATAAAATTCACATTTGAATCGGAAAATAAACAAGGAGAATTAGCTATGTTAGATTGTAAAATCAAACGAACAGAAGAAGGTAGACTGCCCACCAGCGTTTATAAAAACCGACGCATTCTAATAGATACTTAGAGTTTAGTTCATCTCATCCGTTACCTGTCTGTGAAGACAGGCTTAGTTAAGTGTTTAACAAACCAAGCAGTAGCACTAAGTAGTACAATAAAAAGCCTAAATGATGAAATGAAGCGGACAGAAGAAGAAGTGTTGGCGTTAAATAACTGTCCTATAAAATTCATTAGAAATATCAAGAAAGGTCAGTAGCAAAATAAAAACAATGGTAAAACTAATAATGATAACATAAATAAGAGAGAATATAAGGCATCTACAGTAGTTTTACCATATAAGGAGGGGACATCTGAGATCCTACGTGGGTTTCTCAATAAAGACGGAATTAGGGTGGCATTCAAACCTGCAAACTCACTCAGGTAGGACAAGTTGTGTAGGTTAAAGGACCCTGTAGGCTGACCCAATTAAACAAAATAACATAATTTACAAAATACGTTGCAATGACTGTGAGGTCAACTATATAGGTCACACTAGTGGATTGGGGGTAGTTAGATTGTCGGAACATATTAATTTAGCTAAGGTAAGAATGGTTGACCCCACAGAGATAAGTAATTTGGTAAAAAGCTCAGCACTACATTGCACTGCGTGCATTAACACACAACCACACATTGCTGTGGATGGGACAGAGTTAAAATTTCGAAAAGTAATATAGGTAGGTGGAGGGAGAGACTGATTACTGAATCTTTGATTGCACAACCTACACCCAACACGTGCAATAAGAATGACTCCTCACCAATACCAGAAATATAGAAAATATTACTATCAATCAAATCGAGAGATGAGAAATAGTGGAATCATATATACGAAGTTGGAAAGTTGTCTGAGTGAGTAACTTGATATGATTATGAGCAGTAATAAATTGTGCTGGAAACGTGGTCATCAGTAAATATTACTGTATAACAATGGGCGATTTTATCAAAATAAATTTTACCCACAATGGAATCGTATTTGATCGTCTCTGTTCTACCTGGGTGTAATCAAAAGGAAGATAAATTTGTTTTGACAGTAAATAAATACTCACTTGCGTTCTGCTCTTGTGTTACTTCAACGTTGGTTTTTCGACTTACAGATAAACTGTCATTCCTTCTGCGATGATAATCCGTGTATTGCTTACATAAATTTATGAGAAGCACATACTATAGTAAATGCTGATAATGGCTTAAAGTTTTCTCAATTTTGTGTATAGCAAGTATGAACTCAACCTTGTTTCACTGATTAAATATTTACGGTGTATTTCATCAATAAATCCTGTAGTGGAGTATACTATGTACGCTGTTGGACGCTTACCAAATCAGCAATGGCTTCAAAATCCCTGATGGTGATCCGGATATCTCCCTCTCTGAAAGCTGAACGTTTCAGGAGCTCCATCTGGTGAAAGGCAGCAACACTGAATGTGATGAAAAAATACAGTTGTATTTGGTAGCAGAATAATTTATATGGCAAAATGACGTTTCATTTCATCTTCTTACTTTACGTTCTCAGGAGAACAAAGGGCTTCAAGCTTTCAGCTTTAAAGTTTCATTAGAAGTCGCGTTTTTTATACGGGAAGGCTTGCTAGCCACACACCCAAGCTTCTATCTTCACTGAGCTTACCTCCGACTAAGCAAGGTTTAAGTACCCCTATTCTGCTTCTTTTGTCTTCATGTCATGCTTTTTATATTTGTTTCTTTTTGACATAATGTAGCCTCACTACTGAAGATATTTTTACAGAAGATGCCGTCAATATACTGCTGACATATTCTTGTCTGCTGTACACACCACACTATAAATGATCTATTGATTCGTAATAGGATTTCCTGAGAAGAGCACTACCCTATGCTGCTTAAATTAACAGATGTCTCGTTGGATATACGATTAAAACTTCGGCATTATCTCTTTTGTAAATACCTACGATAATATTTTATATAAGAAGTTACTTTAAACCTTATAACTATTGATAATTCATACTCTTTCTGATTTACTCACATTCTACTAGATGGTTAAGTTGTTAGATGTTGACCTGTTACGTAATCAATCGAAATGGAGAAGTGAATTAAATGATATGCGATTTATACTGTCTGAAGCAGCAACTGCAGGAGGATATCCAGCTGACCATATGGCACCATGGAGAGCTTTTCTAGATCGTCAACTGTACAAAGTACTTGAATATCAATACAGAAGTGGATTAGAAGAACTCAGTGAAAGAATGCCTGAGATGCGTGTAGATATGGTCTATCTACAATCACGTCTTGCATTTCGTCCACCATTTGAAGAGGTGAGTTGAATATAGGACAGAATTTTTAAACATATCTACGTATAACTAATCAGAGTGACCACAGTGGCATAGTGCTCAAGTTTTATCGTATATGATTGCAATAATGTCTCCTTTATTCTATAAAGAAAGTATTTTCTGATGAAAAAGTTATCGCGTCACACAACTGCTGCATTATTATTGGTAGTAGTAGCGGTACTATTACTTGCTGTTAAGATGTAGACTATTCTGAATACGTTCAGCAGAAATCTTAGGATGTTCCGCATGCGGCTCGCTCCTGTCAGACATAAAAATTAGGCTTCAGGACTGGACGGCGCTGGCTGGTAGCTCACAGACAGCGAGTGAACTGGTAGAGCATGTTGACCACTTCACGTATCTGAGAAACTTCTCAGATAACCCTAATGGACTGATTACTGACGAGATCTCAACTCACATTTTCCAGCTTATGTCACTTCTGGCGTAAACATGCATATAGCAGGACAGATCGTTATGTCATTCTCTATGACTGTAAGACGACTGTCCAGTCAGTTTTGGCGTGTCGTCTCCCAGTATGGCTACTTCGACTATGTCTTTGCGTTAAGATGATGATAAATGTAGCTTTCATCACGTACCAACATCAATTAGATAATGACTGAAAACCAGGGAACACTAAACGGCTGTTTTCTCCTAATTTACGACTTTTCAACAGTTCCCATTCACGAGCCCAAAAAGAGTTGAACCTTGGACCTTCAGATTACAGGCTCAAGCTCGATAACTATCCATCCACTTGAGGTAGAATTCACTGCCACCGCAGATTCTTACTCTGTCATTTCATGATATAACGCTACTGCCAACCAGTGTCACTGACAAGCATCCACTGCCTCTTGATACGGTTAACTCCTCTGGCCATCAGGATATTGATTCACTGACCACCGAAGAGGTAGGGATTGGTGTTTAGATTATGAATTTTGTAAGAATTTCGATTTGGCTCAATGAGCTTCGCCTCGTAACCTAGTAGGTCGAAGTTCGATACCTTGGTTGGCTGTGGGTGGGCACAGTGAGGAGTCCCAAACTACGACGAAACTGTCGTCTATTGCTTCCAGTTTTCAAATGATTCTGACGTAATCTACATTCTCAAAGTAACCTCAATACTTACAAGACCTATAATCTGAAATGATGTTGTGTAAGTTTGTCATAGCTGGCAGTGGTATCTGGGAAGTGAGTTTCATGATTATGGGTACGTCTAGCTGAAGTTTCAGACAGGGGGGAATCCTCATTTTATGGATTACACTATGAGCCAACACTAACCGGAGTAAACTACATTAAATTTAAGTTTTTAATCTCACTCCATACAACACACTTCTTCATATATCTTTTTCCGTTTATATTATTTAGATAAAAGCTAAATACTATCGTGAATTACGAAAATTCATTTGTATACCAGATAATTTTCGTGGACTAAGTGAATTCCCCCAATCAACTGATAACAATAATAGTCATAACAGCAAAAAGTCAACTCCTACAAACAAGAATAATGATACTGTTGCCAGTTTTATATTCTCAAATATTATTGATAATCAAGTCAGTGGACTACGTGTATGCTACAGGAAAGTTGAATTCTTATTCACACGACTGTTGGGTAGTTTAGAACAATTTCAAGATTGGGTTGTATTAGGCAGTGTAAATCTAGATGAGTTAGTTGATTCACATTGTCGTGATCTTGTCGATTTTGAAAGAAATTTCAAGGTGAGCATCTTATTCAATTATATTATTTTCAAATCACTGTATTTTGAAGTAACTTATCAATAATTCTAATGTGATTTTTATTATATTTTCATTATTGTTCCCTTGTGTTCCAAGCGGAAAATAGAACTTTACCAGCACACATGGCCATTTCCTACCGTTTTCTACAGTCCATTTTAACTGGCTACACAATTGCCCATAAGGCTTTATCTCCTCCTCACACGATCCTGTCCATTGCATCCTCAGACTCATGCCCAACTCATCTTTACCCCTCAGGCGCCGGCTTGCCGTGTGATGTCACTCGATGTATTTCCTTCGATATATTTATTGATTGATGGACTCTTGGTTAATTAGTTTGCAGAGTTCTATTAGGGATCCCTGAAACACGAAATTCATGTCTTACTGTCAGTAAAAAAAAATGAATGAACAAAAAATGAACTATATATACACATGTGATTATTTATTAATATTACCTTGGGTTCCGAGTGGAACATGGGGATTCAACAACACCTCTCCAATTCGTTCTTTTTTCTACCGTCCTCTTCGGCTGGGTCCACGATTGACCATAATCTCTCATCTTCTGCTCCACAACACACGATCTCCTCCATGTCACCCTCACTTCGAAGACCCACTGATCAATTCCTATTTAGATTCCACTCGAGCTATGGCCTGCATTGTGTGCGATGTCATTCGATGGCTTCCTCAGTGGCGTGTGCCCGATCCATCTCCATTTCCTCCTACATATTTGTTGAGTGATCCACTCTTGGTTGGTTTGTTCCCAGAGTTTCTTGTTGGAAATTCTTTCCAGCCTGCCATTTGATCCTCACCATGGAGTGACGGCAGCCGTTGATGAAGGTTTGCAACCTATTGGAAATCCTTTTCGTGACACACGCGCAGTGCAAGTTTCTGACCCGTATAGAAAGGCCGAATTGACATTGGTGTTGAATTTTTTGTATTTTTAATATATATTTTCTGTGTGTTGAAGTTTCTCTAGTGGTTTGATAGGTTTAATGGTGTAGTTCATTCCTGGAGAAAATAAACTGTCTTTCTCTCAGAATCCAGTTTATTTCGGAAGCAGAGTTAGACGTCGGTGAACTGCCTAGTTAAGAGGAGGGAAAATGGACATTTTAGTATATCTATATTCAGGAAGAAAACCCACTCCAATAAATATTTAGACCTCAGATCATCACACCCCATCAGCGCAAAGATTTCAGTTGTTTCAAGTCTTCTTAGACGAGCACACTCTCTGATAACGGATGAGAAAGAAAAAGCAGAAGAATTATCAAACATTACTGAAACTTATAAATTATTACTGAAACTCTCAAGCAAAACAACTACCCAAAGAACTTCATTAACAAAATCAACACTGACATCAAGCATGGTCGAAAACGCATTCCGAAAACATAGACCTCAACAGCAGAGACGTCAGACGATATCAGAAGAGTACTCAATAAGCTCGACATCAGAGTTTTCTTCAAAACATCAGACACACTGCAAACCAACCTTGTTCATATAAAAGACAAAATCCCTAAAGATTCTCTGTCTAATTGTGTCTATAAAATAAAATGCTTGCTTTGAGTGTGATGCGATATGCATCGGACAAACATCTCGAGAAGTCAAAATCAGAAGAAATGAACACCGTAGAGCATCTCTTCGACCACCGAGAAATCCAGTTGAATTGGAAAAGCTTGAAAATTCATCAGCCATAGGTGGTGGGGGTCTACACGCTAAGGAATCAGGTCACAAAATTGGTTTTGACAATATTGAAATAATCCAGAAAAACTTCAGAAATCACAAAGAACGTCTAATATCAATGAGAAGCACTTCATATCAAGTGGAATCTGAATTGTCTGAACGATGGACTAAAACAGAATTTGACCTGGTTACAACACCTCCCTCCCCCATGAAGTGACAAAATCAACACGAATGTGATAAGCAAGTTCACTATGCAAACACACGCTGCTTTTATAATTTTACACACTTATCATATCCAACAATCTACACTTGGTTTTGTTATCTTTACCAATTGACTAATTTGACAAAGAAAAATGACCCCATACTGACGAACGGTGATCAAGTTAGTAAACTTTGTTTTGATACCATAGCAGATGTTAAAAGTGAGCTTGGTTTGGACATATATAACTTAGTGGTGTAGGGTTGTTAGCCCCACACCCAATCCTCCCTCTTTACCCGGGCTTGGGACCGATCAGAAAACCAGCGAGCTAGTTAACTAGGCGAGGTTATACATATATGATAACAAATAATAAAAGTGTGAATTAAAGAAAAACAATTCCAACATTTGGTGTAGTCGCCGGCAATAGTTTTGCTCGAAATATTAACAAAACAAAAACTTATCCTTGTGTAAAAACTATTGAAATATAATTATAATTTATTTCATGTCTTACCACTATTGAAATTCACTAGACAACTTAAAGATTGTCTCCCATCTAAGCCTTCCACTATCAACAAATTCCTTATTTGACTTCTTAAATATCATGTGAAATGGATGAGGGAATGTCTCTTCTAAAAGGTCAGTCAACCAATAACCAACCTTTACAGGGCAATAAATTAACTTCCATGATATGATGGTGAGATGTGCAATTTCTTTTAGTTGGTGTGGCTAATTTGGTGAAAGTATTGTACTTTCAATCGTCGACTCCCCGGTCTAAACATTGACCGAGTTATTTAGTTCTGTGGAGTGCAGTAGAACCAATAAGTCCTCAACACATTGAGTGTAGTTCATTATAGTACTCATGATTAATTATTACATCTTTACAAGAGATACATAGATGATACTTTCATCACTTGTGATGAGAACGTAGACCTTGAAAACTTACTTCAAACCTTCAACATTGCCCACCAAAACATCGACTTTACTCTTGAAGTTGAATCCGACGGAATGTTCCACTTCCTCGACGTCCATCTGACAAGAGACGCCGACAACTCTCTGAAAAAGTCCATATACAAAAAACCTTCATGGAATGGACAACTTATCAACTTTCAAAGCTTCTTGCCCCTAAGTAGAAAGAGGGACCCTATATACGCTCTTTCTTCGAGGATTCGGAAGATATGCAGCGAGGAGGTGATTGATGAAGAACTGCGTAAACTCCGAGGAACCTTGATGGAAAACAGTTTTCCGTCTAGGCTCACAGACAAGAATTTAAAATCAAAGAAGACCTCTGAACAAGTCCAATCCGTCCCAAAGAAAATACTTCTGCTTAATCTAGAATTCAAAGGTGATATTGAAGCAGAAATCCTTCGTAAACGCCTCTGCAAATCTCTGAGAAAACATACCTCTCCGCAAGCCTACGACTGACGTCTTCCCGCAAGAAACTGTTCAACCAGAACGCGGAAGACAAGCTGTCGCATTGGACCACTTCAACGTGCATATACCAGTTTACTTGCTCATGCGGAGCTGAGTACATAGGCCAACTTGCAAAACGTGCTCGTGAACACTATCCATCCTGGCTAGTAAAAGGAGAACAAAAATGTGTATATATTTCAGGAATAGAACATCTGGTCAATTCAGGACATTCAGTGCCATTCGATAAATTCTTCAAAATCATATACAAGATTCGATCAAGCCTATCAAAGGGAGTAAAATTTAAACATCTGAGAATAGTCGGGGCACTGGTCAACCAAAAGCTCAAACCCACACTTTGTATCCAAAAGAAATACGTCCAACCCTTGTCCCTGCCATGGACATCATAAACAGATAATTTTTTAGTAATGACTATCCCATTGCCTTTCTCATCCAAACTTCCTGTTTATTCATGTTATTTTTAAATTCTTCTTAATCACTACTTACACTACCATATTTTTATATCCAAACTTCCTGCCTATTTTGTCATTTTAATATTTCTACATATTTAATCCCTGGTTGCATAAACAATTATTCCTCACATTAGTTATGATCCCACTAGATTTTTTTATCCAAATATCCTGTCTATTTTGTTATGTCTACATTTCTAACCCCTAACTGCACAATATGTCAATCTTCTCAATAATTATGATGCACTTTGTTTGGGTTTTATCCATCCTCCACTGTTCGTTATGGCATTTTAATTCCTAATTGTAATTTAATTAATTTCGTGGTGAAAGCTGTCTGCAAACCAAAATTGTAGACAACAATTTACGTCAATGTTTACGTTCCAAATCGGGGTCATGAGAAAAAAACAATAACAAAGTTTAACCTTGAGGAACTCACCAACCAATCACAGCAGACTTAACGTGTGCAAATACGATTCTCAGATATATGGCTTAGCTGTCTAAGTAATGGTCACGAGCAGTACAGAATAACATTGAGCAAGAAAACAACCAATCAGAAGAGGTTGCTTCTCCGCTAACAATAGCACTAATAATAATGTACATAAAAATCTACAAATATCTGTTGATTTTCTCAACAAACGAGCTGTTGCCTGGCCCTTGTCTTCTGTCGTTACCATTCGACCGTTGACGGGAAATTAATTTGGAACTTCCCCACTCATTATTATTATAAATTCACGAATCTAAAGCTTTGTTGATGACTCCATCGAAAAGAAAATTTTCTTTGCTGTCACCGTCTTTTTATTATTCACATGATTTAATATCACTTTTGCCTGAAGTTATGCTATTCATCTGTTCTTGTTTGATTGTTTTTCTGCTGTATGATGACTCCTTTATTAATGAAAGGCGATTAAAATCCGTGGTCGTGAGGCTGAAAAGTTACCCAATGAAATACGCATCGACTGTATCACAGTAAACTGTCTACCAGTGAAAATGGCTATTGAAGGTTTACTTCAAAATTTATTTGATACACTACAGAATTGCTTGCGTAGATCAATTCATGGTGATTTAGTCGCTGCTGACGCCTTTTTAACAGGTTAGATCTCTGTTGTGTTGTTTTTCTCTTTCAGGAGGCATCAGTTTTTATGTTTTCATTACATTTATTTGCATACTTAAGTAAAAACCAACTGAGGTAGTGTCGTGGTTAACTTTGGAGTAGAATCGTAGGATGGTTTAGTACTCTGGCTTTTTTCTTGGCCTAACTTTTGAAATTAGTCTAAGCGTCATTATTAATGCTGCTCCACAGAGAGAAATGAAATCATCTGTTAATAACATATCTGTCTTCAAATTAGATTCCAGATTGATAAATGTAAGAGCACCTCTGAAAAACAGGAAGTACTGGATAACTGTTTTGTCCTAATTTCGGAAACTTCAGACGCACTAAGCCATGACCTAGTCGGCGATGCATCTCCGTCCTTTGGTCATATGACCACTGGGACAAAATCCAATGGCCTATGAATTCCAACTTCTTTCAGTTCACAACTTTTAGCACCACTGCCAGCCAGTGCAATTGGTGAGTATTTGTCCTCATACCCGACCTGGTGGACCCCACTAGTTATAACGTTTGACTACAGTTCCATGCAGCTTCATTCCAATGTCAGTCACTAGTGAGCATAAGAATTATTGGCAGGTGTTTGGTTTGTAGGGATTTGATTAGTTTCGAGTTAAATCGCGGATTGACATCAGTTAGAGAATCAGTGAAAAACATGGAGTACCGAACAGCTGTTTTGTCCTAGGTTAGGACTATTCATCCGTACAAGCCCATGACTTTATCAAGAACATAAACTCGAATCTTCAGGATAACGTCCCATTGATTAAATGGAAAACGAGCTAGCCTAAAGATTTTGGGTCCTATCCCTAGAGTTGTGCGTCGATAGCACAGCGGTGGAATTCCCCGCCAACCACGCAGGTGGTTCGGGGTTCGATCCCCTGCCGAACTCCTTTATCTCGCTAAACCAATAACAAAACTGGCAAAGAGGGAAGATTGGTTATGAGATTAGCAGCCTCATCACGTAAAAATAGATGCAACTGCTACCGAAACTTCCAAAACTCTGGCTTGAAGTCCTATGTTCCACTGGGAATGTAAAGGAATAAAAAAAGAAGAAAGAAGGAACTGTGTGATATATCTAACAAACAAACTAATATGGAATTACTTAATACCACAGTGTGGCCAAGTTTTACACATATACTAATTTTCTACAAGTCATTTTTACATGTCTGTTTGTATTTCTCTCACCCCATTTGATATCCTATTGGTTGTTCACTGTCTTAATTTACCAGTTACATTAATGCCTCTCAAGGTCATTTTAAAGCATATATTAACGCAAGCGGTGTCAATCTTTTTTGGACTATTGTTTTAAGACAGTAAGAGCTCTCTTATCAACGTCCAGTCTTTTCTTTTGTCTTTGCTTGCCGGCGGTGTCATTGTTGTTGTTACTGTTGACTTGCGATTGGGACAGATTAGCCAGATTATTAAATTAGTATTTGCTCTTAATCTACTAGGTCGTAGTTCTGGTCATAACAGCATTCTTTAACATCACTCTATTCTTTAATACCCTTTTTCTGACGTATCATTTCCTAATAATATATCTTCCTAGATTCATTAGATAAACTGAATTATCGTCCACAAACAGTAGATGAATTGAGTGAAGCAATGACACGAGAGAATGATTTCACTAAAGCGTTAAATCGTTTAAATGATCAAATTAAATGTGCTGAACTCAAGGATCAGCTGTTGCGTACTGTCTCCGGTAATGGTGTAACAAATATAAATACAATCAAGGGTAAATGGGAAAAATTTCAAACAATGATGGAAGGTTATAAAATGATGATGAATGAACAGTTAGAGGTGAGTGATTGTTATGTGTTATAAAAAGGAGATACTCTGTAAATCTGTACATTTCGTTATGCTTTGTTCAAAAATGAAAATTACTGTATACACTATCTGCACACTCTTTGTGCGTCGGTGGCACAGTGGTTATGACTCTCGCCGACCATGCACATGGTCCGGGGTTCGATCCCCTGCCGGCGCACACCCGATATCTATGGTCGGCCTGAATTTGGGCTACCGATATCCATGCTGAAAATTCCACACTTGTACTGAAAATACGGTGTGGAATCAAGCTGTAAATAAAAATAAAAAAATAAAAATGAACACTGACTAAAATGTCGATGCTTCCAACAATTTAGACACATGGAATATTTGAAAGATTAACCCACCGAAAGTCCCCCTAAGCCAGAGATTTAGAAAGGTACTGTAATTTTGAAGTGCTTATCGCAGGAAACTATCTGCTCTTGCGACCAACTAGGGCATGGAGGGAGTATGAGGTAAGAAAGGTGTTTGTCATAAATTGCATACTGACTGAGGACCCAACTGTGAAAATTTCATGTTGGCACTCTGTAAATTGATCTCGGAAGAATGCCATAAGATCTCATTTTCAACAAAACGTTTAAAGAAATGAAACTGTCAGTTGGCCTCAGATTCTGATATGAACTTGAATGAAATGTGGTGATTATTTAACTCCTTCCTTATAACTATGGTGTTGACATTTCAATCCTATATGGTAAATGCTAGTAGTTTTGAGGAGATCAACAGGCCTCCTTAAACCTAAAGTTTGTGTTTATTGCCACTTGTCGTCAAGGCAGTTTTGTAGTCTTGAATTGAACTGAACTTATGTCTCCGATTGAGTTGCTCATGGTAGATGTAACCACCTATCTCTATTCATGTAGTGACTGACACCGTGTTCTTACCTTAACTGATTCACTGAATAGTCATTACGGCTTATTTCTGATTGAATTTCATCTGTCAAAGTTTTGACTTTTCTGTCTTTGCTTCATGAAACGTCAGTAATGATCAAACTAAACATTTACGCGATAACTAAAGGCACCATCCATCGACAACATCTATCGTCTTTATCACGATCAGATGATCGATAACACAATCAGTTATCATCCTGGACTAAATTGATCGATATTCAGATCATTGAAATAATAGAGAAGATTTGTAGCTCAGGTGGATGATTTGCAATTAATAGTGTTCTCTGAGCTGCTTGGTTTAGTTGCGAAGCTTTCGTCGTCCTTCTGGACAACATCTTCGGCTCAAATGGTAGATAGCGAAGTGGTACAGCATATTGACTAATTCACCTATCCTGGGAGGGATACAAGAGGCTCTTCCGATATCTACTGTCTGACACCATCTTCAGTATAGATGTGATAGTGGGACATGTGTACGATGCAGCGGTTTACTGTGTCCTCCTTTATGTCTGTGAGACACCTCTACTGAAATTGAAAGATATGAAAAGTCTAATTGTCTTTAACCACCACAGATGTTTACGTTATATCTCTCATTTTAGGATCGGCGTAGAGTACTAGGTAGAGAGGGTAAGTTAGTGGATAAAGTTGTAAAGCTTCATTGATTAGGATGACTTGGGTACATCTTGCGCATTATGAACCACTGCCTTTATTGACGAGCAGTATTAGCTGGGTTGAAAAATGTTTAAGGATGGTCAAACCCAAACCTGGAATCAACCAACGTAGTCTTAAACATTGGTTTTTTGAGCCCACGTATGGAGGTGTAGGCTGCCTGGTTGGAGTAATTGTGACGCTAAGAATCAATGATTTAGCCGAAAATAGTTGTCAATGATGTGGATGCATTCATCCATGGTGATCGCTTAGATACATTGAACCCACAGGATTTTAATGTTACTATTCTTTCTGCCGTATATTCCTGATCATTAAGATGCCTTCGGTACGTCGGTGGTTCAGTGGTAGAGTGCCAGTCGATCATGCACGTGGTCTGGGTTCGAGTCCCGGCCAGTGCACACTTTTACCTACCTTAGCCCGTTATAATCCCAACAAAGATGGTTGATTGGGCGTGAGGCCAGCAACCCCACCCCGTACAAAAGAACACCACTACTAATCAAACTTCAGCACTAAAGCTTGAAGCCCTATGTTCCACTGGGAACGCAAAAGAATAAAAAGAGGTAGTTCTTTCGAATATCTTTAGTCTACCTTTGCAGACTAGATGGAGTGCAGTAAGGTTTTCTAGTAATTATCTACTTTTAACCTATTTTTATTTTGTTTCACTGGGTTGCGTTGCATTCCTAGGTATTAAAATCAAATGTTATCAATCAAACAAAAGCTTATCTCATGAATCTGGAACGTTTCAAAAATCGTTGGAATCAATCGAAACCAGGCAAAGATCTGTTAGACAGTGGAGATAATGATACGTGTTTATCTGCAATAGAAGTTATTAAACAACATGAAAATGAATTTCAAGAATTAAAAGCAATACATCAAAATTTAATGTATGCACATTTCACTATTTATCTTTTTAAAAAAAAAACCACTTGGTAACTTTACTTATTTACATGGAAGTAGTATTGTAATGAAAGAAGACAAGGGCCAGGCGACAGATCGTTTATTGAGATAATCAAGAGATATTTATAGATTTTTATGTACATTATTATTAGCGTTATTATTACTAGAGGAACAGCGTCTTCTGATTGGTTGTTTCCTCGCTGAAAGTTAACCTGTCATCTCTTTGTGGCCGTTTCTTTGAAGGGCAAACCATATATCTGCAAATCGTATCCGCCCACGCTAAATCTGCTGTGATTGGTTGTTGAGTTCCTCAAGGTTAATCTTTGTTATTGTTTTTTCTCATGACCAGGATTTAGGACGTAAACATTGACGTAAATTGCTGTCTACCAATTTTGGCTAGCTGATAGCTCTCACCACAGTGTATCTGTTTTTGTAGCATGATTCAATAGATTTGACAAGTCTTTGTTTTAATCAAACTCATAATGTAGAGGATGCTTTTTAAAACGATTTATTATTATTATTATTAAAACACAGACTTGGTACATTATGGGCACAAAGAAATGTGTCACACAAAATCTTGCAGTTTGTATGAGGGCTGGGATACTGATCGAGGTAGGTGGTTGTCTTGACGTTCCCCTATTCTCTCCATGCCTTTGACTTGAAATCTGATCAACAAGTCAGTGGAGAAGCGTCAGGGGCTACACTCCTATGATTGGCGGTGACTAAGACAGTTTCGCATAACATTCGATCCATTAGGATTCTGGGGCCTATGTATACCATACGTTTGGAATTAGGGTTTTCCAGCCCCCTAGGTAGTTAACTTACATGTCTGTCATTCCGGTTGTAAGTGCCAGACATCCTCATTCGCCCTCTCACTGTTGTGAAGAGCACCCCGACTATGTGATGGTAGTGAACAGGGCTTACCTGGCAGACACACATACCCTGTACCTGTCATTTCAGTTGCTAGTGCATTACGCATTAGTCTAAAAAGTCATAAGAGCATACTCCTTCTACTCCTGGATTTCTCCGCTATTCAAATCTAGACAAATAGTCTAAATAAAGGTCAGGGCAGCATTCATTACCCTATCAGAGGACAGACATATGCCCACATAAACTCTCAGTTTGATTTTATAAATTAAGATAATGCAAAGGAACATTCAATACTACTCATGTACTGACTACAGGAATTCTATGCATTAATTTATTAGGCATACCTTCATCTGTTAGTTCTTATAGTACGAAATGTTTTCCCTTTCAAATTCTGGTAAGTTGACTATAGTTTTGAAGCTGTGACTCGTTGATTGTAGATCAAATCATAAGGTCAATAAGTTACGCCTATAAATGCCTCGCTTCTTTTTTTATTTTCCTTCTGTTTACATCAAAGTTTCCCTTTCAGCAGCTATCTAAAGCTAAAAACATTACGTGTTGCTCATTGCCTTTGTGATGGTTACCAATGGAATCCAAGGGTGTACTCCATCTTGTATCATGTTTGCCAACTAGATGTATCTCCATCCCAGTGTGATGTTGTTACCAATGAAAGTCTGATGCAGCAACCACTATCCTAATGAAACACGTATGATTTATTGTAAGCATCAACAGTGAAGCAATTCGGAAAAGGCTTCAACATCATTCAGTGCAGTGCCCAAAACCTGTATCAGTCTTATTCGACAGCTGTCTAATGCTGCAACACTTCAAGCGATTCACAACGTAAAATCAGCGAAGACTTTGAAGTGAACATAGAAATAAGACAAAGCTGTCTACTGTCCGCTGATGGTATACCTGATTATAGTAGATTGGACAGTGCAAAAGATCTTGGAGAGTGAGAAGACTGGGCTAAGCTGGGCAGATAAGAAGACTTTAGAAGATTTGGATTCCATGGATAATTTATGTCTCTTGTTTTAGAAAGTCAAAGATTTAGAGGTGAAAACCAACAAGTTGGAGGAAGTAGGAGCGAAGACAGGACTTCAGTTGAACATAGTTATGACGGAGATGATGAAGGTACCCAAATAACCAAAAACCGCTCTCGGAAACACTATCCAGCATGGTTATTACAGGGGGAACGCAAGGGTGTATGCATTTCGGTAACAGAACATCAGTTCCATTTGAAAAACCCTTCAAAGTGAAATAAAGGTATCTGGGAACAGCCGAAGCATTGGTGATCCAAAAACTCAAGCCCACATGGTGTTCGAAAGAAATACGTACAACCGTTGTTCCTACCATGGTCATCATGAAAAGTCAGTCCCACCAATAATGATTATCCGTTTACCCTTCTTATCCAACACTCCTGTTTATTTCTGTTATTTAACGTTTTTAATTTACTAGATTTGGATGCTTTTCTTATTCTTATACATGTTCGAACTTCGTATCTGTTTTGTCAATACTACGTCTGTAATCCGTAATTTGTACAAACAGTCAAGTTTTTCAGTAATTATGATCTTATTATGTGTTTATTACACTTTGTAATTTTATTAACTTACTCTTTGACCGGAAGTACTTCTGGAACTTTCTCACACACTTACTATAAATACACGAATGTACAGCCTAGTTGATGACTTTGTCGAAAAGAGAACTTTCTTCACTATAACCGTCTTTTTCATAATTCCTATGATCCAATGTATTTTTTGTGTTTTTAATATATTTCTTGTGCGTTGAAGTTTCTGCAGCAGTTTGATGGCCTTTGTGGTGTAGAGTTACTAGCCCCACATCCACCCCTCCCTCGTTACCCGGGCTTGGCACCGGCTGGAAAACTAGCAATCTAGTAAACTGAAGATCAAATAAGCAGCTGACCAGAAAGACTTGGCAACACGGAACTCTGGCTGGGAACAAACCAACAGGCGAGAGCCGATCGCTCAACAGATATGTCGAAGGAAATGGATATGTATCGAGAATGTATTGGGTAGGCCGTTGAATGACGTCGCATGCAACGCAGGCCATTGCCGTAGTGGAATTCCAATGGGAAGCGACGAGTAGGTCGTCGGTGCGTAGGTGGTATGCAGGAGATCGTGGGAAGAGGGGATAACAGGTTATGGGCAATCGTGGAGCTAGCCAGCTGAAGAGAACGGCAGAAAACAGAAGAAAGTGGAGATGTGTTGTTGAAGCCCTATGTTCCACTCGGAATCCAAGGGAATAACAATAATATATAATAATAATGATCCAGTGTATATATTTCGGAACCCAAATAAGCATCGATCACCATTAACAGAAGATATTTGAAGGAATTCACCACTTTCGCTTTCCTAGACAGCATCGTTTTAGCTACAAGCGACGCGGATGAAAATGTCAAAGTAAGTCAGAATCGGAAACCCAAGGTCGACCTTTATTAATTTGGAATATGTGTGGAATTCTACTGCTGCACTGAACAAGATTTGGATTTTCAACACTAATTCGAGGTCAGTCATTGCTTCTGTATAGTTCAAAGATTTGATATGTGCGTCAGGAAAAGCATTTCTAACAGCCTTCTGCAGACTTTAATCAATAGACGCTTTTCCTCAATATTAAAGATCATATGACCTGAGTAAAAGTTGAAGTAAAAAGAAATTAAGAAATAGCGAAGAACCTATCCCCCGGACGGAACTGATGAGGATATCATCAAAGTGAGGATCGGGAAAGCAAGGTAAACTTTCATTAATCTCAAGTCCGTGTGGAGATCAACAACACTAAGCATGAAAAATAAGATCCGGATTTTCAACTCCAACTTGAAGTCAGTGCTACTACACGGATCAGAGATTTGGCCAGGACGTCATGAAGAGCACTTCCAACAAACCACAGACCTTCACCAACAGCTGTCTTCACTCAATACTACTCAATATCAGATAGCCGGCCAGAAAAAATAAACTACAGGAAGGGATCTCTGGGAACGAATGAACCAACCCAGCATGAACCAATTGTGCAACAAATATGCAGGAAGAAATGGAGGTGGATTGGCCATACTCTGAGGAAACAAACCATCAAATGAGTGACATCACATACCAGGCTATCGCTCGAGTGAAACCGGAATGTGAAGCGGCGACTTGGTCATCAGTGCGAGGGTGACATTGAGGAGGTCATGTGGAGAGGACGGTTGTGGCCCCAAGTGAAAACGTTGGTGGAGAAGCGAACGCAATGGAGACGTGAGACTGAGTCTCTATGTTCCTCTAGAAACTAAGGCAGACAATAATAATTCTATAACGCATACATTTTGTTCCAATTTTATAAGTTAACTTAAGCTTTTCGATCAGTAAATGTTTCTGTGAACGTTAATTTGTCTTTTGATGTCTACCATGTTCCATTGAATATAACCACAAATACATATATGTTTATTTACAGACGAGATTATGAATATTTTGGTATGAAGAAACCAGAACTTTCATTAACTGATGAATTAGCTAAAGATTTAAATGAATGTACTCTCATGTGGTCAGAATTTGATAATTTCTTCAAAGGTTTACAAGTATATGCTAAAGAAGAATGGATTTCATTCAAGTGAGTCACTGTTGATTCTTTACATAACTTTTATACAAACAAATGTGCTATTGATACAATTAAGATTTATGATCAAATGGCCTTATAAGTAAACGGTTCATTGGTAACGTCTGTGACTTCACTGTGGAATATCTGACAGGGTGGGGAAGCATCAATTCCTTTGAGGTTGTAGATATGCTTTGCTGACGAGGACCAACAAAGACGAAATCTAGTTTCATAACTTCTCTATTAACTACCTGCAATCACATCACCTCAAAGTGAACGCCGATGTTCAGTCACCTAGCTTGAAAATCAAACTTGACGGATAGAATTCATAAGAAAAAGACGTAAACAGCGAATATTAACTGATGACGTTTCGATCATAAACTGTTGGTCATAATCATATATGAGCATCTGCGCTAGCCATTGAGAACGAGGATTTTGAGCCATATCACCGATTGTTTCCAGCCATTGGTTTTTACCATCCAGAGAACTCCAACCAGGGAGTCTACACATTCCTACGTGGCTTAAATTAACTGTTGTGAATTTCATTGACTGGTGAAGCCATGTTTTTGTTTGACCATCATTAGCTCTTTTCCAACCTAACCCTATGTCAGCTAACATTACCCATCAGTCGAGGAAGGCGATGGATAGGCATATGTAACACGTGTTCTAACCATCTCAGTCGATGTAGCTTCACAGCCCCGTCAATTGATTTCCCATCCTTATCTAACACTCACTCGACCAAAGCCTAACTTCAATATTGCTCACTCTATTATACTACCTAACACGAGAGATAGAACACATGCACCTATGATCAAAGACAGCTAGTCAGGCTTTTCATGTCTTCCAATCTCAATGACCAGGTCTCACAGCATCATAAAGGAGGACGGAGCGGACTGCTGATTTAGATCATTAGATTTCGATGATGGAAGGGTATAACTGGACCTCACTTGAAAAGCTCTCAATTTTCGACAACAAAGTTGATTAGAGTAACACAAAGATGGTGCACAGTTCTCAATGATACAAATGTATTCACTCTCTTTGTGATCATTGTGATCTCCAAAATCCACTTAATTCTTATTATTCTGCATGAAAGTATTCTTTCTGTGGCAAATTTCCATTCACCATTCATATACCCAATGCCTAAATTTTTTTTCAAACTGTTAGAAGTGAACTTGGTGTTTGGTTCTTTTCTGAGTAACTTTATTGTGTGCACTATAAAGTGAGAAATTTCGAACTGCTGCTCCTTCGTGCAAATTTCTACGTTCAAACTCCGGATCAAAAAGGTTGAGCATTTGTCTAACTCTCATTTAATTGAAGAAGTAAGAGAGTTTCACGAATAACCTACATTCTCAAAACATCCACTTCCTGTAAACCCACTGTGTCTGTTACAACTTGTATTCTATTAAAGTTTTACATTGTCGCGCTGTCACAACAGTTGTTACTCTCTAATGTTATAATAAAGGAGTTATTACATAACTATTTCACCTGGTAATTATTTTACTTCATATTACTTTTTAAAAAAACTCTGAATTTCTCTTTTTTTATTTGACCAAGATCGCGGTATTATGTATTTGAAGAATTTTTAACTGAATGGTCTGGTAAACTGCGTTCTTCACAGGCAACTGCGATGACTGTTCGTTTACAGAAAGAAATTGATCGATATCAAGTAGGAATTTAAAATGATATATTTATGCTTACATTTCGGTATTATAATTATTATTCTCTTGGGTTCCGAGTGGAAAATAGGGCTTCAGTGGGACATCACCATTTCATTCTGTTCTTTGCAATCTATCTTTTTTTAACCGGTTCCACCATTGCCCATGAGCTTTCACTTCCTCGTCACAGCAACTTCCTCCATTCCATCCTTGGACCACCGCCGACTTCGTTGTTCCCCACTTGAGTTACATCCGGAGGAAATTTGATTATCAAGTAGTGGTTTGTAGGGATTTTATTTGATTGGTTGGAGGGTTTCGGTTAGAGAGACATTGCAAAACTCACCAGGGAATACTGGATAGCTCTTCCGTCCTAGTCTCTCTGGAATCTTCAGTACGCACCCACCACCGGGGTTCCAACCCAGGACCTCCCGGTTACAAGGCGAGCTCGTAGACCACTGCAACCGGATTCAATGGCTAGCGCATGAATTCCAACTTCTGCCATTTCACGACACAGTGCGACCACTTCACAACGTCTTCGCTGAGTAACTGTTCCCACCTTCGACCTGCTGTACCCAACTGGTCACGACTTCCCACTAGAACCCTAGGTAACTACCTACCTGAATAGGGCCAGTCACTAGCAAGTATCGTATTATTTTCGTGACAAATTTAAAAAAAATTAACAAGTAATACATAGCTGTTCCTTTCTAATCAACCAAGTACTCTTGTTGATTGACGAGGAAGAATGAAAATCTCTACTCAGATTCAGGAACAAAACAATCGTAGACATCTTGACCACATTGTCGGAATCCGACAGTCTATGAATTTCATCTAGTTCTGATGTACAAGATAGAACGATTGTCATAATATATTGTCGGTGAGCTGCTTTAATCAAAATCAAATTAATTGTCATCAAAAGCCAAGGTTTGTCACTAGAATTTACAGGGAATCCACCTCAAAGTTAGTTACTAATCAGTACTGAAGCAATACTTTGTTGTAGGGTTTATTAGATGGTGATTTATCTTGGACGGGTTTTTCAACAATGATCAACTGCAGAAACTAAAAGGAAGATTTAGGAATAATAGGCGGTTACGTCCTCAAATCTTGAGGCTTCTTATGATACCCGTCTTATGGAAATATGTTCACAGTTTTCTAAATTTTAGTGAGCAGCAAAGATTTTGACTATCATTTTCAAATGCGAAGCATAAAATGTGCTTGTCTTATACTCAATTTATATTTCTCTCAGTTTTCTTCACAGTTGCCTTCTCAAGACGTCTCTCTGGTCTTAGCATTTTTCTGCTCATTCTTAACCTTTATTCTTGGAATGTTCAGTTCCCAAGATGTCCTATTATTGAAGCTACCGCCTATGAATCACCTGAATTTTCTTCATGACTATAATCTTCACTACTCAGTCTAAATGTATCATCACGTCTCATATCGAACAGCTTGATTTGCTAAGGGTTAATGAACACCTAAGTTTATTTATTTATTTTGATTATAGCTTGATTCCGCACTGTATTTTTGGTACAAGTATGGTTTTTTTCAGCATGTTATATCGGTAGACCGAATTTTGCAGACCGACCATTGATATCAGATGCGCATCGACAGGGGATCGAACCCCGGACCATTTGCATGGTCGTCGAGAGTCTTAACCACTGTGCTACCGACTCACCGCAAGGAGATCTCTTTTCTTAGTTTCACTTCGAAGATGTGTGGTTATTCTGGGGGTTTATATATATACAATGTGAATGGACAACAAAGGCAAGAGGTTACTGTCAGTCAGTAACAAAACAAGTCAAAGTTTATGGTGAATAACAGTGTGTGAAAAACAGTGAAAAACCTTGCGTAATCGAGAGGGAGAGAGAGGGTTGACAATTAATCAGTTAAGTAGTGAATAGCCATTTGGAAATAATTGATAGGCACCAAGAGAACAAAGAAATGAAGATAGGTTAAAAAAAGAAATAAAATGGCTACACAAAGTTTCTTCATGCAACAGTCCGGGTAAATAAAATTGACATTAAGGCTGCGGTGATAAAGGAAATTGGACAAAACGTTTCTGAACACAAAGTTCGGATTTTTCCTTATGAATTGTTTGAAGTTTGGCTGCTTTGAGAAGATGTAAGCTTGATCTGACTTTACATATGACCCTAAGTGAAGTCTCTGCTGGTGCTGCTTGGCGAGAAGTCGTAATGTGTTCAGAAATTGAGTCGTTTATTGTTCTGCGTTCTCCTTCTAGACAACCATGCTACTAAGTGTTCATGACAGCGTCTAGACAATTTCCTGCTGGTACGGCGGATGTACTTAACTCCACACAATCAGTTGAATTTGTAAATAAACATTAAGATCTACAACAACGGGATCTTGTCTTTGAAATTTTTGTGAATAAGAGTGTGTGTGAAGAAAGAACGTTCCTGGAATTGCTGCCGACAGATTGCTTCACAGAACTTCAATAATTGTATCTCCATTGAATTCCATACATACAATTAGTTGTTTTTTATATGTCTATATGTTTGTCAATGAAGGAGATTAGATATTCATTTATGAGGTGGGTGTTTTAGAAGGATTTCAATTCCTTATTCAGTGTATATTCAGTGCACATGAGGTAGATTCTCATTGCTGGAGAGACGACGGGACAAAACCGTAGTATTTTGACTGATCTTTGTAGGCTTCCATCTGTTCTTCTTGAAAGCTGGATATCTATAAAGGATAATTTACTTTATGATTCCACTTCAATTTTAAATTCGACTGATCGATGAGTATTGTTAGACATTTGCAGGATTTTACTTAGCTTAGCACTTTTATCGATAATAGTAAAGATATCATCCCTGTACTGCTTGCGAATTTTGGACTAATTAGAGGCTGGTTTGAGGCTACTAAATTCAAGGTACGCTATGAAGCAGTCAGCGAGTAATGAACCAAGTGGAGAAATCATTGCCACTTCATCTTTCTGTCAGTTTACTTGACTGCTAAATAAAAATTGGACGCATAATATACACCCGAGGATAATCTCTCTCTCTCTGATATGCTCAGTGGATATACCGATATTTAGATTATTTGAGTCGATAAACTAACATGGTTAGCTCAAGATTTCTGTAAAAGGGGGATATCAGTGAACAAGGAAAGTACACCGATTGGAACCATAACTGATTCAGGCATATTCACTCGTCTAACCGAATACACAGATGCAATCGTATTAAGGAATTGCTGTCTTTTACGTTACTGGAGAAATTACTCTTTTGATAATAGTTTTGTGAATAATAAATCTGTCTGTCTCTCTGGTTTCAACATAAAACTTTACACCGGTGTGCAGCAGTTCGAGAAGCCACACTTCACTCAGCACACAAAGCCAGAGAAGAAGAAAGTAAGAAGAAACGCAAAATAGAGACAGTAAACAGAGATATGAGGCAAAAAAAGAGTAATATCGAAGAGCAATATAGTTTTATTGGAAATTGTAAGTCACAAGGAGTGGATGCATCTGGGCTAGCCATTGAGAACGAGGATTTTGAGCCATACCACCGATTGTCTCTAGCAGTTAGTGTTTACTACCCCGAGGACCCCAGCCAGGAAGTCTACACCTTCCCACATGACTGGCTTAAACTAACTGTTGCAGATTTCATTGACTGATGAAGCCATGTTTTTGGTTTGACTACCCTTGTCTGTTTTCCAACCTGACCCTATGTCAGGTAACATTGCCCATCGAGGAATGAATACTAAACGAAGTCAATGGAATTATTATATGAGATTTTTTTATTCCTTCACGTTCCCAGTGGAACATAGGGCTTCAAGCTAGTGGCTTGAAGTTTCTGTAGCAGTGTTTATTTTTACAGTATGGGGTTGCTAGCCTCATGCCCAACCTTTCCTCTTCACCAGCATTATTTCTGGCTTAGTGAGATAAAGGAGTGCGCCGGCCAGGGATCGAACCCCGGACCATATGCATGGCCGGCGAGCGTCCCAACCTCCATACCACCGACGCAAATTTGAGGCTTAGAATGGTATATTTTGGTATTCGCCTTCAAATGAATATTTGATTTCTATTCATTTTTTGTATGATCATGACGTGTTCATTACCTGTCTATTATAGGATCTTATACCAGTACTAAAATGGTTGAAAGGTGATCATTTAACTAAAGATCATTGGCTTGAATTATTCCGTCTGATTGGTCTACCGAAAGGAATCAAACTAGAAAGTCTTCTCTTTGGTGATTTACTACAAGTTGGAACAAATATCACTAATCAATGTGATGCACTGAAATCTCTTGCACAACGAGCACAAGCTGAAATTGTTGTACGTGAAGCATTACAAGAATTAGATGTCTGGGGTGCTGGTACAACATTTACTCTCATAGAATATATTGATAGTGCTGGAAAAATTGTTTATCTAGTTAAAGATTGGAAAGAGATTCTTAGTCAGGTAAGTTTTATAAAATTGGGAATGAGTATTTTGGTATAGTGTGTATATCTATGCGTAATTTTTACCATTCCTTGAGTTCCGAGTGATGGATAGGGCTTCAAATTCGAGGCCTAGAAGTTTCGTTAGTGATGCTATTGTTTTTTTACGGGATTGGGTTACTACCCATCCTTCTTTTCCCACCTAGCTATCGGTTACATGATGTTTAGATGAAATGGATCGGCCGAGAGTCGGACCCAGGATCACGTGCATGGTTGGCGAGCTTCCTATCACTGAACCACCAACGCAGCACAAACTTCATGCGACTTGATTAGCGAAAGTTAGTTTCACTACAGTTTTAACACAGTAAAGTTCACTGGTGATTAAATGTGGAACAGTAGTTAAGAACAATCATGATATATACAGGAATCGGATTGTTAAATTAGTAAAATATGAAAACTACTGCTGTACTTTATGGTTCAGAAATTCGGTGTGTCACCAAAAGCATTTCTAAATAGCCTGCTGCAGATTTGTGTCAGCGCCTACCTTCACTCCATATTGAAGATCAGATGGCGGGTTAGAAAGAATTAGGGACAAGAAACTCTGGGAACGAACCAGTCAAGAACCTATTGCTCAACAATTATGCCGAAGGAAATGGAGATAATTAGGACGCGAATTGAAGAGACTGTTGGATGACATAGCACGCCAGACCAGTTCTCTAGTGGAACCCGAATGAGAAAAAACAAGTTGGGCATGGTTCCGAGGATGACATGGAGAAGACTGTGTGGCGAGGAGGAGATGAAAGCTTACGGGCAGTCGTAGAGCCAGGTTAAGCGGACTGTTGAAGGCCTATGTTCCACTCGGAAACCAAGGGAATACTATTAATGTAATAACACTTTCTCAAATAAAACAAAAATACAGGGAGCAAGGGTAGCAACAAGCTACTATGGTGCATAAATTATAAGATAGTGTAATCAATCCCCGGAACAAGTGGGTGGTTGGCGATCAATCTACTGCTGAACAACCTATGCACTGATCAATCCACCCATTTATACCGAGGAACACATTAAATATGTAAACCTCTTTAGTTTGCTACCTTCATCGTGTATTATTTATTTTACCATAGGTATAGAGTGTGAAATTTGAAATAATGCCTATGCTTCAGCAGTCTTGATATCCTTTTTTCCATGTTACGAGGTACAACAACTTTGGCTGATTCAGTCATTTTTAATATATTCAAAGTTGACCAGAGAAACGCACCTAAGGAATACAAAGACTGGAAAACATTCTGATTGATACTTTCCCTGATAGATGCTTAAGACATTTAGTATACAAACTAAGCTAACATATTCTTAAAGCAGCTAAGATATGGTAAGGTTTGAAGATAGTTATTAAGAGTCAGATGGAAACATGGCACCAACCTATGTAAAGGCACTTCAGAGGAAGTTAAAGCTTTTACGACTTTACGTCATGTTATTCTACTTATTGAGATGGTTACAAACTAACAGGATGCTTGACATTTTGAAATGATTGATATATATAGTCATAAATGAGGAAGAAACAAAAAAGATTACTCTAGAGTTAGTGGATTTTGATGCTAGCTGTTTATCATTGAACCCTTTGAAATCTTTGAAACATTTTATCCCCTTTCCTTCTTATTCAATGTACTAACTGGTTAGTTTATTTCGTTTATTCCCCAATCTAATACTACTTTTCTTAAACGTAGTTCTCAGTAACCTTCGAAGTTGTTTCTATATACCTAGTGAAGGCAACTAGAAGGTAGTTTGTTTTCTGGCCAGTTTGCGTTTCTCGTTGACATGTCCACAGATTAATATGAAGTTATTTTTGGTTGATGGTGACTAACTGTGGAATCAATTGGGATGTGGATTTCGTTCTGTTTAAGACTCATAGCCTAGTAGATAATGATACGATGTTTGAAACCATAGGTGCTGTGTTGGAATCCGGGTCGGAACGTTCTTGACAGGTAGACCAATCAAGAGTCTTGACCTCAGTAGCTATTACATACGAGGGTTAGTTTAGCTAATACATACATCGGCCGCCTGCTTAAAACTCGGGCTACCGAAAAGTTTCCATCTATCTATTGCACATATTTTCTCTCGTCCGGTTTGTTTTAATTGATTAAGATATGACCTCTATTGGTATTATCTACACTCTTGTGCGTATTTAAAATGTTTAAAAGCTTCTGATTCTCAATTTCCTACTAAACTTGAGGAATGGCCTGATTGTGGGTGACAACATGTCCCAATACATGAGATAAATGTTCTTTAGTTATGTCCTTGGGTCTCAAAATGTACTTCTAAACACCTTATAATTCGCTTTCAACAACATATCTTGGATTTCTTGAAGGAGACAAAGCAGATGCATCATAGTGGAATGGTTTGTGTTTCAGCTCGGAGACCATTGTGTCACAGCAAGCATATGGTGTCGGTTGATATTTTACCTGAAGATATTGTACGAAAGGAAAATATCATGCAATAAACTCCTCCGAAAATTCCGTACATTTTATAAATACTATCCAGAATAAAGACGTTATTATTATTATACTTCATTTTCCAGCAACTACACAAGTTTAACTCAAATTCGCAGTTTGTAAATTAATTCGCGATTTGCTGATTACACATTTCAAGATGAAGTTCCAACCCCCCCTCCGTCTCAGTTTCCTCCGGGAGCTGCAATTATTTAAATCACAAAATATGCGATATACTTAGTAGTGTAGATGATAATCAATAAATCAGAGGAAACTGGTGAAACCTCATCTCGAACTGTGTAATTTTCTAATCATCAATTATATTTCGCTAATTGCCGATTTAATTCAACTTATTTCCAATTCTCCCGAATAGTTAGCGAACCTCTTAGTTGTTTTTTAACCGATTCGGCTCTATGAGCTAAGTCAGTGTTAACCGGCTCTGTCCCAAATGAGCGATCACTTCGATTACCTGTCTAGCAAGTACTACTGCCTGACATGAGTGGTATTCAACTACTTATATAAGTCATCCAGTGATATGTATAGCCACATAAACTCACCTAATGCTCTAGGGGTTCCAGTCTACGAAGTGATCAACTAAAATCTGTCAGAAGTATCTATTGAATTGAGGTTTGTTTTAATTAAAGTGTGAACACCAACTTACCATTCTGTTGATGAGAGTTGTAAACTAGTGACTGCACTTTAACGACATGCGATTAAACTCATTTCTTCATGAGTTGAAAATAAAATATGCCCCTTTTTTAAATTATCAGGGTTAAAACAAAACTATTCCTGACTGTTTATGCTGTTTTTTTTTAAAAAAACAAACTAGGTTGGAGATAATATCGCGCTGTTAGCATCCCTACAAGATTCACCATACTTTGATAGTTTTTCGGACAGGTCAAATGCTTGGGCAAAACGTTTATCTGATTTAGACTATTGTCTTACTGGATTACAATCAATTCAACGGAAATGGATTTACTTAGAACCAATAATGAGTCGTGGTGCTCTACATAAAGAAAGCGCAAGATATGCCCAAATCGATACAGAGTTTCGTCAACTAATGTCTAGCATAAAAGCAGACAATCGTGTGGTTAGTTTAGTCAACGGGATGAAAGGTACTGCGTTGAAAGAGAATTTGAATAATTTACAAGTATGTTTCTGTGATTTTTGACTTTTATGAATATCTTTCACTTATTGGTAATGTAATCATTAGCTTCACTTTAGATGTTAATATATATTTCTCATCTTATTCTAGAGAAATCTAGAGAATAGTTCAGCTGTACTACTCACTACATGCAATTACACACAACCATACATTGCGATGGGATAGGATGACAGTTTTAAAATCTAATGTCACAGGGTGGAGGGAGAGATTGATAACAGAAGCTTTGTTTATCGAATCAACTGCAAATACATGTAACAGGAATGATTCAACACCCGTCCAGCCAGACATCTGGAAAATTCTACTACCCCTACGACAAATAGGAGAGAATAAAGGAAACTATCAAACTCAAGTTTCGATGTCGTGTGATTATATTTGATGCAATGATCATGAGCAATAAATTGTGTTCGAAACATCATCCAGTAAATAATACTGTTTCACTGTGTGATACATCTAATAAACAAACTTGAGATGGTTTTTTAGTCATATACAGTGATTCCAGCCCTACGTGTATATTTGTTATATTAGAAAATGTAGCGTGTGCGTCGGTGGCATAGCGGTAGAATGCTAGCCGGGTTTGACCCTCGGCCGACGCATCCCTTTATCTCGCTAAGCCAGTAATAAAACCGGTAAAGAGGTAGGGTTGGGCATGAGGCTAGTAACTAAATTCCACTAAAATGAATACCACTGCTAGCGAAACTTGAAAGCTCTAGCTTGAAGCCCTATGTTCAACTCGGAATGTAAAGGAATAAAAAACGAAAATGTAGCAAGTTAAAGTGTACTGCGACTGGCCGACAGAGAACTTTGCGCGAATGTGTATCACTTGAGGTCACCACACTCCATGTGTACCTGTAACGGTAGAAAACGGGAGACATAGTAAAGGAGTGTTTATTTGGAATTTGGTATCTCTATATTAGCGAAATTATATGCACCTTATCTCTAAATCGTCATTTCCACAAATCTTCCGTGTTGGGCTACTTCCACCCTGCGCACTGTATTTCTTTGTCTTCTTTTAGTGTATCCCGTGTTTTGCTATAACGCTGAATCATTTGCTCTCTTTGACACCAAATCTGTCATTTGGCTATTTGATGTTTTTATGCCGATGAACGTCTCTTTAACACTCCACTTACCACACAAATACTAGAGATGAAGGAAATGATTTTCAAAATGAGGAGAATTATAAGGCAGAATGAGTATTAACATGAAAAAACAAGAGGATTTAAGGGGTTCGAACCTCGTTGGGTATATGCTGTTGAAGAGTCTCAAACTAGGACTCCCTGATCTTTCAGTGTTTCTCTAAATGATGTCAACTCTTGATAGGCTTTTCTTTGAGAACTAATTGTTTAATATAGTGATGAAACTGGACCGTAATCCATTATAATTTCAGTTTTTTATCTCTCACTTCCTCTTCCTGCTTTTATATATTTGAATCTGACCTGTATAACATTCGAACCTTAGTTTTTATGTAGCTGATTCCATGTAGTCTGTTAACTTATTAGTCATATATTTATCAATATAATTACAGTGGTATATATATATATATGTATATTGCGGTAGACTGGATAATGCGACAGACAGCTGAGGGCAACGGGAAAGCAGGCATAAAATGGGCTCACTCAAAAAACTTGGAGGATCTGGACTTCGCCGATGACACATGTCTGATTTCTCACAAACTGGAAGATGTGCAAGTGAAAGGCAAAAAGTTAGCAGAAGAAGAAGCATCAAAGATAGGAAGGACTTCAGGTGAACTTAGAGGAAATCGATATGGGGATGAAGATTCCTGACCAACAGCAACAGTAAAAGCCACAACAACAGACAACAATCAATCAGCATAAATGGGGAAAATCTGAAAGAAGCAACCTCCTCTACCTACCTAGCTACCTACCTGGGAATCATCATTTCAAATACAGTCTACCGGAACTGATGAGGATATCTTCAAAGCAAGGGTTTGAAAAGCAAGGCAAGCTTTCATCACACTCAAGTCTGTGTGGAGATGAACAGCACACTCAGCATGAAAAATAAGATTTGGATTTTCAATTCCAATGTGAAGTCAATGCTACTGTATTGATCAGAGATTTTGGCACCACATCACGAGGGGCACTTCGAACACACTACACACCTTAATCTACAGCTGTCTTCGCTCAATACTACTCAAGATCAGATGGCCAGCCAGAAATGATGAGCAACAGGGAGGGATATCTGAGAGCGAACAAACCAACCCAGCAGGAACAAAATGTGCAACAAATATGCAGGAGGAAAGGGAGATGGATTGGCCATGCTATGAGGAAACAAACCATCAAGTGAGTGACATCACACTCCAGGCCATAACTCGAGCGGAACCAGAATGGAAGACGGCGATTTGGTCATCAGTACGAGGGTGACACGGAAGAGGTCATGTGAAGAAGAGATGAAAGCATGTGGGCAGAAGTGGAGCGAGGTGAAAATGTTGGTAGAGAGCCGGACGCAAAGGAGATGTGCAACTGAAGCTCTATGTTCCTCTAGGAACTAAAGGGAACAATAATATATATTTCTGTGTATAGAGTACTCAGATGAAGAGTTCCTGTGAAATACAGTGAATTTATTAAATTCTGTTTTATTAACAACATATATTGCTTATTGACTTTTGTTTTATTCTTCTTCTTCTTCAATGTTCAAGGATCAGTTAGCTCGATGTCAACGTGCATTGAATGAATATCTCGAAGAGAAACGTAGTATCTTTCCACGTTTTTATTTTATTGGCGACGATGACCTACTGGAACTGTTAGGTCAAACAACAAATCCAAGTATTATACAAATGCATATTAAAAAATTATTTCAAGGTATACATACTGTAAAATTTGATAACAATGATCAAACTACTGATAACAAGGGGAAACAAGTAGTTAAAAGTAAACAACCAGAAAATATTACAGCTATATGTTCAGCAGAAAGTGAAACTGTACATTTACAAAAACCAATACAATTAACTAGTGAAATTGAAGTTTATCTTGAAAAGTTAACAAATGAAATGAAATCCACACTGAATGAATTATTAGTCCAATGTTTGAAAGAATGTTCCAGTGAAAATCAACGTCGACATAGACTTGATCCAAATGCATATCCTGAACAAATATTAATACTGTCTGAAGCAATTAATTTTTGTAAAAATGTTGAAAATGCGCTGAGTTGTGGTGAATTGAACAAATTGAAAAAGGATTTACAAGTAGGTTATTTTATTTAAAATCCTTTAATATGTGTGTATGTAATTTTGCTGCTTTTGGCTTCCGTGTGGAGCACAAAGGCCACTAGAAAATCAAAAGAAGTGATTCAGTGAAGAGACTTTTTTCAGAGAATCTATTATCAAACTGTACTATCACATATGTATATGGTTTTCAATAAATTATATCCAGTGAGGGAATCGAATCATAGGTGTGAATGCATAAAATAATAATAGTACTATGAAATGCAATTAAAATGTTTGTGATTATAATCACAGTTAAATGTCAAGTGGCAAAACAATAAATTGAAAATCAGGGAGTGGTAAACAACTGTTTCATCGTAGTTCGGGACTCATCTTCTGGGTTCGAAACCCAGTGGGTGCATACTGCCGATGAGTACCAAACTAGGATGAAACAGCTATCCATTACTCCCAGCTGGTTTTCAGTGGCAGAAATGAAAATTCATGGACCTTTGGGTTGGGTCCCAGGGGCTTAATTGTTCACGAGTTGGCTGGCTTTGTAACTAGAAGGTCCTGGGCTGGAACTCTGGTGGTGGGTACGTACTGGTGAAGAGTTCAGTGAGGCTAGGACGAAACAGCTGTCCAGTACCCCCTGCAGCTTTCCCAATGGTTCTCTGGCTGAAGTCAGCTCATGATGAAATCTTCCAACCAGTCAAACAACAGGAATAAAAATGTTACGAAACATTGGTTGAAATTCGATAACATGAAGTTCAACGTTGCCAAACAAAATTGATTTAGAATGATAAGTTGACTAAGTGAAATAATACTGGGGACAATTCAAGGTGAGAGTAGTAATATTAACAACTGACTTTATCAAGGAAGAATACACAAATTGAATAAATAGGAAGAGCCAAAATATGATTAGGGATTACCATACTTTAGTGTAGAGAGATTAAGACCATGAAAGTTGGAGAGGTTGAACGAACTTTTTTCTGTTTACAGAGATCTGGCTTTCCTGCTTCGATGACCAAAGCTTCAGCAATACAGATTAGTTGGATTCGTAGTGATTTGGGCAAATTACTTTTTGCTTTGTAGATGAATTTAAAGGAGGAGGCTGTAGAGATAGAGTGATCATTATCGACCAGATGTTCAGTGATCGTGCTTCTTAATGCCCCACTTCTACCTCTTCTTAACCATGCAGGATAGTGTTCTTGCACCCTCTTAGACAAAACTCGAGTCGATAGATCAATATACCTAGCTCCATACGAGTAGGTGAATTGATGAACACACATAGAATTGGTCAACTGTTGGATCTTATCCTTCAGGTTATTGAACAGCTATGGTCGACTGGAAAACGCCATTTTCAACGATGCAGCAAGGAATTTCTTTTTCAGGGATTGTGAAATCCTTCTTTTCATGATATCGAAAGCTAAGTCACCTTTGAATTCCAGGCTCATGTACGCTATTTTGTTGGGTACAGATGATAAGTCACATTTCATAGGATTCGACTGTATATTTCCTGTCTATAAAACATGGCGGAAATCCATTTTCTATTAGGGTTTTTCATAACAGATTTAACTCATCCTACAGAGTACCAGGACTACGTATGCGCCGAATGCAAAATGCATTATCGTTACTGTCTACACTAACTTTTAAGTTGCCTTCAGATTTCTATGGTTATCGATTATTATTATTGTTATTATTGTCCCCTTCGGTTCCATTTGGGACAAAGGGTTTCAGGAAGACAACTGTAGTTTATTTTGTTCTCTTTTATCACTTTCAGTTTTCTGCTTAGTTGCCTAAAGACTTCAATTTTCTACTCACATGATCTTCTCCATGTCATCCTCCGACCACAGTCCAACTCGTTATTTCCCATTCAGGTTCCAGTCGAGTGCCTTCTTAGAGTTTGATGTTAGTCAGTGGTCTCCTCGGTGGCTTGTATCCAATGCATCCCTATTTCCTCCAGCATATTTGTTAGATGGTAGATTCTTGACTGATTTGCTGCACAAGTGGAGTTCTTTTTTGCTTATTCTTTCCGAATGACCGGTTCACTTTCAGTACAGAACCGGTGAAGGTAGTAGATTGTTGGAAATTTTTGTACTATACAGAAGCAGTGACTGGACATTATTATTGTTCCTTTGAGTTCCTAGTGGAACATAGGGCTTCAACTGCACGCCTCCACTTGCTCCTGTCTTCTGTTGTACTTTTCACCTGCATCCATGTTATTCCATACTGTTTCAGCTCCTCTTCACACGATCACCTCCATGTTAACCTTGGACGTCCCACTCGCCGCTTCCCTTTCTAATTCCACTTGAGGGCCTGACGCACGATGTCACCCAACGGCCTCCTCAGCGAGTGTCCAATCCATCTCCACTTTCTCCTGCATATTTGCTGAACTATTGGTCCTTGTTTTGTTGGTTCCCATACTTTCTTGTGGGTGATTCTTTCCGGCCATCTAATCTTCAGTATAGAGCGAAGACAGTTGTTGAAAAAGATCTGCAACAGGCTGTTGGAAATATTCTTTGTGACCCGCCAAGTTTCTGATCCCTATAGAAGAACTGACTAACTTGACGTTTGTATTGAAAATCCGAATTTCGTTGTTGATGCTGAGTGACAAAGATTTCCAGATTGGTTTCAGGTTGATGAATGTGTTTCTCACCTTCTTGATTCTCGATTTGACATCCTCGTCCGTTCCTCCTGTAGTTGAGACAATGTTCCTTAGATAAGTGAATGAAGTAACCTCTTTCAAATCCCTCCCGTTGATGGTGATTGGCGCTGGATGTTGCTGCTGCTGTTGGTTGGTTATTTTCATAACCTCCGTCTTGTCTATGTTCACCTGGAGTCCTGTCTTTGCTGCTTCTTTAACCAGTTTGTCGGTTTTTGCTTGTAGGTCTTCGATTTTGTGTGACATCAAACATAAATTATCCGAGAAATCCAGGTCTTCTAGATTCTTCACGTCGGTCCAGGATATCCCTGTCTTCTCGTTTCCCACTGTCTGACGCATGATCCAGTCCACCACAATTAGGAATATCATTGGTGATAATTAGCACCCTTGTCTGACTCCTGTGTTTACTGCAAACGCCTCGCTGAGTTTTCCGTTGTGGATCACTTGACATGTGCCGTTGTTGTACAGCTGTTGAAAATTCGAATCACACCCATTACGCTGAATGCTGCAGACTCCATCAAGCCTTGATTTCTCGATTGTAGCTAGCTTTGACATCCCTTGCCGTGCTGTCTGTAATTGAAACTATACTGTCACAGTATGAAAATGTTGAAAATTCCATTTTCTATGCAAATTATTCTTTCAAATGAAGTGATTATTATTATTATTACTAGTGCAATTCTTTTTAATTTTTCAGTCTCAACTGACAGCGTATACCTCAGTCAACTTACATAACATGAAAGAAAATGATCCCTACTGCATCACTGCACCGTCAGAATCAAATCTCACGAATTCAGCCAGTTCACGTTTACAAACTTGTAAATTAAGCTCACTAATATTGGATATAATACATTCAATCGATATTATTGATCAATTAATTCGAAATGGTACAGTTTCACCGAAAGATTGGATATGGCAGCGTCAGTTAAGATTTTATATGAATGACAGGTCGTCTGGTTCTACTGGCTTTAATACACTTAAATCAAAAGAGTCCCATTTACTGAAAACATCTGTATGTATGGCTGATGCAGAATTCACGTATACTTTTGAATATCAAGGCAATTCACCGCGTCTTGTGCATACACCGCTAACAGATAAGTGTTATTTAACACTGACTCAAGCTATGCGTATGGGTCTGGGTGGGAATCCATACGGTCCAGCTGGTACTGGGAAGACAGAGTCTGTTAAAGCTCTCGGGTGTTTAATGGGACGTCAGGTAAATGTGTTGTGAATTGCCTTCATCTTATTCCTATTGGCTGTTTTTATGCCTTAATAACCCTAACTAGTTGAAACTTCTGTTTACATATTTTATTCTTTAAGGGCAGTCAATGAAATCCACAACAGTTAGTCTAAGCCAGACAGCCAACCACGTAGGGAGATGTAGACGTCCTGGCTGGTTGGGGTCCTCGGGATGGTATAAACCAGTGGCGTCTGGAGACAATTAGTGATATGGCTCAAAATCGTTCTTACTGGCTGGCGCAGATGCATTCACTCTTTGTGATTTGTCATATCGAATAAAATTTTATTCTCTTCGACTTATTTATCTGTTTATTGCCTCTCTTTAGAATCTCTTCTTGCTCTCTTCTCTTGCTTTGTATGTGTGGAAACTGAAACTGCTGCACATTTGCGGAAAGTTCTGTGTTGGGACCAGTCAGCCGGTCATATGTAGACTTGCATATGCCAATGAATTAACCAGTTATAGTACCTCTTAATTTGCAAAATTTGGGCTACCGATATCACATGCTAAAAATTTCATACTTGTACAAAAAATACAGTGTGGAATCAAGCTGTAATCAAAAATAAAAAAATAAACCCCGTCTAACCGGTAGTAGGCTTGGTAAAGGTGGAAGATTGCGTTTCGAGTTAGCCACTGCACTCCATGAAATCGAGTAAAGCCATTATCAAAACTTCAGAGCTCAAGGTTGAAGCCCTATGCTCCACTTGAGACGCAAAGTAATGAAAAATATGAGCTATATTTGACAGAATGATTATTCTTAGAAGTTCTGTCATCATTTCAAATGTGCTAGTTGGATAGTGGTAGGATTAGTGGCGAATTGTGTCATAGTTTATTCTTTTTAGCCTGCGGGTAAGGCTATGGCAGCAGTTAAATGTTTCATATTTGTCATGTCCAACTTATACAGTTCGACAAGGCGAGATTTTACCACAGTCTCTTTCGGAAAACGAAACTATTGAGGTCCCAGCGTTCGATTTGGTTGATACTATAAATAGCAATCAAGAAAGCAAGAGAAATATAATGGTATTAAACACTACTGGCTGATTGATAGGAACTGTAGTGCTTACTAGTTCAATGGATAGTTTGAAGCTAAAGTCGTCAGTGGTGTACTCGGCTTGACTCAGCTCAGACAACCGAATCGATTTGAACCCGCCAAATTCTGCCTAGTCACTTGAATGGATTGATGGTAAATAGAATCAGATTCGTTATTCGCAAATTACACAAATACATATGAGAAATCGCCACAGTTTCTTTTGGAAAAAAGCAAAAATGCTCCGATTATCAATGATGGGGTCACCCCATACTGACGAAACAGCCGTCTCGTGTTAAGGTCACTTGTGAACTGGCTAGCAAGCACTACTTAATAATGTCAGTATCTTCCAACAACTTATATGCTCTTAGAGTAATAAACAAGCTAGTCATGTTGCCATCTCACTCCGATAGCAGATGGGAAGTAGTTTCGCTAATGTGGAATGCTACAATAGTAAATAAAAGACCACTTTACTGAACAACTAAAGCCGTGAATGTTGAAAAACTGTGGATGAAAAATGGATTTCCAAGCCTTGGTTTGCAAGAATTTGATTGACTTCAAATTTGATCAGGAACTGACCTCAGTTAGGGAACCACTGACTACCACCAGCACAGAGTATTTATTATTATTTATTATTTCCTTCACGTTCCTCAGTGGAACATAGGGCTTCAAGCTAGAGGCTTGAAGTTTCTGTAGCAGTGTTTATTTTTACAGGAGGAGGTTGCTAGCCTAATGCCCAACCTTCCCTCTTCACCAGCCTTATTTCTGGCTTAGTGAGGTAAAGGAGTGCGTCGGCCGGGGATCGAACCCCGGACCATGTGCATGGTCGGCGAGCGTCCTAACCGCTATGCCACCGACGCACCCAGCACAGAGTACTGGAAGGTTATTTCTTCCTGATGGAGAGTCTTAAAATAGGATGAAACAACTATTCAGTATTCTGTTCTGGTTTCCACTGGTTCTATAACTTCTTACTTCATTCGAAGTCACTGGCTTTACAACCAAGTTCGATGCCTCTGAATCTATTGATTATGCAATTCGCTTTGTGTTATATACCAATTCCCAGGTTCTTGTGTTCAACTGCGATGAAGGCATTGATTTGTACTCGATGACAAGAATTTTTGTCGGCATAGTAAAATGTGGTGCTTGGGGTTGTTTCGATGAATTCAATCGATTGGAAGAATCTGTTCTGTCGGCAATCTCAATGCAAATACAGGTAAGTGAGTAGTGCATAAGCATTTGAAATAACAACTTAAACTGACGGATAGAACGAATGTTGAAGGTTTTCTATTCTGAAAAATGTCTTCTTCTACTGAATTAAAGACTCTTGGAAGAAAGTATGATTATCATTCAGTTAGGATACTCCTGAGAATCAGGAGTCCTAGTCAGGGACTCGTCAGAAACACGTACCTATGATTTCATTGTCGCGGACTGGTTCCCAAACATCCGGGTTACAAGGTGAACCCGTTTATGATTCACTCACTGAGAACTGATAGACTCATTGTTCATAAGGTCTTAATAACACTCCAGGCAACTTTATTCCATACTCAGACTTCCTGTGTTTATGGAGATACTTTTGTGTTGATTAAATTAATTCTTTCGGAGTTTTTCGCCATTTTCTTGTACATCAAATTAATAAGGGTCACATTGTGTCGCTTATCAGATAAACCTTACTGATGGATAAGCATCACAGAATGATACTGACTTTAGTTAGTCCATCTCCGCTAAAGAATACTAGGAGCGTGATGCGATTAACAATGCTAGAACAAAATATGCCCAGGGAAACAACTTGTAGTGTTTAAATACCCAAATTTGTGAATGCTATCAATCACTGAACACCCAAATAGTATCGCTTTGCAAGTAGTCTCGCATAAAATAGTTCCATTACCATGAGAACAAGAGAAGGTGGTCCTATTCTTTCTAGTGTACTAGTCTTCGCAGTCTCCGAAAGTTCTTAATTTTCCTTTATGCCAACAAATTTCCACAAATTAGCACAGTGGTTATGTGAAATTTCACAGCCCCTGCGGAAACGCTTCAGGAAGTATATAGTTTCTGACTCATTCCAGTTTGTCGAGCAAATCAAAGATTTCAATGTATCTGATAAACATTTAGTCTCTTTCGATGTTACCTCCCTCTTCACAAACGTGCCAGTCATTGAGACTATCGACTTCATATGTAAAGAAGCTGAAGACATACCCATTCCAACGTTGGAATTGAGGAAATTGCTACTTTTATGTACTAAAAATGTCCAATTCCAATTCGACGGGCGTTTATTCCGTCAAGTTGATGGTGTCGCAATGGGAAGCCCATTAGGACCACTTTTCGCTGACTTATTCTTGTCACGCCTAGAAACCGGTACCCTGCAACAACATATACAAGAAACGGATCTTTACCTAAGATATGTTGATGACATTTTTATTACATGTGGAAGCAGATCAAAAGCCGAAGACATGCTGATAAAATTCAACTCATGCCATCCAAATCTCAATTTCACAGTAGAACACGAAGAAAATGATACTATCAAATTCCTAGACATTTTTCTGGCGAAAATGAATGATGGCACAATCGAAAGATCTATATTTAGAAAGTCCTCATGGACAGGACAGTACATGCATTTCAAGAGTTTTGTTCCAATCCAGTACAAAAAGAACTTGGTCAGAACACTGTTCAATAGAGCACGAAAAATTTGTTCTGACAGTACTGTTGAGCATGAAATAAAATCCCTGAAGGATGTCTTATCTTAGAATGGATATCCTGAGAAGTTCATTAATAAATACTCTTAAGAAAACACCCGCTGCAAAACAATCCAAACAGTTCCGAAGAAATCTGTCTATATCAGCTTGCCGTTCAAAGGAGATGATGTACAGGAAGTAGGCAAACGAAGACTCGACAAAGCCATCAAGAGAACTTATTATGCTGCATTACTTGTTTTCCTTAACACCACTAAGCGAGTGCTTCAACAATCTAGGAAAGAGCAGTCGCCAATCCTCGACACTTCAAACTGCGTATATCAATTTGAGTGTGTTTGTGGAAGCAAATACATAGGTCGTACGGAAAGGAGATTGTCTACTCGCATGATGCAGCATTTGCCAAAATGGTTGAAAACAGCTGAGTTCAAAGTGCCAAAATCCTCAATAACAAAGCATCTTGTGGATTACGGGCATGATATCGACGCGATCAAGTCATTCACCATTGTCAGCAGACAAAGAAACAAGAAAATGCTTGCAATTGAAGAGGCTTGTGCAATTCGAGTTTACAAACCAGGTCTCTGTGTACAAAAGGAGATGGTCGTGACTCTGAATCTACCATGGTAATACGTTTCACTTATAATTCTACCTCTTATTCTTACTATTTTATTATTACTATTGTTATTCTCATTATTATTATTCTTGATTCATTTAAAACTATCCTTTATCAGTAGCATTATCTTAACCCACTTCAACACTATTATTATTGTTATTATAGCTATTACTATTGACATCCCTCTGGTTGCAGTTCCTGTTAAATTCTCTAGTGTCTAATTGTTTATCTAAGTGATGTAATTGAAGCGTAATGCAATTTATCTTAATTTTGATCTCCCATACTCTGTCTCCCCTTATCTAATTGAACATGATCTGGAAAAGATTTGCACCTGTCTTTCTGCATGACTAATTCAATGTAGTTTATTTACTTATCAGTCCTATATCTCCCAATGTAATTTCAAAAGTGTATATATCCGTGTATGTAAAGTATTCAGTCCTATATCTCCCAATGTAATTTCAAAAGTATATATCCGTGTATGTAGAGTATTCAGCTGACGAGTTCTACCGAAATTTGAGGAATTCATTAAATCCTGCTTTATTAACTTTTATTGTTTGTTTTAAATTCGTATCGGGAAATAAATGTTTCCGATATTGATTTTGTCTATCACTTAACTAGTGCCCTGAAAAATGGCTCAGCTTGAATTTTGTTTATTCATCAACGCCTTCTTCAGATTTTAGGTTTTTTCTAGGGATTCAGATTCGGTCGGTCGGTCGGTTTTCGACATAGAACTTTGCACCAATATGCGGCAGTTCAAGTCGTCACACTTCATGTAGCACACAAAGGAAGAGAAGAAAGTAGGAGAAATGCGTATTAGAGACAGTAAACAGAGGTGTGAGACAAAGGAATAGTAATAACGAAGAACAAAACAGTTTAATTGGAAATCATAAGTCACAAGGAGTGGATGCATCTGCGCCACTGAGAACGATTTTGAGCCATGTCACCAATTGCTTCCAACCATTGGTGTTTACCGTCCCGAGGACCTCAACCAGGAAGTCTACACCTTCAGATTACTTTCGACGTAGTAGATATCGTCAAGGAACAAAATCAGTTAGAGAATAATTAAGAACCCTGGATTACTGGACAGCTCTTTCCATCTAGTTTGAGACTCTGCATTAGCGTAAACTTACTACACAATCAGGGATAGATCACAAGACATTTAGGTTATGAGGCCACTTGAGCTGGGACTCAGTGACCCACCAATTCCCGCTAGTGTGTCAGTTCACAGTGTGGCGCCATCTCTAATCAACATCACTGATAAGCATCCACTGCACCGTTATTCTCTTGGACAGTCTTCTGTTAAGTGGTTATTCACTGCAAAGTAGCCTTGTAACGACAGAAGAAAAGGGCCAGGCAACAGATCGTTTACGCAGAAAATCAACAGATATTTATAGATTTTTATGTACATTATTATTCATTATTGTTAGTGGAGAAGCAACCTCTTCTGATTGGTTGTTTTCTTGCTGAAGGTTATTCTGTTGCCGTTTTTTCTTAGACAGTCTGGTGATATATCTGCGAATCGTATCCTCCCACGTTAAGTCTGATGTGATTGGTCGGTGAGTTCCTCAAGGTTAAGCTTTGTTCTTGTTTTTTCTCATGATCCCAATTCGGAACATAAACAATGACGTAAATTGTTGTCTACAATTCTGTCCTGCATACAGCTCTCACCACAGTATTGGTACGGTTGCTGAGTGAGTTCTTTCAATCATTTTACATTGTCATCATAAGCCTAGGAGAAACATTATTATTTCCTTGGGTTCCTAGTGGAACGAAAGGCTTCAGCAGTGCAACTCCATTTCATCCTGCTATATAAAGTTTTTTCTCCAGCTGGCTTCACGATATCATATAAGTTACCATTTCTTCCCTGCACGAATTCGTCCATGTTACCCTCAGACTTACGTCCAACACATTGTTTCTCATTCGGTTTACACTCGACGGTCAGGCGTGTGAGGTCACCCAGCGGTCTCCTCAGGGTATGTCGAATCTGTTGCCCATTCCCTTCTTGAGCTATTGGCTGTAAGCTGGTTTTGTGCTAGGATTTCCTGTTGCTTATCCTTTTTAGCCGGCCGGCCATCGGATCTTTAGTGTATTGAACCATCACACGCGGTTGTTAATAGAAGTTTGCAGTAGGCTGTTTGACATACTGTTTCTGATCAACATTCCAAGTCTATCAACTATGTAGAAGCATTAAACTTGATATTATTTTTGAAAACAGGTACCTCATACATACACATATTTACTCATGCCTAACTTATTCCCACTACTCAATTTGTATTGTAGATTATTCAAGATGCATTAAAATCCGGCATATCACAAATTAACCTGTTGGGTCGTACAACAAGTGTAGATCCTAATTCTGCATTATTTATAACATTAAATCCAGCTGGTAAACATTATCGTGGACGTCAGAAACTACCAGACAACTTGAAACAATTATTTCGACCAATTTCAATGACAAAACCAGATGTCGAGTTGATAGCTGAAATGATTCTGTTCTCTAAAGGATTTACAAATGCTCAAATATTAGGGCGTAAATTGGTCTCTGTTTTCTCACTGGCCAAGTAAGCTTTGTTACTGTTACTGTTGTAATACTGAGTACTATAATGTGGAAATGATATTGACGATTTGTAGCTTGGATTGATGTTTTCGGTGTTGGGTGGTTTCACTGTGAAGGTTGTATAATGCTTCTAGGCAGTGCTGAATTCAAAATGAAGTCAGCTTCCCTGATGATGCTGACTTTGATCGGTTGTCTTCAGAAATTTTCTTATGCTTCTACCCACTTGTTTTTTTCTGATAGTCGTTTCGGTAATTCAAATATCCTTGCAGTATTTAAAAACAAGAAAAATTTGAGCAAACAGTTGTTATAAAACTTTGGGCAAAGTTAAACTTTCGACACCAATAACAACCAATCAGCAAACGACCTTGAACGGACCAATCACATGTAAGAGACGTTTATGATAAGCGGAAACGTATATTTATAGAAAAATGCACAAAAAAAATGATAAAACGGTTACAATGGGTATGTTTCCCGAACATGGGAGAGAAACATTTCCCAATTCAGCATGGCACTGTCAATAGAGAAGTCACACCACATTATATAAATATGTTCATCTAAATAACTATAAATGAGATCCTTTTGAGGTCCATTTATAGCCCTTATTCTATTTTTCAATCGACCCCAAAATCCTTCAATGGAATTTGTATGAGTCCCTGTAACTGGGTCCACGAAATCAGGGATGACAATGAATCATAGCCTTTCCACTCGTTGATCCCGGTTTCACGAGTCGCTTTATTATAGGTACCAGAGTAGTCGCCTTCCTGTCTGCTATTCTCTCAACAAATCCTTTTCGGAGGGACGTGTCGTATAAACCTATGACCCAAATGTTGTTCGCTCTCTGACGACCGCGGTTATATTTCTTCTTCACCAACACTGTCTCATACACATGGACTACTACGTCGTCCCCGCCTAACAACGAAGTAATTCTGTCCACTCTCCATGAGGCGAAGTCTCTGCAGTGCTGGTACCACTGAACTGTTGAGACGAGGCTGTTCTCCGTCTCGGCAGCAGAGGCTCTCACGGGCTGTTTCAGTAGTCAGTAATTGCAAATGTACAAAATATGGGTTAGAGAGAGATACGACCTAGCAAAAAAAAGTTCCTACGAAATATTACCCTCTGATACAAACTCGCTTCCAGCATATTCCACAACGATGTACAAAACCATCAGTTGACCTGGTATAGCTTTTTAGAGTCATTACAGCACCACATGAACAACTTCTCTCCTTTAGAAGCAAGCCTAAGTCCAGGCAATACTGAAAGACACTATCCTCCTCGAATTGCAAACGCAACCTTGTAAGGGCACGCATTGAAATGAATCAAGCGCTATACAATATTGAACTACGTTCGTGAATCTCAGTGGATAATTCGACGTCGTTCGCTGATTAGTAGTTATTGGTGTCTAAAGTTTAACTTGGCCAAACTTTGAAAGTTAGAATACAACGGCCAGTAAGGGCAAATCAGAATTATATCAGCCACTATATATTGGGTTGTGAGTATAAGACAGAATAATAGTCCGTTCATTCTGATTTTCGTTTAAATCCATATAAAATATACAGTCATTAGGAGGATAAGATAAAATGCAAGTAGATAATTGATTGAGGGACATGCTAATGCATTTATAATCAGTATTGATCAAAAGCTGGCATCATTTGGAGAACTACTGTAAAACCATGAAATACCGGACAGATGTTTCGCCCTAGTTTCGGACCCTAGTTACAAGGTGAACTTGTAGACCATTCCGTCGCTGGGACCTAATCTAATAATGGTCCACAAGTTCTTACTTTTGCCAATTCTCCGTATCTAGCACAATTGTCAGTCAATGTCACAAGTGATTAACTGTCCTCTTGCCTGACTTGGGGGATCCCAGTGTTTACGATTTCTTCCTAGAACTCCAGGTAACTTCTTGTACAGAGCCAGTTGTTAGTTAACATTAGATTGATTGGTTTGCAGGGACCTGATTAGTGTTACAGGCTCGATCAACAGCTAACACTGGTGTATTGTTGGAAAGTGTCAAACTAGGAGGTAATAGCAGTCCAGTACTCCTTGGTTTCCCAATGGTTCTCTAAATGATGACAGCTCGTGATAAAAATCCTGTAACCAATCAAATTCCAGCAAACCAACAAATGATATTTATAATCAACTTAAGTTTCATAGGTGAGTTATATTCTGTAGTGTGAGAAATATGAATACTACAAAATCGGGCATAATGAATGCAAATTCTTGGGAAAACAAATATAATGACAAAGTCAAATGGTCATACGCTGAAATGTAGTTATATAATTGTGACAAGAAAAGCGTAGTTTAAATTCAAAGGGTGACAAATAATAGTAATAACAGTAGCGTGAAGTGAACTAGGCGAAAATGAATAAGTAGGGCATGATAAGGTATGAAAATATGAGATGGCTACGTCCCTGATAACTTTATGGTTAGCCAAGGTAAACGTAGGGGATGAAAGCACTTTTTTCTCACACTTAGGTTAGGTTTGTTCTTCCTTATTGATCCCTATAGCTTCAGCTATGGTTAGGTGCCGTATTCGTGTACCTTGATACAGATTGTTTGGTGCTCGATTACTATTATCATTTTTCGCATGGGTTCCAACAGCTTCAACAACACATCTCCTCTTTCTTCTATCTCCTGTTGTCCTATTCATCTGCCTAGCTCCACGACTGCCAAGAATCTCTCATTCCCTCCCCACAAGATGTCCTCCGTGTCAGGCTTACACTGACGACCCACGCGTCGCTTCCCATTCGGATTCTACTGGAGCGACGGTCTGCATTGTGCGCGATGTCATTTAATGGCCTCCTCAGTGGCGTTTGTCCGATTCATCTCCATTTTCTCCTTCATATTTGTTGAGCTATTGGCCTCTCGCCTGTTGGTTTGTCGCCAACCAGAGTTTCTTGTTGCTAACCCTTCCTCGGTATTCGGTCATCTGATCTTCAGTATGGAGCCAGCCTGCCAGCTAGTGAAGTTGGCAGCTGTTGATGTTGGTCTATTTTAGTGACTTATCTGTTTTATTACGATTTTCACTATGTACTAAATTATATGAGATTGCATCATTTATGGATTTGGTTACCCTTTTTCAGGTCTCACTGCTACACGTTCACATGTGCATAAAGATAAATTGTGAACCATATTAGTTGTAAAGCTATTGTAGAGAAACTACCAAATAATAACTTCTTAATGCCTTATCTAAATATTCCAATTCCTCTTGTGTACTTCATATTTCTAAGAAGTGAAGAAGATGTGTGCGTCGGTGGCACAGCGGTTAGGGCGTTCGCCGACAATGCACATTTTCCGGGGTTCGATCCCCGGCCGGCGCACTCCTTTACCTCGCTAAGCCAGAAATAGAAGCTGGTAAAGAGGAAAGGTTGGACATGAGGCTAGCAACCCCATCCTGTAAAAATAAACATTGCTACAGAAACTTCAAGACTATAGCTTGAAGCCCTAAGTTCCACTGGGAACGTGAAGGAAAAAGAAATATGTTCTTTCAGATGGCTGGTTCAATAGCGAAATTTTCAAACCCATCTAGACATCATCTTCAATGTGAGGCGAGCTCTGATAAATCTCCTGGTGACTTTCTTTGTCACTGTAGCTTTCCTTATGATTGTATCTATTTGTATTGATACAGATTCTCTCGTAGACCTTATATTTTATCTTTTCGTCGTATGATCTATTGATTTATTTCATTGATTAATAAATTCGATCCATGTTTTTGTTATTACTTTTCTCATGAAAAGACAACTTCTTTCAGTACAACAACATTATGATTGGGGTTTAAGAGCATTGAAATCCGTTTTACGCTCTGCTGGAGCATTATTGCATTCAAACAAACAGATGTCATCGTCAAACATTGAAAACCTTGAACAAAGTCAGTTGAACCAGCAACAACGACAACAGACGTATGAATATGAAGCTGCTCTTGTCATTCAAGCAACTAAAACAAATATTCTCTCCAAGTTAACTAATCATGATTCAATTCGTTTTGAAAATCTGCTAAAAGATGTATTTCCTGACGCCACACTGCATAACTGGTCATTTGAAAATCAAGAGATTTCAAGGTTGATCGATGCATTGCATTCAGTGATACAAGAGAAACACATGATATTAGTAGAAGCTCAGGTAGGAAGTTGTTTTATTCTCAATAAGATTTAAGACTTGAGTATAGATTATAAGATTAAATGTAACGTTTTTACGTATGAATGAATATTTCAGGATTGTTATTTTAGCTATCCTATATAACCAGGTGTCGGTTTTCAGGGATTTGATTGGTTACAGGAATTCGTCATGAATTGACATTGGTTAGAGGACCATTAGAAAACCTGGGAGCATTGGACATCTGAGGTTCGAATCCACGACCTTCTGGTTACAAGGCGAGCTCGTAGACCATTAAGCCACTGGGACCCAATCCAGTGGCCAGCCCATGTATTCCAAATTCTGCGAATTCATGATATGGCGCGACCACTAGAGATTGTGATTAGTGGCGAGTATTTTTCCTTACACTTGACCCGCCATACACCACTGGTCACGACTTCCCACCAGAACCACAGGTAACTACTTCCTTGAATAGGGCCAGCCACTAGTGAACATCTGATTGATATTCAGGTGTTGGTTTTCAGGGATGTGAGGAAAAACATTCGCCGAAGACATTGGCTAGCGGTTGCGCTGTATCGTGAATTGGCAGAAGTTGGAATTCATGGGCTGGCCATTGGATTGGGTCCCAATGACTTAGCCGTCTACAAGCTCGCCTGCCTTGTAACCAGAAGGTCCTGGGTTCGAACCTCAGTGGGTGCATACTGATGAGGAGTCCCAAACTAGGACGGAGGATACAGCTATCTGGCAGTACTCCCTCGTGGGCTTTTCAATAGTCCTCTAACCGATGTCAGTCCATGTTGATATCCCATATAACACTAGTTGATAAAATGGTCTAATTTTCAAGTGTTAGTTTCTGGAGATTTGAATGATTTCAAGTTTGATCACAAAATTGCTTCCATTAGAGAACGAATGAGATCTCCCAGAGAGAACTGGGTATCTGTTCCGTTCTAGTTTCAGGATGTTTGACAATACTCAACCTGACGCTTCAAGTTTCGATCCCCAGTCGGTCATGGGTGCATACTGCTTATCCACTGGATTGACTGAGACTATTTAAATTTTCAACTGAGAATTTTGCAAAGAATTGCAGAAAATCAGGTTCTCACGCTGCATATAATACACAAGGGTAGAGAAAATACACAAAGGCTAAGAAACTATAATGAATTGAAATGTGCGGAAGAAAGAATTAGTATATGGATAATAATAAGGATTTAACGGGCGTAAGGAATTATAGAGTGCTATTGCTACTGACAACAATTTGCAGTCATTTCATCAACAATCTCCAGCCACTGATTCTTGGCTTTTCGACACCAGCAAGGCAGTCTACACCTACATACTTGACTGAAACCAAAAACAAAAGAGTTCACAGAAGGATGCCAGGTTTTGATTCGACCACTCTTGACGCTTTTCTACTCCAATCCTATATCAGCTAACATTTATAGACAAGAAAGACATCTGTAACATGTGGCCTTTACACTTCACATTTTCGTCGCCTAACTTTCTATCCTTACCTAACACTATTACATTAACACCAACACTATCACCTACCACATTACAGCACTTGACATGATAGATTGAAAACTGAAACCTAACCCGTTTAAGTCTTTCACTTTTAACGACCATGTCTTACAGATATAAAGGAGGATACAGCAAACTGCTGTGGATTACACACTTTCTTCCGGTAGACAGTCGGATATCACGTCTACATCAGAGATGAAGTAAGTCAGCAAATGCGACACTAGCCTTTTGTATTCGTGATGGGGTTTTGTTAGCACTCAATCTAGTCAATCCCAAATAAGTGACGTGGTCAACAGGCTGTTTATCCTTAAAACAGGAGCTGGTGCAGACTAATCTTATGGAATTATCTTACATCTGTCAGGAGCAAATCCTATGGTAAACATACTAGGGCGTTCACAAGACTCTGCATTTTACCAGTATCTTCACTTCGAAGGACAGTAGCATCAATTAGACTGTGTGTACAATGTGATTTAATCTAGTTCTTCCCTTACCATCGAACTGCTTTTGTTTGAAGTCAGTTGCCCGTAACAGATGTCTCATGCACTAGACTAAGAGGTGCACTTATTGTATGAGAAGTGAAGTTACCTAGGTGCCCAGGCTGGAGCTGATGGAGCGAGGTTCACACCTGTGATCCACTGACTGGAAGTCGATTGCTTGAGCAAAATTTGGGCTACCGATATGGCATGCTGAGAATTCCAAACTTGTACCAAAAATACGGTGTGGAATCAAGCTGTAATCAAACATCAAACATAAACATAGTGAGATACGCGTTCACTTGAAGTTATATGCAGACATAAAGTGTAGCAACTTAGACCCTTATGCCGTAGTGCTAACCTCCATGCTGATAGCTTCTATCTGAGTGTTTTCACCATCATATCTGGAATATTTCCAGAAGATGTATAATACAAATTGTGATCAAGACGTAGATATGAATTTATGAAATACACTTTGATATATGCATTTTTTTCAACTTTTCAAGATTCGTAAAGCTATTGAATTATATGAACAATTATCACAACGTATGGGTGTTGTGTTAGTAGGACCATCTGGTTTTGGCAAATCAACAGTGCTGAATCTATTACGTTTAGCATTGAATAAAATTGGTACACCAGTACGTTCGTATATATTTAATCCAAAGTCAATGTTACGTGTACAATTACTTGGACAGATTGAACCAGATACACAAGAATGGACAGATGGTGTACTCACACATAGTGCTAGATGTGTAGTAAAAGAAAGTACAGGTGAGTTTTATGATCTGAAATAATCTTTTTTGTAATTATATTAAATGAAGTATTATTATCTCCTTTAGTTCGTAGAGGAATATAGTGCTTCAGCCACACTTATCCATTGCGTTCGGTTCTCCGCCAACGTTTTCACTTGGCTCCACTTATGTCCAAATGCTTTCATCTCCTCTTCACATGACCTCCTTCATGTCACCCTATCACTGATTACCAACTCACCGCCTCCCATTCGGGTTCCACTCGAGCGATGGCCTGGCATGTGATGCCACTCACGTGATGGTTTGTTTCCTCAATGTATGGCCAATCCACCTCCATTTCCTCCTGCATATTTGTTGCACAATCGGTTCCTGCTGGGTTGGTTGGTTCGTTCCCAGAGATCCCTCCTTGTTGCTGATCTATTCTGGCCGGCCATCTTATCTTGAGTAGTACTAAGAGAAGTTAGGTGTTGATGAATGTGTGTAGTTTGTTCGAAGTGCCCCTCCTGACTCGCTGGTCAAGTCTCTGATCCGTATAGCAGGTAGCACTGACTTCACGCTGGAGTTGAAAATCAGGATCTTATTTTTCATGCTGAGTGTGCTATTGATCTCCACACAGACTTGAGAGTGATGAAAGCTTGCCTTGCTTTCCCGATCCTCACTTTGATGATATCCTCATCGGTTCCGGTAGCCTGTATTTGAAATGATGCTTCCCAGGTAGGTTGGTAGGTGAAGGAGGTTGCTTCTTTTAGATTTCTCCCATTTATACTGACTGATTGTTGTCTGTTGTTGTTGCTGTTGCTGTTGGCCAGGAATCTTCATCACCACATCTGTTTTCTCTATGTTCACTTGAATTCTTTCCTATATTTGATGGTTCTTCTGTCAACCTGTTGCTTTTCAACCGCATATCTTCCAGCGAAGTTATAAAGCGTAATCTGTCTTCCTAAGCTTTCCTTTCGAAAGGTAATATATAGGTTGTCGAAAGTGTACCCTGAAATATATGGTCAGTGAGTTTGTTTCTCCAAGAACTTATGTAATGTAAACTTGCATTTGTGTGGAATTGAGCATTTATATGTCTATTTTTCAATCTCTCAGTTTGTCTATCGATGCGCTACATTCTGAAACTACTATATATATATATATATACTTAAGTCTGAATTAGTTACTTTTAGTAATTCAATTTATTTAATAGTCACTTAACAACCATGCAAAGATAACTTTGAAGAAACGTTGACTGTGAGTAGACACTGACAACTGCAATTAAATTTATTTTAAATGGTACACAGTAAAACCAACAACAACCAGCACCAATCACCATCAACCGGAGAGATTTCACAGAGGTTACTTCCTCCACTTATCTAGGAGGCACGGTTTCAACTACAGGCGGAACGGATGAAAATGTCAAAACCAGTCAGGATCGGAAAGGCACAATGCGCTTTCATCAATCTGAAACCAGTTTGGAAATCTTCTGCTATCATTCATTCAGCCAGCCAGCATAAACAACAAGATTCGGATTCTGTTCAACACAAATGTAAGGTCACACAGTCACTGCTTCTATAAGGGTAAGAAACGTTCACTGCGCGTGTGCCACGGAAAAGATTTCTAACAGCCACTTACAGACTTTTATCAACAGCTGCCATCTTCGCTGGCTGGCTGACTCCCTACTGAAGATCAAATGGCTGAGGAGGCTGTCGAATGATATCGAGAGCAATGGAGGCCATCGCTCGAGTGGAATTCAAGTGGGAAGCAACGAGTGGGTCATCGGTGCAAGGGTGAAGAGTGACATGCAGGAGACCGTGTGTCGGGGAGGAGGAGATGAGAGATTATGGGCAATTGTGGAGCTAGTCAGCTGAAGAGGACAGCAGAAAATAGAAGGGAGTGGAGATGTGTTGTTGAAGCCGTATATCTCACTCGTAACCCAAGGGAATAATAATAATAATAAAGTACATGGAACCACGTAACGGGTAACGATTCAAACAAAGAAGCAGACAAATGACCTTGAGACTATTAGTCAGAGTACACCAAGTATAATTTAAGTGATAGGCAGTATATTCATTAGAAAAAATCTATGTAAAGAATATAAGAGTACTCCAGAAGAATAACTCGACATTTCTCATATGAGTGTATAAATTCATCCAGCTGACTATCATTTAAGGTTAGGATCGCTGTCCTATCCCACTATAGAGTTAGCGTTTAATCAGTGTTAATTTATGGATATATTTGGGTTCTGATAAGGGTTAAGGTTATGTGGTAGTTAGGTTAGAGTTAGGGTTAGGAGTTATTAGTTAGGATTTACTAGAAAGTACTTTTCTGAATTAAATCTTCCCCTTGAATTCTGAAAGGTCATTCGTTAATAAGAATAAACTCAACTTATCCTCCATAACCACATTGTTATTTTGGTAAACTCCGTTAAGCCACCTTAAGGTCATTGATGTGCTTGTTTGCCATAATGTTTGGCAGTAATTGGCTGTATTAGGGGTTGTTGTATTCGCTTAGCTGAATGGTTTAATTTGAGTCTTTCATAGTTCTTCTGAACAACATCCTCCATAGATGAAATACCCGTCTTTTCTGCAAACACAGGATTTCACTATACAGACGGTAAATTGAAGATTACAGCATGTTGTAAACAAATTCTCAATTTTAATCAATAACTCTACTATGGTGTGTACTTTATTAATGCAGTTGTAAAAATATGACCAATTTAGGTAAATGTTTGAATAATAGATGTATATCTGATAAACATATAAGGGACTGGAACAGTTATTTGTGATTATATTTGCATTAATCACCATTAACGGGAGAAATTTGAGGGAAGCCGTTGCTTCTAGACCATTTCAACTATAGGCAGCACAGATGAGAACATCAAAGCCAGGAGAGGGATTGCAAAGTTGACGTTCATCACTCTGAAATCAAAGTAGAGATTAACAGCATTCAACACACAGAACAAGATTTGAATTTTCAACACTAATGTCTAATTACTGCTCTTTTAAGGTCCAGGGACTTGGCAAGTTGTGAAAAGCATTTCCAGCACGCCACTACAGACTTTCATCAACAACTGCCTTCTCTGGCTTCATACTGAGGATTAGATAGTCAGGGGGGATTAGCGACAAAGAACTCTGGAAACGAACCAACTAGGAACCGATTGCTCAACAAATATGCAGAAGGAAGTGCAAATGAATTGGACATACTCTGAGAAGACTGTTGAATTACACCATAGGTCAGGCCTTACCGTTGAGCTCAAATGGGAAGTGACGCTATGTGCATTTTAGAATACCATGGAGGTGATTTTATGAGGAAGAAATTAAAGCTTATGGATAATCGTGAAGGGAATTAAGAAAAAGACTGCAAGATACACACTGAAGTCTTTACGTATTGCTGAAGCTCCTTTCCACTCGGAACCCCAGGGAACACTTATAATTATAGCAATAATAATGATAATAATAGTGTGGTGAAAGCTGTCTGCTAGCCAAAATTGGTAGACAGCAATTTACGTTGATGTTTACGTCCCAAATATGGGTCATGAGAAAAACAAGAACAAAGACTTAGCGTGGGTGAATACGATTCGCAGATATATGGTGTGACCTTCAAAGAAACGGTCACAAAGAGATGACAGATTAACTTTCAGGGAGAAAACAACCAATCAGAAGACTCTGTTTCTCTGCTGACAATAACCTATAATAATGTACATAAAAATCTACAAATATCTGTTGATTTTTTAAATTAGCTATTTTATTGCTTGGCTCTTGTCTTCTATCGTTACGATAGTAGCTATAATTCTGACTAAGTTCTGTTATCACGCTAAAAGACGCACCACGGCAGTAAACACTGATTAGTATTTGCTAGCTGAAGACAATGAATTGAGTAGAACTGGATTTTCAGCGAAGAACTATGCATAAGAGTGCAGCAGTTCAAATTATCATAATTTATGAAATTGTATAGAAAAAGTTAGAGAATAGAATTGCCCTAGAAAAAAGAGCGTTGTCAGCTCCAGTCATTTTGCTCTAATTAATGTTCTTCCTCTTTTGTCTTTGAAACATTAGCTATATAATATGTATATTTAAAAGCTTAGTATATCATTTCAGTTCCCTCATCTGCCTTTTATACTTTCCCTATTATAACTACGAATATAGATCAGAAATGTTGGATCATATCTGATGGTGACATCGATCCTGAATGGATTGAATCTTTGAATTCAGTACTGGATGATAATCATCTACTCACTTTACCCAGTGGTGAACGTATACAATTTGGTTCAAATGTGAATTTCATCTTTGAAACACACGAATTGATTCATGCTAGTCCAGCGACTATCTCTCGAATGGGTGTTGTATATGTTGACGACGAGGCAAGTGATCCACGCACACTAGTTGAAGCATGGTTAATGCAACAGCCTGAGAATGAACGTGATCAGTTGAAACTTCTTATTGATCCAATATTTTACAAATGTTTAGAATGGGTCTACCAGAAGGTGAGCTAGTTTTCTTAGTAAAATAACTTTTAATTTGTGAAAGTGGCCAAGGACATCCAAAAAAACTTTTTATTTGAGTTAAAATGAATTTATTTGTATTCCTTGAGTTCTTTTCACAACACTAATACCAAAAATTGTTGGAGATGGAATGGACATACACCGAGGAGACCACCGATTGACATCATGTGCCAGACAGGCCCTTGAGCGCCACCTGAATGTGAAGTGACGAGTTGGATATGGGTGACGTGGAGACGATCGGATGAAGAGGAAATGAAGGCTTGTTCACAGTCATGACATCAGTTAAAAAAAACAGAAAAGAACAGAGTGAAATTTTGTTTTCTTATTCCTTCACGTTCCCAGTGGAACATAGGGCTTCAAGCTAGAGGCTTGAAGTTTCTGTAGCAGTGTTTAATTTTTTAGAAGATGGGGTTGCTAGTCTCATGCCCAATCTTTCCCCTCTATCAGCTTTATTTCCGGCTTAGAGAGGTAAAGGGGTGCGTCGGTCGGGGATCGAACCCCAAACCATGTGCATTGTCGGCGAGCGTCCTAACCCCTGTGCTACCAACGCCAAAAGCCAGCTTCTCGACTGGGAATCGAACTGGGGCCTCCCACGTTACAGGTGGAGATACTCCCCGCTATACAATCAAGGAGCACATGGTGAAATGGTGGTGTGCTACTGAAGCACTACTCCACTTGGAACTCAAGGGAATAATAACAATTATGATACCGAAATGGATTGTTCACATCTTATCATCTATGCATAAGATGACAACCTAGATCGAACATGTTCTATGAGCAATTAGTTGCCGGAGATGCGTATCTAATTTTTGTAGTGAAAGTATGAGATTGCTTAATCTCTGTGTAGGTTTTACTCTTGTCTTAACTTTTTTTAATTATAGCTTGAAACCACACAGTATTTTTGGTACAAGTATGGAATTTTCAGCATGTGATATCGGTAGTGCAAATTTTGCAGACCGACCACTGATATCGGGAGTACGCCGGCAGGGGATCGAACCCCGGACCATGTGCATGGTCGGCGAGAGTCCTGACCGCTGTGCCACTGATGCACAAGGATTAGTGAAAATAGCTTAACTACCACTGCATGTTTCAGGCTAGGATCCAGAATGCAAAATCAAAAATTCTGCCCGAGTTGCGAACACTCGTCGTCTAAACGACATCCAAAAACAGCAATGAACTTAGTTTAGGTAGGCTTCGTGTCTCTCAATTCCTGACACACTAACATCAAAACAAAAGTACACTGTTTAGTACATAGGAATATCACTTCTAGTGTTTTAGGTTAGTGCACACTGATTCTATCAGTCAGGTATGCAGGTCAGTTACAAAGCCAGTTAACTCGTCATAACGGTGTACTTTGAACTGATGTCAGATGGTTGGAGATGACGGATCAAAAGCCCAAATATCGCATTGGTAACGTCTCTGACTACAGCACTGGGTGATGTGGGTTCAAATCTATGAGGGGACATTATATCCTTTGAAGTTGCAGATAAGCTTTGCTGACGAGTACTAAAAACCATCTAACACCAGTATCTTATCACCTGAGTTAGCGGCTATATTGCACCCTTTATCATTAGATTTACGAAAGTACTATAGACTAACTGGCACTATTATTTAAAACACAAGCTTAGTAAACTATGGGCACCAAGAGATAGGCCACAAAACTACCCAGATATCCAGACAGAAACAAGTAGTTATCTTAAGGGGCTACTCTCAGGCAATTCTATTCCTGAGCGCATACACACTATAGATTTTGGAGATGGAGTTTTCCAACCCCTCTGGGTAGTCGACCAGCATATCTACCAGTCAAGTTGCAGGTGTCTCGTGAAGGCAATGAATGGGATTTAACTGTCAGAGACCGTGAACATGTGGTCACATGAGAGCATTTGGAGAGAAATACCGAAGTCTACCCACCTTCGGTCGTACCAAGTCGTTCTTGAAGATATATATATCTGAATTAAAACTGGTTGTGTGATTCATACACAACGGCAGGCTCTAGCACTGTAGAATTTACGTTTTGATGAGTCTGTTCTGCGCAAACTGAAAATTTCTATCTTTTCATTACTTTTTTTCCTAAACTTTAGAATGAATTTGTTGTTGAAACTAGTCGTGCTGCTATAGTATTTAATAGTCTTTCTCATCTCATTGGAGCTATAACACCTGCCCAGTTTACTGTAGGATTAATACGTGGGCTGGGTGGAAATCTTACAGAATCAACACGTAATGAATTAGCAATTAAAGTCTATGAAGCTACTGGCGAAAATCCACCTGATCAAAGTAGACCATTAGATGTACAGGTAAGACAGTTTTCAAACGTATTTACTTTTTTAATAGCTTGAGTTTATTAAAATATATGTACAGAAAGCTAAGTTTTTAAGGCAACCAAGTCATGTGATGTGTGAGGCTCAAATTAGAAGAAATTCTCAGATGTTTACAGGTGGATATCTGAACTTTCCAGTTTTGGTATGATTAAAGTCCTTGTGTTTTCTCCATTATGGATAAAAATTTATTTCGATAAAATCTCACAGTGTTTGTTATACAGTAATATTTACTGATGACCACGTTTCAAGCACAATTTATTGCTGATCATAATTGTATCAAGGTACACACTCACATAACTTTCTTGCTTCATTTATATACATGAGTGAAAGTAGATTAGACATTTGAATAAAATCAATATAAGATAAAGTACATTAGGGAATAATATTAGTGTTATCAATCAAATACAATCAGATCGGATATGAGATGTTTTTTCACAGTAAAAATAAGTAACTTGTTAGGATATTATAAATAATTTAATTTACAAAATACCTTGCAATGACTGTGAGTGAGGTCAAATACATGGATCAAATCAGTAGATCGGAGGTAGTGAGATGGTAGAGAACACATGAATTTAGCTAAGGTTAGAATGATTGATCCCACGAAGATAAGTAATTCAGAAAAAAAAGTCAGTACTACATTACACTGCATGCATTAACACATAACCACACCACCACATAATAGGGTGGAATAGAGTCAAAATTCTAAAAGGTAATATAGGTAGGTGGAGGGAGAGAGAGAGGTTGATTACTGAATACTGCCTGGTTCATCGAGTCTACACCCAACACACGCAACAGAAATGACTCAATGCAAATACCAGATATATGGAAGATATTATTACCAGTCAAATCAGAGGAGGATAATAAATAATGTTAAAATGCATTCAAATTCACATTATAACATTCTAACAAGTTACTTATTTTTACTGTAAAAACATCTCATTTCCCATCTTATTGTGTTTGATTGATAATACTGTAAGAACAGAAGACAAGGGCCAGGCAACAGATCGTTTATTAAGGAAAATCAACACATATTTATAGATTTTAATGTACATTATTGTAGATTATTGTTAGTAGAGAATACAGTCTTTTGATTGGTTGTTTCTCACAGGAAGTTAACCTTGTATCTCTTTGTGGCTGTGTCAGATCATCCATGTGCTAACTGTGTCCGCCTACGCAAAGCCTTTGTTCTCATTTCCTCACCACTAATATTGGGGACATAAACATTGACGTCAATTACAATCTACCAACTTTGGCTAGCAGCCAGCTCTCACCACAATACTAGTATTATTCCCCGAATGTACTCTATCTTATATTGATTTTATTCAAATGTCTAATCTATTTTCACTAATGTATACAAATGAAGCAAGAAAGTTATGTGAGTGTGTACCTTGATACGATTATGAGCAGCAATAAATTGTGCTTGAAACGTGGTCATCAGTAAATTTTACTGTATAACAAACACTGTGTGATTTTATCAAAATAAATTTTTATCCATAGTGGAGTTTTACTCTACCATGGTTTTATCCTTATATCTTTGTGTTTTCGTTATTATGCTAAATCCAGCTTCGACTGCGTCTAATTGGATAGAGCTGATGTCGTCTTTCCACTGATGATGTCATATTAGAACATCAACTTGGATGGCTTGCACATTTGCTACAAATATTATTCCAATGACTTCCTTACCATTCATTCCTTGGTAGACTTGATGCTGGTTGGAACGAAGTGGAAGAAGTGGTAATCTCGTAGCATGGCATTGTGTAGTGAGTATTAGCTCTGTTGGGTTAGCAGTTGTTAAGACACGGTTGGGAATCAAAATCAATGGCAAAACGCTGTAAAGTGCCCTGATGTTTTCAATGTCCTGCAGTCATATCAAGTGACAAAACCTTTTTTAAATATATGATGCCTTAAATAGTAATCAAGAAAACAAGCATGAATGTATGATGCTAGGTACTACTGATTGGTTGATATGAGTAGTTGGATACCTTATCGAATATATTGTGATCTTAATAATTCCGATCCTTCAATTTTTTCAATTTTTTGGGATAAATATCTGCGATCAGCATTGATATTGATTTTCACACTATTTTTGCTGGTGAAATGTAACTGAAAGCTTCGGTTTGCATACTCGAAGACTTCCATACTTACTGTGAGTGCTTATCAGGTGTTACTGAGAAATCATAAAATATGACAAAACAATTAGTGAAATTCTCTAGTTTTGGGCGGACTGCTTATTTCGAATCCGATGATGTAGTGACGTTATTTAGAGAATCCCTGGAAGCCAGGGAGGAGCATTGTACAGTTGTTCCGTCCCAGTTTGGGACTCCTCAGTAATACGTGCCAGTCAACCCATTGAGGATAGAACTTAGAACCTTCAGGTTAAGAAGGTGAGCTCACTGACCATTCAGAAACTGTGATGGAATTTACTGGCTCATGAATTCTAACTTCAGCAAATTCGTGGTAATTAGCTCTACCCCCGGCTAGTGTCACTGGCGAGTATCTGTTCTTGCACCCAACTCGGCTGACCCCATGTTGGCCACAAATTCTCCCTAGATTTTCAATCAAATTCCTACTGTAGTCAGTCATTAATGTCATTAGCTGGTGGTCGCACCATGTATTGCACATTGGCAGAAGTTAGTATTGATTGACCCCCTGGATAGTACTCCAGTGACTGAGTAGTCAACGAACTTGTCTAGTAACCTGAGGATCCTGAATTCGACCCTAAACCTAACTGCTTGACGGTGCGTCATGAGTATATACCATAGAAGAGTCTCAAACAAGGAAGAAACAGCTGTCCATTACTCTAGTTGAAGTCAATTCGTGGTAAATATTTTATTCAATCAGATCGCTGCAAACCAACACTTGTACATTATTATTTGGGCTAAATGATGTACAAATTATGGCACATTCAAGTATTCAACTAGGCCTTCAACAATACTGATGATTAAAACTAACAAGAAATTACCGGTCAGTTCATGATTCTTCAGGAAATGAAGTTATCAAGCAAGATTAGCTTTCCTATAAACAAACATCACAAATGTGAAACGGCGAATGCGCTAACGTCTGGAGCTTACAACCAGACTGGTAGACATTCAGGTTAACCTAAGGGGCTGTAAAACCCTAATTCGAAAATTATGTTGTAAATAGGCTCTAGAATGCGAACAGACAGAATGGCGTATGAACTTATTTTGGACACTGGAGACCATGGGAATGCAGCGCCTAACTTCTCTCCACTGCTTCGTCGATCAAACTTCAAGACAAAGGCTCGGTGAGTTGACCCCTTGTGACGACCACCTCTTTCGATCTAGGCGTTCGGGCTTGACAGCTTTTATATCTACGCTGCTAATTGTTATAACGGAGGTAATGAACTCGATTGGTACGCTAATACGCCTATTTGTCCGTTGTACCTTCCAGTTCACTGAGCCATACAAATATCAAGAGAAAAATTTTGGCCTGTGACTGTAAGATACCGTACTGTACATTTATTAGGAAAACGACATATGATATTTTTACATTTCCTTCACCACAATAAAGTGGACTCACAGCCGTGAGAAATAATCGATCACACAATAAGTCACAATATGCGTGAGAAAGGATGATATACTATTTTATGCGGGATCCTATCAACATCCCTTGCACAAACTATCAGATTTTGTGTTGCACACCTCCTGGTGCCCATAGCGTACCAAGTTGGTGTTTTGTAATAGGTAAATAAACATCAATTGATTATTTTGCTTTCTCCTGATAAAAACACTCAATTTCTTTCTCTAGGTGGATACAAATAATCCAAATCGTTTAATTTCATATCCCAAAGGAATAAGTGTTGCACTGCTAGGAACCTCAACGTCAGATTTCAAAGGTCATAATTCCCAATATTCTGAAATATCGTCAACTGAATGCAGTGAAAATCCAGTGGTAGCAAATACAATAGCTGAAGCAATAGCTTCTGGTTGTCCTCCGCTGGTTTTAACACCCGACGTTAGACGATCTATTGATGCTTTTCGATGCTGGTTAAATGATGACAATGCAAGATCACGACAATCATTTTTATTAGTCGGTCCAGAAGGTTGTGGCAAAAGGTGAGATTTGCTTTATGCCTTTTTTTCCCCTAGAGAAAAGTGCTTTAAAAAGACTCATCAGGTTTTACAGTTGTGTGTCTTTAATAACTAAAGAATTACTGTTATTAACAACATTGATGTTCTTAAATTGCATATTGAGTCATTAAGATCAACTGATTACAGTTCATGCATTTATACCCCTTGATGAATTTGAATAAAGCAAGAACAAAAGTGGTTTGTGCAGAATAATATGGTTCCATCATTTATTTCGTAGGCTTCTCATCAGCTGCTTACAGCCTAAATAAATTATGAGGTTTGCGTACAGAAAAGTTTTAACATACTTGCAAATTTTTACATGTTGCCAGTTGACAAAACGTTCCACAGTAAGTGAACAGTGCTCAGAAAATTGCGCTTATATAGTTTTTACACAGGCAGTTCAAGTTTAAACAAAATAGATGTATGCATACAATGGTAAAAGAGTTACGTAATAAAGACGAAATATGAGTTGGATACAGAGTGACTAATAAATTAGGTAACAATGTACTGAGTTCAACTCAAATCATAGAAACAAGAGACAAGCAAAGTTACAGAATATAAAAGGGGGTGAGGTTAAAGACAAAGATTACGTAATCAGATGAGAGAATAAAGACATTCAGTTACCAGGGCAAAGAAAGATTAATAACTGCTTCTTTCTGAACACATAAATCTGGTTTCAAGCGTTTGATAGAGATTGCTTCGGCAAACTTGAGGAGAATGGAACTCCTTTGTCTATTGATAATTTTAAAGGATTTCTCGATTTCTACCTCATGACCCGTGTCGAGATGTCTAGTGATAGCGCTGCTATAAGAGTTTGTTCCCTTGAGACGTAGGCTTTTTGGCACATGTTCAGAAAATCGGGGGTGTGCCCTTCTTTCTGTTCTCCCAATGTAACTGCTCCCGCAGATACACGTAAATTTGTATACACAGTTGGAGTTAACATGAGAAGGGTATCTATCGACTTTTGGCTGCACCAAAGAGCATGTTGTTCGATGGACGGGAAAAAGAATCTGTGTAAGTGATAATATGCATAAATATAATACTAAATTGAATATCAGACGAATTAAGAAAAATAATGGAGAATTTATGAATTTTCAAAAGAATGGATACTGAACAAAGAATACTCTTTTCGATAACTTCATCATCAGGCTCTACAGTTACATATACATTATAGTCAATTAATGAATTAGTGTTATGAACAACATTAGTGTTTAAATAACATCGAATCAATAATACTGATAGATTACAGCTCAATAGCATCAACACAAGATAAGCTGAATGTCAGAAAAATTAGGAACAATAATATTACAAATTCATGAATTTATAGTCTCTACTGAAGGGCAGTAGTGGCGGCTGGACTTGCTTCTTTTGAACACAGAGCATTAGTTTTTTGAAGCGAATTGCAATAGCCTCTGCTGTTTGGGACATGTGGTGCTTCGATGATTTTGGCAATTTCTTAGGCATTCGGTAGATTATAGAGAAGGATTCTTCCACGCTGGCTTTGTGATCGGTTTGCACCAGATGGTCCAATATTGAACTGTTAATAGTTTTCAATACACCTTTGCTTAGCCATAATGGGAGATGTTCTCGAGGACGAAAAATCAAGTTCCTAGAGCGACGCACGATATAACTCGCTCCACAAGCGCAGTTGAATTAATAGATACAATTTGAAGTGGCTAGTCTAGGTACTTCATCTTTCAGCCGAGGTAGCACCATCGGTCGTGCAGAGAATAATATGTGTAGTTCGCCAGCATTAAAAGTCCTTTGAACTGATTTTCTTAATTTCTTTGTAATTAAACTCACTTGGTATATCGCCCATGAACTACAGTCGTATATAAAGTGGCTTCTTGTTTACAGATAGTGAGTAGTCCTTTTCCGCTTTCTTTGTCATGTGTTTCTTGATAAATTTTTCGGGGTAGCTATTTTCGGTCAAAGTATCATATATAATGCTTAATTCATCTTCAGTTACTTCTTCTGAGCATATAGTTCTAACTCTGTGGCTGAGGGTTTTCACTAAATTTCTTTTGTACTTGATAGGAACGAAGCTGTGAAAATGTGTATATTGTCCTGTCCAAGTACTTTTTCTATGCAAATTTCTTTTATGCTACCATCTGGTTTTCTTTTAAGTAGGACATCCAGGAAGGCAATTCTGTTTTGGGATTCCTCTTTGCATGTGAATTTCATAGCCGAATGTACTTCATTGATGCTACTGTGTTGTAATCTATCGATATTATTGATTCGATGTTAGTTAAACATTAATGTTGTTCATAACACTGATTCATTCATTCATTATAATGTATATATTACTGTAGAGCCTGATGATGAAGTTATCGAAAAGAGTATTCTTTGTTCAGTATCCATTCTTTTGAAAATTTTAATGGGCATTTTTAATCAATTTATGAATTATCATTTTTCACAGTAGGCCAAGGTAGCGATTAGTGGTTAGGCGTGTTTCTTCTACAGTCAGAGCTCCGGTTGTTCCAAGCTAGTTCCAGTAACTTCTGCTGTTTCAAGTATTCGGTATTTACATACCATGGAAAAACTAATCAATGCCCAATAGATGATAGATAAAACTTCTTCAATGCTAGTTTTATACCTTGTTTTTGACCAGATGATCTGATATCAGACTGTTATTAGTTATATAACGACAGAAGACAAGGGCCAGGCAGCCGATCGTCTATTGTGAAAATCAAGAGATATTTATAGATTTTTACGCACATTATTGTCAGCGGAGAAGCAACCTCTTCTAACTGGCTGTCTTCTTGCTGAAGGTTATTCTGTACTGCTTGTGACCCTTTCCCACAGTTTTACTACAGCTGCTAAGTATCCTTGAGCACGAAAAACTAAGCTCCAAGAGGATTGATGCATAATTCATTTTTAAGTGATAGGGTGGGCTTATATGAGTAACAGAATATTCAGGAGATCAATGAAGATGATGTGGATGACGATAGTCATTGTAGAGGTTAGCATAGAAGTGCTTCAGTTTGCACTGCTATGCTTAAAAGAAAGTAACATTGAGCGAATACATCTCCATCACTCACTGTAAATGCTACTAAGGTAATCTACAAAATTTTTACTCATAGATTCTTAGCTCTTTAAGGACAGTGACAAGCTCATCTGCAGCTAACTCACAGTTAGCATTGTTTATCGTTGAAGGTTATCTCTCTCAACATGTCTACAACATATCCTAGACACTACTTCAATCGACAGAATCCACAAAGTCCCTTTATTGTTTATCCTTCCTCAAAGAGTTACCTTAGGCAATGAAGACAGCTGTGATGAGAAGTTTCAGGCCTTTTTAAATCTTTTACTTCCATAGGCTATAGATCAGCTTCAGTTTGTTGGTTCGCCAGTATTTCAGGAGAGTTAATAAAACAGAAAAGTTGTTTTGAAGAGGAAATGATTTCTTGCCCTACATACAATATTAGCAGATTTCAACTTCATGGTTTTAGACTGTTTTATGTTCACCCATAGGCAGTCAGCACAAACAATAAGATTCGGATTCTGTTCAACACGCATGTGAAGTCAGTCAGTCACTGCTTCTGTAAGGGTCAGTAACTTGCGCTGCGCTCGTGTCACGTAAAGGATTTCCATCAAGCCACTGCAAACTTATGTCAATAGTTGCCACCTACGCTGGCTGGCTGGCTTGATACTGAAGATCGAATGGCCGGCCAGCCGACTGTCCAGAAAGAATGAGCAACAAGAAACTCTGACTGGGAACAAACCATCAGGCGAGAACCGATTGCTCAATAGATATGTAGGAGAAAATGGAGATAGAACGGGTATACGTTGAGGAGGCCGTCGAATGACATCGCACGCCAGGCATAAGCTTGAATGGAATCCTAATGAGAAGCGACGAGTGTGTTGTCGATGTGAGGGTAGAGGGCGACGTAAAGGAGATCGTATGAGTCGGAGGAGAAGATGGGAGATCCTGGGCAATCGTGGAGCTAGCTAACTGAGGAGGACAGCGGCGCACAGAGGAAAGTGGCTATCTGTTGTAGAAGCCGTATGTTCCACTTGGAACCCAAGTGAATAAGAATATTAGTAGGTGATCTACATTTTCACAGGCTTTTTAAGGCGTCTAGTTAGTTGGTATTCAATTTTAATAATAATAATAACAATAATAGCTTTATTCCAAACAATACCTTTGATACAATGTGAAATTCCCAGCATGTAAGTATAATATTGCATCTAATCTTCTCTTTGCCTTACATAGTAAGGGGAAAAAATAATTACCAGGGCCTTTACATTAATAATAATGTTAATAAAAAATATAAATCTAAAATTAAAATTATAAATTGACAGAATTAGTCACAAGGATATGCAACTAATAACAGGAAGAATAAAAAGGGCCATTTTTGTTTCTGTTTCGCAATAAGTTATTAGTTTCATGCCTAACACTTTCCTCATCAGGTAAAATGTCTTTCAAATCAGGTGTTGTTGAGTGCATGTATTTAATCGTTCGAACACAAAGTCTTTATAATTCCTTTTAGTCTTACGTAATGAGTTGCAAGGCAAGATTTATGTGTAAAGAGAGTCCAGTAAGATGAAATTTGCCAATTTCTTGCATCAGTTCAAGAGTCTGTCTACAACAGTATTAACGACTTGGTTTTAGCTGCGACCTATCCCTCCCCCACTGACAGCTTTTAGTGCCCTTCTTAGTGTAACGAAGTCTTTCTTAAGTAGCTCAGAAATGACTGGCGGAAAGCAGTAAAGAAGAACAAATAGAATCAACAGTAGGAATTAAAAAATTGTCTTTGAATCCCATAAAAGTTAACTTCATATTTTGTATACAATCACGTTTAAACTTGAGAATATAATGACAAAATTTATGTCAAAATTGTAGGAAAATATGATCAGAAAACAACACAGTTTGTGTTTAAATTAGTGATCCTGTGATGATATATATATATATATACGTCATTTGTTTATTCCTTTTGAAGCCTTCTACTGGACTATTGTTTTGCTACACTGTCAAAGTCTGTTCATGTAGCTACTGTTCAATGTTCAGCTCAAACAACACCTAATCAATTACTGGATAAATTGTCACAATATTGTATATGTGTGATAAGCACAACTAATGGTCGAATCTTACGTCCAAAAGAAGGTGATCGTCTTATTCTCTATTTACGTGATCTTAATTTACCAAAACCGGATAAATGGGGATCATGTCAGTTAACAGCATTTTTACAACAGGTATGTCTTCTTATCATGTGTTCATCACTTTGTATTATATATATATATATATCATTCGTTTGCTGTTCAAGTGGCTTCAGGCTTAAACTTTGAATCTGCAATAACAATAGTATTATTTTCGCAGAGTGGAGTTGCCAGCTTCGTGCCCAACCCTCCTTCTCTTGACTGGGCTTACTACCGGTTAGGCGAGGTTTAAGAGGTTGAATTATTTGTGTTCTCTGAGGAGGTTGTCCTTCTAGACAACATCTTCAGTGTAGGTTTTAGTGTGAGATGAACTCATTTAAATTCTCCATGAATGATGTAATTGTATCTCCTGGCGACTACTGTTGTCACTGGTTGTTAATCTACGTCTCTATCGGTTATTTTTATTCACCTGGAATTCGAGGTTTAGGAGGAGTGCATCGGCTGGTAATCAAACCCAGACGACATGCGTGGTTGGTGAGTATCTGTCACGGAAATACCGAAGTACACAATCACCTTGCATTATGATGCTTTAGTTCTTTTATAGGTTAGTATAGTCTTCTTCGTTGATGTCTCTTTTCCTAACTATGAAGGAAGATTCTCATTAATACGTTTGTTGAGCTGTCTAGTTGTTTTCACTGTATAGAGCTCTCTCCGCAGGAGCAGCTAAATTTGTAGATACATACAGAAGTGTCACAGCTAGGTAGCTTGCTTTTCACTTGAGCAATCATAATTAGTCAGCTGTAAAAAGGCCAAAGAAAGGTTGGCAGCAGTATAAGTCCGTCTTATTGCTTTCGATAATCTTATATGTAGAACTTCACTAGCGACGTTTCCATTAAATTTCAGTTTCATGAACAGTTGTTTCTTTTTCATTGTTGTTAGTTTCCCTTTATTATACCTGGTGTTCATGGGTGTCCTTACAAATCAATTAGGATATCCATTTGCACCAGCATATTTTGAATGTATCCTAACTCATTTTCTAGGGAGTCATTTGTACAGATCCGTCTTGCTCTATTCGCGAGGTATCTGACCAAATTGACTTTGTATCAGACTGGTACAAAACTGAAGAAATGTGTATATTGTTCTACAGATGTAGGTTTTCTATAGACATCTCTCTTGAGTGAGCCATCCTCTCTTCTGCTCAATCGCAAATCAAGGAAGTGTAGTCTACCATTATGTTCTTCTCAATCACAAGTGAAGATGAGTGATGGATGTGCATCACTAAACTTTTTTAACATTTCATTTTTGTCAGTTTTCACATCAAGAATAATAAACGTATCATCAACATAACAAAAATAAAAATCCGTTTTATCTATTACTTGTTTCAACGGACTATTTTCAAGCTTAGCAAGAAAGAAGTCTGCCAAAATTCGACCCAGTGGAGAACCCGTGGCAATACCGTTGATTTTTCTGTAGTGAAGCTTGTTGAATGTGAATTGTACATTCATAGTGCATCTTAGAAGCAATTCTTTTAGACTAATAATTGGAATTCCGATGTCCAACTGCTTTTCTAGTATTTGTTGGCACATGAATTTCACATTCTCCATAAGTGGTACATTGGTGAACAGTGATGCAACATTTAAGGATAGCATTTGCTTCCCATTTACATTGACATCATGTACGTTGGAAATGAATTCAAAGACGTCTTTAACACTATGATTTACCACATTCTTGTGTAACGGTTGGAGGAGTTCACCTAGCTACTTTGCCACTCCATGGTTGGTGAAATTAGACATATCTAGGACTGGGAGACGAGAAAGTCCTGGTTTATGTACTTTGGATAGATCGTACAATCGTGAAGTATTACTTCCACTAGGTTTATCGAGACGATTTTAGGCTGCCTCTGAGATTACTCCACTTTTCATCAGCTCATTAAGCTTTTCAGCCTTTCTGTCTGGATCTGTTGAACTGTTAAGGTTTATGGAATTTTGTTTCATCGGTTAGAAGCAAATTCATTTTGTCAACGTAATCACACTTATTCATCAGTATTACTCCAGCTTCTTGATGACGCCTTCTGATTATAATGTTTTCATTGTTCCTCTGCTTTCTCAGGGCTTCTCAGTGCTGTTTAGTCAGCATGCCTTAACCTTAGATAGTTATTTTACTTCCCTCTGCTCCGTTATTTCTATTACACGTATTCGGTGTTGATTCGATAGACACGGATTCGGGAATTAACCTCTCTCTCTCTCCCTACACTTAACTGCATTAGTTTTTAAAACTTTTGCCCGTACAATGAACGCATCGCAGTGGACGAGCATTTTTCTAAATTTTTTGAATTATTTATTAACATCGTATTACTTTGTGTTATTCCAAATAAGCATTTCTAATTTTGCAGTTAGATTTTACCATAATCCCCAATTTCTACTCTTACGTTAATCCAAATTATTTCGCCTACCACTCAATCCACTGGCTTATATAATATAATTAAGCCCTGTTATAATGTTCACAATTTTGCTTCTTTTACCAATCGCTATTTATTTATCAACTTAAGCTACACATCATATTTGATGTCTAATTATTTTTCCTCATGTCTTTACATTCCAAGGGGAATCTAAGGCTTCAAACTCTTAAGTCTCAGAAGCAGATGTTATTCAAGTATTTGTTTGTAGAGATTTGATTGTTTGGTTACAAGATTTCATCATGAGCTGATATCAGTTAGGGAACCATTGGAAAACCATCTGCGAGTACTGGACAGCTGTTTCCTCCTTCCTAGTTTGGGACTCTTCACATTACGCATACACTGCCAGAGTTCGAACCCAGAACCATTCGGTTACAAGGCTAGCGAGCTCGTAGACCATTCAGCCACTAGGAGCTAATCCAATGGCCAGCCCATGAATTCCAGCTTCTGCTAATTCACGACATAGCGCCACCACTAGCCAATGTCTTCGACGAGAATTTGTCCTCATACCCGACCTGCTGCACCTTACTGGTTACGAATTCCCACTGGAACCCCAGGTAACTACCTACGCTTTATCGTGAATTGGCAGAAGTTAGAATCCATGAGCCATTGGATCGGGTCCCAGTGGCTTAATTGTCTACTAGCTTGCCTTGTTGCCAGAAGGTCTTGGATTCGAACTCCTGTAGTGGGTGCATAAAGCTAAAGAGTTCCAAACTAGGACTTTGGAAACAGCTGTCCAGTACTCCTAGGTTTTCCAATGGTTCTTCAACTGATGTCAGCTCAGGATAAAATCCTGTGAGCAGTTGTTACTGTTCTTATGGAATAAGGCTGCTAGTCCCATGACCAACCTCTCCTTCTTTCCGAGCTTATTATTGGATAATAAACAGGCTAGGGATGGCTTAGGAGGGATGCATCAACCGGGAATCGACCCCGGATCACATACATGCTTGGTGAACATTGTACCACCAAACTATTGTCGCTTTGATTCCAAGCTGATAATTATCTGTCCATTTCTCATTGTTTGTGTGTTTTATTACAGATTCTTACCTATCATGGATACTATGATCCATCCAGTTTAGAATTCATTGGCATCGAAGGAATACAATTCGTCGGAAGTTTTACCCCAGCCAATACATCTGTTGGTCTTGGACGTTATCCTCTGTCGAAACGATTCACTTCAGCTCTCCGACTAACAGTCATTGGATATCCAGACAATGATCAAATGATAAGCATTTATGCCTGCCTATTACAAGCTGTCAGTGTTTCCAGGTTGAAATATACTACTGCTCAGTCAACCGAATCAGATCGTATAAGTAGTAGACGACCAGACTACAACAATAAAAATTTAAAGGCTTCTTCTTCGTCGTCTAAAAGATTACTCATTAATCCTACTGGATTGCATAATATGTCTACAATAATGGTTCACCTGTTACACGAATTACAGCGTAATTTTCGTGCTGATGAATATGCCCATTGTGTATTTACACCGCATTCACTGACTGCATGGGTAAGCGGACTACTACGTTATAAATTCACGGAATCAATGAATGAAATATGGTCAATATTTGGTTATGAAGCCAAGCGTTTATTTCGTGATTGTCTACCTGGAGAGAAAGCACGTCATCAATTCGATGTATTACTCACTAGGATATTATACAATGTTTTAAGTGGATCCCTAATAAAACCTGGTGAGGAGATAGATAAAGCTGGTAAAAATTGGAAGATATCAAATGACAAATGCGATGAAATACAAAGTACGCTAATGATGGCAACTGGAGACTGCGAATCGTATGAAAGTGATATCCCTGATGAAGATAAATCCAGTTATAATGATGGTGATGATGATGATTATAATTTTGCCAAATTTCATGGTTCATTTGTCACATGGATTGCAACTCATCATTCCCCGTCAGGATATCCAGCGGCATTATATGGAAAACCGCTGGAATTTTTAAAGTATACACAAATCAAAGAAATAGCCTTGAAAGCATTGAAACAGTTAGCTAGAGAAAAGTTACCACAAGCTGAAACTTTGGTATTATTCCCAGACTTTATTGATTATTTATGTCGATTCGATCGTGTACTCAGTCGTCCATCAGGTTCTCTGTTATTAGCTGGTCGTTCTGGTATTGGACGCAGGTCTGCATTGAATTTAATCGCCCATCTACATCAGTTGAATACTTTTCGTTTACATACTGGTCGAAATTATACTATGCGTCAATTTATGAATGATATGAAGACTGTTTGTCAGTCAGCGGGTATTGACAATCAACCAACCTTATTGATTATTGAAGATTATCAATTAAAAGATGATTGTTTCCTGGAAATTGTGAATAGTCTATTAGCTTGTGGTGAAGCAAGCGGTTTAATGAATACTGAGGAATTAGAAGCTACTGTATCGATTGTCGCCTCGAAAACTGGAGTGAATCTTAAAGAACAAGCAGCTGAAGCTGGACATCGTGGACCGTTGACCACATTCTTAGCTAATCGTATTCATAGAAATCTTCATTTTGCTATTATTCTGGATATTGATGATGATTTCTTCAATAGTCGACTACAGTCGAATCCTTCACTATATAAATATTGTTGTGTTCAATGGATGGATGAATGGTCTAAGGCTAGTTTACTACAAATCCCTAAACTACTTATACCAAAATCATGTATTCCAAAAGATGTGAGCGGTTTTTGTCAAGCCTGCGTTAATCTGCACACTTCATCATCATCACCAGATTCACATATGATGATAACGGCAACGACGCCTACTCCACGTCATTTTACTGCATTCTGTTCGACTTACTCACGAGTTGAACAAAATCATCGGAAGAAATTAAATTCGGAAATCACTAGATTAAAAAGTGGTCTAGGGAAACTGAAAGAAGCCTGTGAACGTGTTAGTGAATTGAAAAGGCAGACAGCTGAACAAGGAAAGCTATTGGTAGAAAAACAAACTGAAGCTGATAAAGCCTTAGAACAGATAAGTGCTGCAATACAAGTGAGTTGTTCAAGTATTGGTTTACAGGGATTTGACTGATTGGTTACAGGATTTCACCATGAGCTGATATTGGTTAGAGAACCGCTGGAAAACCACCTGCGAGTACTGGATAGTCATTTCGTCCTAGTTTTGGACTAATAGGCAGTACTTACCCACAGAGGTTCGAACACTTGATTTTCTGGTTACAATTCAAGCTCGTAGAACATTCAGCTACTGGGACCCGATCCAATAGCAGATGAAAACTCGACAATAACATTGACTAATGGTCGCGCTATATCGTGAATTGTCAGAAGTTGGAATTCATGGGCTGGCCATTGGATTAGCTCCTAGTGGCTTGATGGTCTACGAGCTCTCCCTGTGACCAGAAGGTCCTGAGTCCAAACCCTGGTGTATGTGTACTGTGAAGAGTCCCAAACTAGGAAGGAGGAAACTGCTGTCCAGTATTCCTTGTTGGGTTTTCCAATAGTTCTCTAACCGATGTCATTTCATGATGAAATCCTGTAAAGAATTGAGTTAGTTAGTTAATCAAGTCATACAGTCGTGTTGTTGTTCAATATACAGTTGAGACGCCTGTATAATTATTTGTTTAAAATATTTCTCTTCAATATTTTATTGAATGCCCAACTTGGTACAGTATGTGCGCTGGGAGATATACCACACGAAACAATGCGATGACAACATTGGGAAGAGTAAAATCGCACATGAACCAGTTGATAACTTCTAACTCATCTTCAGGAAGGAGAGTGTGGGTATCAACAAACTAATGCTAATCTTCCAATAAATTTTTGAATGATAAAATGCTTTTCATGTAACCTCAAAGTCTTGAGTTTGATCCCAAGTAGGGAATGATGATTGTGTACATCTGAACAGACCTAGGTGTGAATGAAACCATGGTTTTAAATGGTCCTCTGTGTAATATCAATTCAAGAAATTCTCCAGATCTTGATATACCTGACAAGTGACTTCTAACAGTTATTAAAATCAAGCATTATGAGCAGATGGTCGTTTACTACTACTACTATGATTATTATCAGTAGTAGTTATCAAACTATCTGTTTTAAATAAACAAATCAACCTGTTTACATTATTTCACTGATAAATACTTTAATAAAATTCAATACAGATATTTCCGATTGTTATATTGCAAAGATTTGATTGGCTTAAAGTTATACCATGAATTGACACATTAGTTAAAGAAACAGTAAAAATCAGGGAGTACTAGATACCTGTTTCGTCCTAGTTTCGAACTCTTCGACATTACTCATTCATGTTCTCATATGATCAACGGCGTAAACTCGCAAGCTGAATGTCCTAGGTCTTATCCCTGATAATGAGGTGATGAGTGCACACTTCTGAAGAGGCTCAAATTAGAACGAAAAACTGTGCAGTACTCTCTGGTTTCCAATGATTCTAAAACTGATGTATCAGTTCGTTATCTGAATCCAAGACAAACACAGGGGAAATTCAGTACACGGAATTCTAATTATCAAATGGCTGAATACAAGTTTTATAACGAAAATATTAAGACGAACTGCTAGACTTGTCCTGAAAGTTGAAATTAAGTTACTTCCTTTTACTTGAGCCTTCTTGTATAAAAGGTGGAGATTTGACTAGTATTTTCAAGAATTATGAAATAAAGACGATTAGGTGTGGCATATGCTACTGATAAGATTTATCAGTAGTATATATAAAAAGAGATGTTCGTCGGCGTAAAAACATCGAATAGCAGCGAGATAGATTTGATTTCAGAGAAAGCGAATGATACAGAGTTGCGGAGATACGTGGGAGACGCAAAAGAAACACAAACAAAACACAAATATGAAGGAAGGGGAGAAGTAGCACGACATGGAAGATCTGTGCAAATGGTGCCTTGAAGATAAGGTGTAGATAATTTTTCTATATAGAAATATCAAATTCCAAGTCTTTCGTGCTCTGCCATTGCTCACATTCACTAAAAGAATACTCTTTTGTATCAACGCCTTTTACACCAGAAGTCGAACTGATGTCAGTTAGAAAACCATTGGAAACCATGGAGTACTGGGCAGCTGTTTAATTCTATTTTTGAATCTAGGAACTGGCAGGTCCCGAGTTTAAACTCCGGTGTGTGTATACTGCTAAAAAGTCGCAAGCCGGGACGAAACATCTGTCCAGTATTCTCTGATTTTCACTGGTACTCTAACTGACATCAGTCTGTAATCAAACTTGAGACTTCAGCATTTAGTAATGCACATATTCAAGTCTCAGAAGGTGAAAATGACCTTCTTCAAGGTTGTAGATATGTACTATGTCAACAAACACAAAACTTCGATTAAAAGATTCGTTGCGACTGACTTCCAGTACCTAACATCAGTTCAGAATACATCCAAAGAAGTATCAAGCTTACATATATAAGAATAAATTGCCAATAAGGTTACTTCTAGCACTGAAAGACCGGGTTTTACGCCCAAGTGGTCTATTTCAGAAAAGTAGTTTATTTTGGGATGCGTTTGCCTGTTCAGTTTGCTGAAATATCTATTTAACAAAAATTGTTATTATAGGCTTTCTTTTCCGGGAAGTGGATTTCTCACACTGTATTAACCACCATATTTATGGAAGTGTTTGGTTACTGACTCTCCTCCTCCTTCTCCTCGTTCCCAGAATGGAAAGATAACTTCGATTGTTTGCTAGTCGACTGAGAGAAACACCTTACTTGCTATTATCTCTCTATTTGTCAGCAGCACGAATGGTCCCACACATTCCTCAATATAGTATAAATGACCTACACTATGATGGTAACGGTTTTTGGTATAATTACTATCCGAATGATGTTTCCGCAAGGTGAAACCTATAGGAAAATTCAGTATAGCAATTTGGGTCAGTGTGACCATCACGTCAAGGCGGAAGCTACCAACATTTATATCAACCTATCAACTCTCAAATCACCCTTGTCTAAGATTTACTGTATTGTATCACATATTCTGCACCCAAGCAAATGAATGATTTTCAAACATCCTGTACTACTTACCCCTTTCTCTATTGCATTACATTTTAGGGTGCAGCTGAACAAAGAACCGAAATGGAGAATTTACGCAGTCGAGCAGCAGATGAATCTAAACACTTAGAACGCCGTAAATCAGCCATTGATTCAGAGCTAGCAGAAATTGAACCAATGGTTCAACAAGCTAGAGCTGCTGTTGGAAGTATCAAACCAGAAGCCTTGTCAGAGATACGTGCTTTACGTGCACCACCTGATATTATACGTGATATTCTTGAAGGTGTTCTGCTCCTTATGGGTATATGTGATACATCATGGGCTAGTATGCGTGGATTTTTAGCTAAAAGAGGAGTTCAAGAAGAAATTCTTAATTTTGATGCTAGAAAAATTACACCAGATATACGGGCTAGTGTTGAAAAACTTTTAATTAAAAATCAAGAATCATTTGAACCTCGGGTAAGATTTTTTTTTGTAAAACTTTATTTGTACTCTTTGTAAATAATTGGTATGTTGAGATATACATAAAAAGTTACTGAAAACCTTAGTCAGTAATATTTTTTGAGAAACTCAAGAATCTATACTTTACGGCTGGTTGTAGATGTATCCTAGATAAGTGAGAGAATTGACTTCCTTTAGATATCTCCCGTTGATCATTGATCGATGCCACTTTTTGCTGGTTAGCTGTCTTCATCATCTATATCTTCCCTATATTTATTTGAAGTCTTCACTGCATCTGTGATCTTGTTGATCTTCGCCTGTAGATCTTTGAAATTGTGAGACATTAGAGATAAATCATCCTAGAAGTCCAGATCTTCCAGCATTTTCTTATCGGTGTAACGCATACGCATCTTCTAGTTCCCCACAGTTTGTTGCATGATCCAGCCCACCACAACCAGTAAGACTGTCGATGGTATTAGTGCCTAGGTTTGTCTTACTCTTGTCTTCATTCCAAAAGCTCCACTGAGCCTTCTGTTGGGAATCACGTGGCATTCCATAGTGCTGTAGCATTTTTCAAACTGCTTCAAGGTCGACACTGCTGGAAGATCTTTTCAGAGTCAATGAATTTGAAGTATGGAGTTGGCTGTCATTCTATGCTTAGTTCGGTAATGCTGAGTAGTATTGCAATCCGGTCAATACCTGTTTTGCCATTCCTGAATCCAGCTTATTCCGGGCAAAGTTTTGCCTTTAGAGCATTGCTTATTCTCTCCAGAAAGATCTGCAATAGGAATGCCAGTATATATATATATACTCTGGTTTCTCAGCCCATTTTAAGGTGCTTCGGGAGGGATCCCGTTTGGTTCCTCTGCTTTCCTGATCTTTATTAACTTTATGGTCTCAAAGACTCGTGCTTTTGTCTGAGAACTGGTGTTCACTGGCTGTTCCGCGTCTACGGGTGGTATTTCTGGACGAGTTTTACGTGATGGTGGTTTATTAAAGAGTTCTTTGAAATGATCACCTCAGGTTTCCCTAACTTGCTCAGTGAGCGTTTCAAGGTCACTGGTTCGGTCGCACTGCAATGGTAGTTAGTGGTGCTTGAAGTTTAACTTGGCCGCTAATTAGATTCCCTTCACTATCTATCATTGGTCGCACTAGTGTTGATTTCTTCCGGGATAGCCACCCGATTATTAGACGTGGTACATCCATGAAGAACATAATACCTTAGCTATATCAGGTCTTTGTGTTATTTTAGCCACAATTTAAGCACAGTGACAAGTTTTACAAATACTCAAATAAATTCGTATTACAGTCCTTAAAACTACACTCAATTCGTTGAATGTATTCTTGCTTAGTTATCCGATTTTTTTATCAATTATGTTAACGCTATATGAATAATGTTGTTCAGCAGAAATTTTAGTATACTTACTAATGAGAGTGTTTACATTACATGAAGACTCTCTTTAAAATGGTAACTGAAAAGAGTTCACTTGATAGTTTCAGTCCTGGACAGTGAATGTAGAACCAAATGCCTTAATCAAAATAGTGAGCCACGGTCATTCACTTAGATTAATGGAGCTGATTAAGATAAGAAATCTAGGAAAAAGAAGCTCAACTATAGCGGCTACACTCACATACACACACAGGACCATCTTACTGCATGGCGTGTTTTGTTGATTACCAGCTATGCTGTCAAGCAGTTCATTTATATTTTGGTTAAGAAATAAAACCCATGATGACTCTTCATGAAAAATGGCGTAATTTGCAGATAACTACGTCTTGCTGGGTATGTAGCTGGTCAACTTAGCTCCAAATGAACGAGACAGTCGTCCTCTGTGTTATGACCAGAACTACGAACTAGCACACTACGAGCGAATACTAACATAATCCTCTGGTTAACCTAACCTAATCGTACGTCAACAACAATAACACCGCTGGGCGAAAAAGAGAGAAGAAAAGACTGGACGGTGGATAAGAGAACTGTCTCAAACAAAGGTCAAAAAAGATTGACAGCACTAGCGTATACATATGTTTAAAATGATAATGAGAGGCATTAGTATCAATGGTAAATTAAGACAGTGAACAACCAATAGGATTTCAAAGGTCATCAGTAGGGTGACAGAAGTGCAAACAGACACGTAGAAATGACAGCTAGGAAATTAGGTCCATATGTCAATCACTCTGGTGTTTAGATCTTTCTGATCTGACTGGCAAGTAATACTATTTAACCTCTAGTTACCCAACTACTCAAAAGGGATCAGTAGTATGTGTCGTCTTGCTAAAAGATTACTACGACAAAGAGAAAAGAAGTAGAAATACTAAGCTAAAGTTTCGAAGTTGGGAAATCAATATCTGATACGATTATCAATAATAATTTGTGTTCAAAACGTCATTCAGTAAATGATACTTTTTTTTAAAAATGTGATCTATCTAGCAGACAACCTAATCTGAAATTATATGCCAACACAATGACCAAGTTTTGCGGAATTCAGTACTCGTCGTTGAGAGGATTGTGTTAAATTCCTCCGTACAATAGTAAGAATCGACATTGCTGGAAACATGTTGGTTATTTTCTACAAAATTAGGAATGATGTGGGTTGATTTTTGCCTCAAAATTCTCCTATCACCTTCTTGGTATTTAAGGTGTAGCTTCATGCACTATATTTAAGAATGAGCCCTCCACATAATTCGACCACAAAGTAGCTTCTGTGGTGAACGTAGAACGAACACTAGTTATGACAAGCTTTTTCCTGCGTTCGTTTCAAAGCAAATCAGACATGATTTTTGCATCTTACGTAATAATACTACTGATGTTTTAAAATGTGTACCAGTGTAGAATTATACACAACCTTAGCTTTAAAGTCATTATTCAAGCTTCCTTAACTAGCCTAATTACCTCTGCTCATATTCATCTTGTTGCGTTAGCGGTTCAATAATAGGATGATCTCCAACTATTCACCTAGTTCAGAGTTCGATTTCTGACCAACACACTCCTTCTAATCCTCTACTAGTTTACTGGTTGGTAGTGAGCTCAGAAAAGAAGGAAGGTTAAACATGAGACTAGCAACTTCGTTCTGTGGAATAAAACAGTGTTGTTGCTACTGAAACTTCAAACCTTGAAGTCCAGTTTTCCACTTGAAACGCAAAGAAACAATATATATACACATATATCCGATGCTCGCTAGTGACTGGCTACAGAATAAAGTTGTCTGAAGTCTTAGTGAGAAGTCGTGACCAGTGGGGTCCTCTCGAGAGTGAGGACAGATAGTCGCCGATGACACTGGCTAGTGCCAGTCACTCTAAAATTACTGACTGGTGGAAGTTAGAATTCATCGGCTAGCCAGTGAGTTGGGTCCCAGTGGCTGAATGGTATACGAGTTTGCCTTATAGCCGGAAAGTCCTGGGTTCGAACCCTTGGGGTGGGTGCGTGCTGCCGATGAGTCCCCAAGTAGGATGAAACAGCTGTCCAGTACTCCCTGGCTTTCAAGGTTTCTCTAACTAATAGCAATCTGTAATCTAACCTGAAACAGATAGAATTCCTACAAATTAATTCTTTAAAATACTTTCAAATCTTGTTAAGTAACCACTGTGTACCATTACGCGGATGCGGAGCCCCCTCTTTTTACAAGTAATGTTAACTGATATAGAATTGAGTTGAAAAAGAGGTAAGGGTGGTCAGACCGAAAATCCAACATCAGTCCATAAAGTCATTGATAATTAGTTCGAATGACGTAGTGAGATGTGGATTGCCTGTTTGGAGGTCCTTGGGATTCTGAAAAGCGCTAATTGGAAACAAATTTTTGATGTGGTTCAAAATCGTTCTCAGTAGTACCCAGACGCATTCACACTTTGTGATCTCCTAGATCTGTTATGTCCTCTTTCCTTCCGCCTTACTTTTCTTTCTCCTACCCATTCCTGTTCACATTAGAGTTCTTTTGAGTATTTTTTCCTTTTTTCTACCTTTGTGTGTGGGGAGACTTGAACTACTGTACTCCTGTACAGAGTTCGACGTTGGAACTTGGTTTATTAGTTTGTACACTATTTATTTATTAAGATTGTACCGATAGAAGACAAGGGCCAGGAAGCAGATCGTCTATTGATAAAATCAAGAGATATTTATAGATTTTTATGTACATTTTTGTCAGCTAAGAAGCAACGTCTTCTGATTGGTTGTTTTCGTACGGAAGGTTATTCTGTACCGCTTGTGGCCGTTTCTTAGAAAGTTAAGCTATATATCTGCGAATCGTATTTGCACACGTTAAGTCTGCCGTGATTGGTTGATGAGTTCTTCAAGGTTAAGCTTTGTTATTGTTTTTCTCATGACCCTGATTCGATATGTAACACTGACGTAAATTGCTGCCTACAATTTTGGCTTGTTCGCAGCCAGCTCTCACCACAAAATAACCTTCAAGTAATAATTTTTTCTCTCTCTTCAAATAAATACCTCTTTTATTAGGTTGCTAAACGTGCATCTGTCGCAATCGCTCCATTAGCCACATGGGTTCGTGCTAATGTACAATATGCAAGTGTATTAGAGCGTATTTCCCCATTGGAAGCTGAACACAATAAATTAAAATCATCTCTACTTCAAGCTGAAAATTCTTTAACAAATTTAGCTAAAGATTTAAGTAATGTTGATTCAAAAGTGGCTAAACTACGTAGTATTTTTGAAAAGCATACCACTGAAGCAACACACTTAAAAATGGAACTTGAACGTACAAAAGAAACATTGGCATCAGCTGAAACCTTGGTTGGAGAATTAGAAAGTGAACATACACGATGGAATAATCAGGTAGATTTTGTTTACTTTATATGAATTTTGTGATTTTTGATTCTTTGATGATTGGGGTGAATTTCATTATGTTGAGAAATCAACTGGAAGGCCGACTAGAAAGCAAGAAACATAAAATGACTGTTTGGTTCTATTTTTTCACGGTCAAGAGTGCACACTCATGATCTATCGAAAGACTGAACTAATAATAGTCGTAAGGTCTTGATTATTGAATTTAAATCCAATAGTCTAGAGGTTGTCAGTCGGTGATGCAGTGATAGAATACTCGCCAGTCACGCACTTGGTCCGTGGTTCGATTCCCGAATAACGCACTCCTGGGCCTCGCCTAGTTCACCAACTGATAATAAGCCAATGAAAGAGGAGAGGTTGGGTGTTGGGCTAGAGACGTCATCTCATGAAAACATCATCGTTACTGGGACTTCAAAATAAGAGGCCTGAGTTTCCACTTGGAACTCAAAGGAACTCAAAGGCACGCCTTAAGAATGAGTCCAAGGGTTTTTGATATCTCGATAAATTTGCACTTTACGCTGTCACCGTTTCATAAAGTTCTATAACCCTATTTTTATTGCGTAAAAATACATAAATTGTAGAAATCTGCAGAAATAAATCATCAGATGGTTGGAGATAATCCATAAGATACCCTAGAACTGATGTTTTATTAGATATTCAGACCTGTGTCTCCCAGTGCCGCAGTTATTATTATCAACGAGTTATTCGGTATAACGGCTGACCTCTTGTAGGACTAGAAGTAACTACTGTCATATGTCAATTCCATCTAATTGGTACTGACTGAATCCTATCAGCCAAGTTCACATTGCAGGCCCCAACGGCCCAGTGGTAACATCTCTGACAGCAGCACTGGTTGACGTGGATTCGGATCTCCAAGAAGACATCAGTTTCTTTCAAGAGTGTAGAAACGATTTGCTGACAAATACTAGTAGTTACGAAGCCTAGTTCCAGGGATTCCTACTTGTCGACTTCAACCACTTAGTAATAAATCAGAGTGGACCACGACAGTGAGCCACCTAGTCTGTCAACCTTATATTTCGTGAGCGTTTTATTCTTTCTGCATAACTGTACACTAATTTGAATTGATAAGCATCTACCAGGTGTGTAATCAGATCTACACGTGGTTATTTTGGTTAATGATATCTAGCAGTGGAATCCTCTAGGACCTAAATTTAGTTCTTTTGAAGACTCATCATCTGGATGTATATAGATTCTCACTGAATGGTGGTATTCCCACTGATAATCGAATCTTTAACCCTTTATTTGAAACACCAGAGCTTTATCCAAAAATAAAGACCTACATGTAGTTGATATCTGTTTCCTGAATAGTAAATACATTTATTATTATTATTGGTAGTAGTAGTAGTAGTATTGTTCCTTTGGGTTCCGAGTGTAACATATGGCTTCAACAACACGTTTCCACTTTGTTGTATTTTCTGCAGTCCTCTTTAGATGGCCTCACGATTGTCCATAGTCTCACATGACCTCCTCCATATCAACCTCTGACGACCCACTCTTCGTTTCCCAATCAGATTCCACTTGACCGCCGGCCTGACGCGCGATGTCATTTGACGGTCTTCTTCATCTCCATTTTCTTCCACATATTTGTCGAACGATAGGTTCTCAATCGGTGTGTTCTCATTCTTCTTTGTTGCTGATTCTTTCTGACTACATACATTAGCCCCCTCATTTAATGTACACAATATTTTTACGTCTTTCGAATAAAATAAACTATGGTATATTTTGTATACAAAGGAGGTACTGTGGCTTGCAACACTCCACTTTCTGCTGTTATTCAAGAAGAGAACTTCTAGTTCATTATCACTCTGCTTCTTTTACCAGTGCAAAGCTCTCTCATCCATGCAAGTAGACTGTCAAATCTTCAAAAACTTTTCAGTTTCATAAGCAACGAAGTACAAGAGAGTTTGGCGAAAATGGAAAATATTTATAGCCTAAAATATCCTTAAACTTCATGAGAAGTAATATCGTCATTAAAGATTATACTAAAATAAACTTCAAGATCAATCATCTAAAAGTCTTTGTTTCGGTCACTAGAGGTGGGTTCTTGGTTGACTTAGTGTGCTGAAGAGTCCCAAACAAGGACGAAACAGCTATTATAGTTTTAAATAATTCTCTAACCAAATTTGGTTTATGGTCACTCTTGAAATCAATCAAGCCCCCCTTAAACCAACAAATCAACACTTGAAAAGCCATAAAATAAAGAACATTAGATATCCTGATGATAGGAATCAATACTTCCTATTCCTATTCATCATATTTTTATTGTACTCATTAAAACGAAGAGTGTATAGGGCATATTTTTGTTTACGGTTTCTTTACCTTCATTTTTTTTATTTTGTAGATTAATGAATTGACTAGCCAACTGAATAGTCTACCATTATTTGCACTGTTAGCCTCTGGTTTTATAACCTATCTATCCGCTTGTCCTGAAGATGTACGTCGTCAACAGACATTGAAATGGATTGAAAATTTAACTAGTCTTGGAATGGTGCCGTCATCATCATCATCATCTGCATCTGCGTCATCGGCATTAATACAAGGTGGTAAACAGAATTTTGATTTACTCAGATTTTTATCTACTGAACGTGAACAATTAATCTGGCATAGTCAAGGTTTACCATCAGATCAATTGTCAGGCGAGAATGCTGTAACAATTGTTCATGTAAGCAGACTAATTTGCTCCATTGATTATAAGTATTCAACAGGAATTAAGAGTTTTGAAGATCATTTTAGCATACCGGTGTATAATGTAGAGATTAGGTTCGAAGTATCCTCTAGTAAATAGTATCCTGCTTCACAGCATTATTATTATAATTCCCTTGCGTTCCGAGTGGAACATAGGGCTACAACAACAGATCTCTACGTTGTTCTGTTTTCTGCCGTCCTCTTCAGCTGGCTAGCTCCACGATTGACCAAACTCTCTCATCTCTTCCTCACATGGTCTCCTCCATGTCACCCTAGGACCGATGACCCACTCGTAGCTTCCCAACCGGATTCCACTAGAGGTATTGCCTGGCATGCGTTGTCATTCGGTGGCCTCCTCAATGTATGACCGATCCATTTCCACTTTCTTCTGCATATTTGTTGAGCGATCGGCTCTCGCCTGTTGGTTTGTTCCCATAATTTCTAGTTGCTTATTCTTTCTGACCATTAGATCTTGAGTATGAAGCCGGCGAAGGCAGCTGTTGATAAAAGTCTGCAACCTGCTGGAAATCCTTTTCGTGACACACCAAGTTTCTGAACCGTATAGAAGAACCGAATTCACATTTGTGTTGAAAATGCGAATCTTGTTTTTTATAATGAAACAGAGTGCGAAAGATTTCCAAACTGGTTTCAGGTTGATGAAGGCGTATCCCGCCTTTCCGATTCTTACTTTGACATCTTCATTCGTTCCACTTGTAGTTGAAACGATGCTTCCCATATAAGTGAAGGAGGTAACCTCTGTTAAACCTCTCCCATTGATGGTGATTGATGCTGGTTGTTGTTGCTGTTGATTGGTTATCTTCATCACCTCCGTCTTCTCTGTGTTCATCTGCACTGCTGTTTTCGCCGCCTTATCAACCAGTTTGTTGGTTTTCGTTTGCAAGTCCTCGAGTTTGTGTGACATCAGACATATATCATCCGGAAAAGCGAAATACAGATCTTCTATAGTCTTTTTAACAGTCGTCCAGAGTATTCCTGACTCCTCGCCTCCAACAGTCTGACGCATAATCCAGTCCACCACAATTAAGAAAATTATCAGTGATAATAGGCAGCCAGCTTGTCTTACTCCTGTATGCACTTTGAACGACTCGCTGAGTTTTCCTTTGTGGATCACTTGACACGTGGCGTTGTCATATGACTGTTGAATGAGGTTGACAAAGACTTGAGGTACGTCATAGTGTTGAAGTAGTTTCCAAATTACTCCTCGATCTACGCCAAAACGCCACAGTATAGATACCTTTAATTAACACAGTACCCAAATTGTACTATTGTGTTGTGAAAATAACTAAAGTCCTATGATATTATATATCTGTCCATTCTAAAGCTTACATAATCAGTAATAAGAACAATTAGTACGATACACTTACGTTTACAAATGATGAGAAAGATTTGTAACTTAGGTGGGTTATATTGGTGTAGTTGTGTTTATCTGAGCTGTACAATGCGTTTGTTTAGCTTTCATTGCCATTCTAGACTTCAGCATAAAATCAGCTTATTTTTAAAATCTTCATGATTAACTGTTCTCTCTTTATCACCTTTAGTGTAATTGGTTGTTAATTTGTGTTAATTAGTGTCGACCATTTTATTGACCTGTAATTTGATTTATCTTTAATGTCAAACAAACTCGAAGACTTGCAGGCAGAGGAAAACCAAAAAACTGGCTGAAGAAGCAGGCAGCCGGCGAAGACAGGATTCCAAGTGAACATAGAGGAGACGGGGGTGATGAAGATAACCAATCAACCACCAACAACAGCAACAGCAGCAGCAACAACAACCGGCACCAATCAATATCAACGGGAGAGATTTCACTGAGGTTATGTGATGATATTAGATGGTAGGAGGCAATCGGCAGGAAGCCTTGGACCTAGGTTTCGTGCTAGTTGGCACTCATCAACAAGGTGTATCTGCAAACTTGAAGGAACTGATGTCCCTTCTGAGATTCGAACCCGCGTCACCCAGTGCTGCAGTCAGAGACGTTACCACTGAGCTATTCAGGCTCGCGATTGACCCTATTACAACCTGACTGATAGAATTCAGTCTGCACCAAAGAGAGGACTAGACGCATCACACTAGTTACTAGTGTCAAATCAAAATATTCACCGAGGTTACTTCCTGCATCCACTTATCCGGCTGGGAACGAAGCACAGTTTCAACCACAGGCAGTAGGACAGCACGGATGAAGATGTCAAAGCCAGACAGCCAGTCAGTCAGCGAGAATCGGAAAGGCAAGATACTACTTCATCAATCAGAATCCAGTTTAGAAATCTCCTGTTCAACACAGATGTGAATTCAGTCACTGCTTCTATACGGGTCAGAAACTTACAGTGCACTTATGTCACGAAAAAGATTTCAAAGAGCTTGTTGTAGACTTTCATCAACAGTGTCCACCTTCGCTGGCTGGCCAGAAAGAATTAGCAACAAGAAACTCTTGCTGGGAAAAAACCAACAGGTGAGAGCCGATTGCTCGACAAATATGTAGGAGACATGGAGATGTATCGGGCATACGCCACTGAGGAGACGCTCGAATGATATCGCGCGCAATGCATGCCATAGCACTAGTGGAATCCAAACGCGAAGGGGCTAGTGCGTTGCCGGAGCGCGGGTGGAGGGTGACATCGAGGAGATCGTGTTTTGGCGAGGGGCGAGAAGATGAGAGATTATATGCAATCGTGGAGCTAACCAGCTGAAGAGGAAGGCAAAAAGTAGAAGAAAGTGGGGATTGTTTCGTTGAAGCCGTATGTTCCACTCGGAACCTAGGGGGATAACAATAATAACTGAGTCATGAATACTTTTTATCATGTGACTTATTTTCCTATGGAACCAGTTATATTAGCTGTTGCTCTGGGATGTTGATTTTGTAGTCTCGGAAACACCTACCAGTGCGTTTAAATAAAGATAAAGTAAAAACCACTAACAGATCTATATTAGATCACCTGGTCCGAACAGGCCATAAAACTAACATAGAAGAATATTTTCATTACCCGTATAGATCTTTTTGTGAACAAAATTATGTAGTTGTGTAGCAGACTGGTTACTTACATCCTGCTAAGTGAATCAAGACTCGATCTTCTTCCAACTTACTAGTTCGAGGGAAAAATGTATTGGCAAAGTTTTTCACAAAATCTGATTTTCTTTTCGTTTTCACATTTTTCTTAATGATTCTAATTTCATTAGAATCCAACGAATATGTACCGAAAGCACACTTAATGAGAAAGAAAGAAAGTTGACACAAACTCTGGTTGATAATAATTATCCAGACAAATTCATTAGGAGATATAAAATAGTCAGAATACCAAGACCCACTCTTCTGCCCACCACTCTTCAACACGCGAAAAATGATGTCACATCCCACTGTATCTACCATATTGAATGTACGTGTGGACACACATACATAGGGAGGACTCATCGGTCTCTGCATATTTCCGAATGGTTTTAGGAGCAGGTAGAACCCCCAGAACCCAATAATGGTGAAAACAGGAGACCTAGTTCCTCTATTGCAAAATATAGTAAACAGACAGGATATGAAATTGATGTTCACACATCTTTTAAACCTATCTATAAAACGTGTTTGAGGCGTATTCTAAAGTTTGTGGAAGCTCTAGCTGGCAATTAGCAAGTTTAAATCACCTTTATGCATTCAAAGCAACAATTCGTCATCACACTAAACCTTCCTTGGCACACTTTGTTTTGATAGCAGCCAGGGTAGATGTACTATTTATTACCTCTGTTATTTGATTTAGTGATCTTCATTGTTATTTTGCTCTTTAATATGTCCTTTTAACTTGACCTGACTCTATTTCCTCACCTCTTAACTCTTTATTAATTTCGTATGCATAATTATAATTTCATTTTTATTCATTTCAGACTGAAATGTGTCCATTTATTGTTGACCCTTCGTTAAGAGCGCTAAACTGGTTGAAAGAGTATTTAAAGGATCAACGTTTAGAAGTTATCAGTCAACATGTAAGTTGCTTGAAAGTAAATTATAAAAGCCAATTAAATTTTATGCATTATTTCACTTCCCATAGAAGTTTGGCGTTGAAAATGTTGACCAGGAGGACAACATGAAGTTCTTTATTGACACCTGTCAAATGTAGGATGATGTTCAAGGATTGGTCTGAATAGACTTCCGGTTTTAAGGATAGCAAGTGAAAGACTGATTACTGATAAAATCTCAGTTTAAATACAAAAGGTTCGTCTGGCGTTTACCGTCTTGGATCATTTTTGCAGCAAGCGTAATATCTGCATATCGATAACAAAAAATCATGTGTACACTAAGCCAGAAACCACGAAAACTAGGTCCAGGGTTAGTGGAGAGTTGCCTTCAGCGATCTACTATCGTGCACTAATCTGTTAATAAATTGATTGAAGGTTATCATCTTAATCAAATACTTTTGTTGTCTACAAGTCACCTACAGTAAGATCAACTTGTATTTAGATGGTTGAGGCTAATCGGTAGGAAGCCCAGTCTGACCTAGGTTTTGTTCTAGTTGGCACTCACCAGTCAGCACGGCGTATCTGCAAACTTGAAGGAACTCATGTCCCTTCTGAGGAGATTCAAACCTGTTTCACCCAGTGCTGCAGTCAGAGGCGTTACCACTGAGTTATCCGGGCTCGCGATTGACCTCCTGTAGGACTGTATTATTATTATTTTTTAATTTTATTATAGCTTGATTCCACACAGTATTTTTGGCACAGCTATGGGATTTTCAGCATATGATATCGGTAGCCTGAATTTCGCAGGCCGACCATCAGGTGAGCGTCCGCCGGGAATCGAACCCCAGACCATGTGCATGGTCGGCAGGCATCCTAACTGCTGCACCACCGACGCAAATATGACTGGACACTAACTAGACACATAACACTAGTTAGTATCCAATCAAACATATTCAATTATTTCCTAGCCACAACAGCTCAGTGCTAACGTCTCTGACCACAGCACTGGGTGACACAGGTTCGATTCTCAAAAGGGACATAAGTTTCTTCAAGACTGCAGGTACGTTTTGCTGAGTGAGTGTACCGTGATGGCGAGCCACCTAGCATGAAGACCACATTGCAAACTTCACTGATAGGATCCAGTCTGCAGTAAACAAAGGACTAGACACACAACACTAATTAGTGTCCAATCAAAAGCAACCTTTATTTATTTATACCTATTATATTACCATCAAAATTTAATATTATTTACAGCGACTACTGATTAGCTGCTTTAGCTATTTGGATATTCGTTAGTTTACATCTCATTTTCAAACTAGTAAACTTCTCAAGACTAATCTTTACACAGGATTGGATTTAATAAGTCACAAAATATTGTCCACGAATATATTACAGCTTATCACAGCAGATAGTATCTATCATGTGAGTTGATAGTGCAGCGGTAGGGAAGAATGCTTGTCAACCACGCGAGACGTCCAGGTTCTATTTCTGGCCAACTCCCTTCTAAACTTTATCTAGCCCCGTAGTAATCCCGGAAAGGAGAGAAAGTGAAGGTTGAATATGAGACTAGCGATTTCACTTGGTAAAAACAACACCATGGTTACTGAATCTTCGAAACTTGAAGCTTGAAGTCCTATGTTCCACTAAGAACACAAAGAAATGGCCTTTCTATTCTCACGAACCAAAGAAAGATATGGTTCATTATTTATTGCTCGAAATTTAATAGCAGTTAAAATTTAACCTGGAACTCACACACACAAACTCTTAGGTTCAGAGCTCTTAAATTTCGTAAATCTTTATGTTTAGTGTTCACTCCATCTTATTAGCCTCCTTCCTTATAATCGTCTTTGTTTGCAGAATCCTAATTTTATTACTACACTTGAATTGGCTGTAAGATTTGGTAAATGTTTAATTATTCAAGAAGTTGATGAAATTGAACCGATACTTATGCCAATTTTATCGAAAAATTTAATTACACAAGGTAAGTGAATAAGAGATTTTTTCTTATTTGAATTTTTTTCTTTATCCTTATGATTTCCCAACCAGTAGGATAATAATAACCGAAGGAAATTGTGATATCGGAAATATTTTATTACTGTGATACTTTAACCTCACCTAATTTACTAGCTTGCTAGTTTTCTAACCGGTGCCAAGCCCGGGTAAAGAGAGAGAGGGTTAAATGTGGGGTTAGCGATCCTACCCCGCAAAACCAATCAAACAGCTACAGAAACTTCAATGCACAAAAATATATTAAAAATACAAAAATCAAACTTATTCTTCTTTGGAATCGGAAAGGCTAAATGACACAGCGGGCTGGCTGATGAAGGTTTTCGGGAAGCCAGTCAGCCGATATTTCTTTTCTCGATGAAAGCAAGACTAAGAATGGAGACATGACAATGCCAGGTGTCAGGTGATTCACAACGGAAAACTCAACGAGGCGTTTGAAGTGAAGTGAATACAGGAGTAAGACAAGGCTACATGACTATTATCACCGATGATATTCCTAGTTGCAGTAGACTGGAAAATACGAAAGACTGTAAGTTTGGAGTGAGAAGACAAGAACACACTGCACTGACCGTTAAGAAGTCTCTAGAAGATTCGGATTTCGCGTGTGGATGATGTATGTCTAATGTCACACAAACTCGAAGACTTTCAGGCGGTCGAAAATCAACAAACTGGCAGAAAAGGCTGTCCAGGCAGCGAAGATAGGACTCTGGGTGAACATAGAAAAGACGGAGATGTTGAAGATAACAAACCATCAACTACAGAAACAGCAATAACAACAACCAGCACCAATCATCATCAACGGGTGAGATTTCACAGAGGTTACTTCCTGCTTTCACTTATCCAACCAGGAAGGAAGCACGGTTTCAACCACAGGCAGTCAGACAGTACGGATGAAGATTTCAAGGCCAGCCAGCCAGCGAGAATCGGAAAGGCAAGATACGCCTTCAATTATCCTGAACCATTTCGTAAATCTTCTGCTGTCACTCACTCAGCCAGCCAGCATAAAGAACGAGATTCAGATTCTGCTCAACACGAATGTGAAGTCAGTCAGTCAGTGCTTCTATGCGGGTGAGAAACTTGAACTTTGCGTGTGTCACGAAAAGGATTTACAACAGCTTGTTGCAGACTTTTATCAACACTTACCACCTTCTCTGACTGGTTGTCTGACTCCATACTTAAGATCAAATGGCCGGTCGGCTGGCCATAAAGAAATAGCAACAAGAAACTCTTCAATGGGACAAACCAACAAGCGAGAACTGATTGCTCGGCAAATTTGTAGGAGAAAATGGAGATGGATCAGGCATACGCCAATGAGGAGGCAGTCGAATGAAATCGCGCACAATTCAGGCCATTGCTTAAGTGGAATTCGAATGGGAAGCGATGAGTGGGTCGTCGGTGCGAAAGTGGAAGGTGATACAGAGGATATCGTGTGTTGATAGAGGGGGAGAGGAGATGAGAGATTATGGACAGCGACGTTTCTCGTAAAAAATAAATAAATTATTGTAACAGTGGAAATAAACGAATAATAATTCCCCAGCCAGAGATAATAAAATACAGTGAGTAGGACTCAAAATATAAAAAATAACAAAATTCGGTATCTACGACTTAGAATGAAGAGGTGATGATGTAATACAGTGAGCAGAACTGAAAGGATACAAAATTAAGTCTAACATGATAGTCAGGCGCAAAATGGAGGAAACGTGATGCAATCAGAAGAAAACGAGTTATTAAGGAGGGAGCTACCAAGGTGACTTAAGTCCCATGACAGATTCTTTTTAGACACAGGTCAGGCTTCAGCCATTTTATTGTAATAACCTCAGCAAACTGAAGAAGACTTTGTCTTTTTTGTCTGTTAGTTATTTTGAATGCTCTCAATACATCCACTCGGTTTTCTGTATCTATCAGGTGCTTGGTAATTTACAAGTTGAAACTGTTCGATCCCTTTTAATCAAAGGCACTGACAGGGAGGTATTCTACAGCAAAACTAGTTTCACTGCTCCGAACATTCTACTCGTTGTACAGTCAAAACTTGACAAGTACCTCTGATATATTGCCTCCAGCTGTGCATATAAATTCACGTTTATCTGTGGGAGCAGTTACACTAGGAGAAAAGAAGGAAGAACATGTATCAGAATCTTTGAACTTGTGACACTCAAAGACTTTTATTGAATGCTACAGGTTGTAGGCAACTGAATAGAACCTACGGAACTAAAGTAGATCCAAATTTTTTCTGCATCAGTGTTTGTTCTTTCTCTGATCAGATTTATAAATGCGGATTCGTGTATGAAGTATCCAGTGCTACGTAGTTTTCCAATAATTTTCTCACTTGTATCGATGCATGATCACATCTACGCTGAAATACCAATTAGTTTTGTGAATAGCACTCTAAATTATGATCGAATTACCGATGACCCTTTTCGGTTCCTTTTTCTTTCTCTTTTTTTTGAATTAGGCTGTCGAAATTATGTAATGCTTGGAGAAAAGTTGGTCGATTATCATCAAGATTTTCGCTTGTATCTGTGTACACGTGAAACACCAAGAACTGTGGGGAGTGTTAAACCGATCAGTGCAGCATCATTAGTGACTGTGGTGAATTTTATTACAACACGTACTGGATTAATTGATCAGCTATTAGAAATAGCCTTACAAAATGAGCATCCAGAGTTAGAAAGTCGACGACAACAATTAGTCTGTGATGAAGAGAATATGAAAATTGAATTAGCTAAACTAGAAAATGATTTACTAGAGGTTAGTAGTCTTTATATGTTGTTGTTTTTTTCTGTGTATTTTGGACGTGCTTTGATGATGGCGTTGATTTTCCGAGGTACGATTGCTAACCCACAGCTAACTCAGTCCCTTGGTCCAAATGATGCACCAGCTGTCATGAATCGGCAGAAGTTAGAATTCATGGGCCATTGGATTGGGTCCCAGTGGCTTAATGGTCTACGAGCTCGCTAGCCTTGTAACCAGAAGGTTCCTGGGTTCGACTCCCGGCGGTTAGTTCGTACTGCTGAAGAGTCACATACTAGGACGGAGGAGACAGCTGTCCAGTACTCCCAGCTGATTTTCTAATGGTTCTCCAACTGATGTCAGCTCATGATGAAATCCTCCAACCAGTCAAATGTGTATTTTCAATAAATCATTTTCCATTAATACTGTACCTCCTTCTTGGAAGGACATTAAATTAATTCCTGTGCCTAAATTATCAAGTGGACCAACTGTTGTGTTCAGTCCTATTGCCATTACTTCACCTCTTTTAGATAATAGAAAGACTGCTTTTACTTAACCTTGAACCTTCATTGAAGGCTTTTACCGATCCCAATCAATTTGCTTACAAGCATATTAGGTGTACTTAAGATACCACTGTCGTCTTATATCATAATACTGTCTCTAGTTTAGACAGAGGTGCCAAATATGTTCAGTGTGCCTTCCCAGATTACACATCTACATTCAACTCTGTACCTAGGACTCTTTTGTTGAATAAGCTTGCTGCGTCACAAGCACAGTGCTTGATTACCAAGTGGTTGCATTCCTATTTTTCTGGTAGGAAGCAGTACACTGTTTACTATTGGGAAGTCATCTACTGTCTCCTTCACTTACTCTAGCTGGTGTTCCTAACTCAAGGTGTGGTTCTCTCTCCTTTACTGTATCCCTTCTTCTTCTTACATCACTTGCCCCATTCTGATGAAGCCAATTTTGTTAAGTATGCTGATGGTCTAACTGCTTCTTTACCAGTGGTTACTTCCTAGTCAGAATGTTTCAAAATGAATAACTTTTTATCAGAAATTAGTCAGTGGTCCTCATCAAATAGTTTTAAGCTTATCCCCCCCCCCCAAATATCAGGTGGTTAATTTCACTTTCCGATGAAAGCACAACTTACTTGGACTGGTTAGTTCACACGGTTCCACCGTCATAAGTGGCACTGAAGTTGAAACCAAATCGAATGTTAAATACCTTGGACTGTTAATTTTCTCTGATCGCCTTTCCTGGTCTTCCCACACCATATTAGTTTCCAGAAAGATATTTCGTTTGACGTTCTATGTAAGGAAGTTAAGACGATCTGGTACCATCCCACCTCCACTGTTACCGTTCGTTAATTCTTATATTCTGTCCATACTTCTCTACTGCTCCCACTTAACCTTTCCCGAGCTCCTTAGGAAAGACTTTGTTATACTGCGTAGGGAACCATTTGGGTAATAAAATGGTGTCTAAATTCATCAAAAATGAGACAAGATACATTTTTGTAACACAGTTGATCTATTTCATTACTTTGTGTCCCTAGTGGAATGTAGGGCTTAAAGCTTTAATCTCTCCGAAGTTCCACTACCGGCGGTGTTGTTTTTATAGGGTGAAGTAGCTTGCTTCATACATCCAACCATTCTTTTTCACCCAGCTTACTGTGGTCTAAGTGAGGGTTAGGGGTGATTTGATGGGAGAATCACATTCGTGGTTGGCGAGTATTTTCTACCATGAAACGACCAATGCACAAAGTTAAAGGAAATGACATTGTAAATTAAACATTACCGAACTGAAATTCGTTAACCAGTGTGTGTTCCGTTTAAGCATTCTAGTCTTTTGGCCTGAAGGTTCTAATTTCCACTCAATGTAGGATCATGAATGCTGTTCGCCCAAACTGGTAAAAAGTAATTAAATTAATAATTCCCATCGAGACATAAAAACAAAGAATTCAGTGAAGCAAATCCTCTTTTCGACGATTTCATTTTCATAGCTGTGCAAACGTATATATATTAAAACAATTAATCCCTTTGATAAATTTGAATAAGGCATTTAGAAGACAAATTTCGCGAGATGATATCGTCATTTCGTAGTTTCTTTACAACCGCTTTACAACTAACATGGTTAACAATAATAAAATAAAGATCATGACAATTACTCAGTTAAATAAAAAACAAAAGTACACACTAATGACCAATCATATTTAAATAGGTCATGTAGTCCATGGTAGGCGAAAGTTGAAGTCTATTGTTTTTGTACACACAGTTTAGGCTGCATGTGATTAATCCAAAGGGCTTCCATCACCTTCAGTAACCTTGAATTAGAGTTATGTGAGATAATTGTGAAACAGTCATTAATACTAATTTTGTGACCTGACATTAATAAGTGTTTTGCAATGGATGATGCTGGATTTCTATTCAAATTAATTGGATTTGGATTTTCTATATGATTTAGTAGCCATTTTGGAACATGTTCTTTCCGACGACATTGGAACATTCTGTTGGTTCTACCTATATAGGTGTCACCGCAGCTGCAGGTGAACTTGCAGATACAGTTTGAAGTGCAGTCCACAGAATTTCGTCCTTTAGTCGTAGGTACAGGGATCGAAAATGTTCGGTATGTGAGAAAAAGAGATGCGGCTTAGAATGTGCGTTTGATGGCTGACCGAATTCTTTGAGCTGTCAACTGCATAATCTGGTCACCCTTGAATGGTAGGTTAATAAAGATAGCTTTCTTTGGTACCGAAGCTGTCTTTTTGAGATGTGATCTATCCTTACTGTGACAAGTGATAAAGCTTTCCGGATAACCATTTGCTAATAAAACTGAATGAATATGTCGAAACTCATCCATCAATGTGTCACTCGTGCATATTTTTCGGGGCCTTGAGAACAAACATTTCACTAGAGAAAGAGTCCAACTCCACAATATCTTTTCTTGACGTCCAACTAACCAGAAGAGAACAGGATGGAACACTGAGAAGATCTATCCACAGAAAATCGACGTGGAACGGACAGCTTACTAACTTTCACAGTTGGGTACCACTATACACCAAACGAAACCTGATCCGTTCACTCAGCTACAGAGTTCGCAGAATCTGCACCCCGGACACCGTAGAAGACGAACTGGACAACCTCAAGAGAATCCTCGTCGAGAATTGCTATCCAGAAAGATTTATTGCAAAATCTATGAATCCTAGACCAGAAAAGCCGCCCATACTCAGCGCCAAGAAAAAACTACTCTACATGAACCTCCAATTCAATGGAGATCTATCTGCGGAAACACTAAAAAATCGACTGTCGCGCTCACTTAAGAAGACCTTCTTCGCAGCTGAACTACGACTAACCTTCTCCACAAAACCTATGATTCATGTGAACGTGAAGGATAAGCTACCGCTGCTGGCCTCATCAATGTGCATTTATCAATTCACCTGCTCGTGTGGAGCCAGGTATGTCGGCCGTACCCAGCGCTCGCTTTCCAAACGTATCACCGAGCACTTACCAGCATGGTTTTACAAAGGAGAAAATCGATGCCCCCGCAGTTCCATCTTAGAACATCTGATAGAATCCGGACACCAAGCTACACCGCAAACAAACTTCAACGTCGTCTACAGAGTAAGAGGTGGTCTCCCTAAAGGTGTACGAATCAAACTTCTTCAAACTGCAGAAGCAATGGCGATTCACTTGCTAAGTCCTGAACTCTGCATACAGAAGAAGTTCGTTCAATCGTTACACTTGCAATGGACGTAATCTTATTAGCCGACATGTAAATCCTACCTAATCTTTTTTTTTTTTTTCTGTCTCTTCATTAGTATTATTTTGTCTTCTCAATTGTAACATTTTACATTCTCAACTTTCTTGTTCTCTACCCCCACCCGATTCAATCTCTACACCCCACTACCACTGTTACTGACTTGAACAACGCTCAGTTTCTAGTCATTCATGTTACGTCATCCAACTTATTCACTCAATTTCACTTCTACTTAATCTCTACCTGTAATTACCTCTGTTGCTATCCTGACCTAAGTTGTAACATTTTAGCCAATTATATTACGTCATCTAGTTTTTTAACTCAGTCTTACTCTAGTTGCTGTCTGATTAACTTTGTCATTCTTGTATTAACTAATCAATTATCTAAACTTGACAAACCTCATGTACACACACACACACACAAATATTTATATATAAATGCGATTGTACAGCTATGTGAATGAATTCGCCGAAAAGAGTCTCTTCGCTGAATGTCTTCTCTTTTTCACTAGGGAACGTTTATACTGGATAGGAACAAAACTGGTAAAATGAAGATATTGTCCACTCCACGTTTGTTTACGAAAAATAGATCTCTGAATCGTACCATCATCTCTCCTGGTCATTGTAATATCGAGGAAACCGAGTTTGTTATTCAGTTCGAGTTTGGAAGTCACCCAGATATTTGGATGAATATGATTAAATAGAGTAATAAAGTTTTCAATAGATTTAATATTACTACCAATAATGAGTGTATCATCTACAAAACATTTATACAACATAAATTCTCCAAGCATACCTTGCATTTGTTTCTCCGATTTTGACATGAATATATTTGCTAACAGGGGCCCAAGAGGGCTCCCCATCGCAACACCGTCGATTTGTTTGTATGCCTTTTCTTGGAAGGTGAATCTAATATTTTCTGTACATATTAAGATGATGTCTCTGATGTAGGTGACAGGAATAGGTAAGTTTATCCCATTGCTTGTGATGTACTCGCAAATGAAATCAACAGTTTCATGAAGACGAACATTCGTGAATAAAGATTCTATGTCGATTGAGCACATAACCTTTTCCTCAATGTTCAAGGTGTTTGGCATATCGGTCAGATCAAATGAACTTTTAATAGAATGATTTGATAATGAGTCTCTTATAGGCGTAAGGACCTCTGTAATCCATTTTGCGATTTTATGGTATGGAGAATTCGACATGTCTATTTTATTTTTGTTAACCATGTTAGTTGTAAAGCGGTTGTAAAGAAACTAAGAAGTGATATCATCTCGCGAAATTTGTCTTCTAAATGCCTTATTCATATATATATGAATTACAATAGAAAATAACAATCCGTCTTTGTGTGCGTGTTAAGGTTTCACAGTGAGTGGAAATACTAAAGTGCGATAATAGTGGTGTATAGGATCATGAGTCACAACTGGTTAGATATATGAATGAATAACTAAATAAAGAGGTCAAACTAAAGCTCAATAAACAAGTGTGAAATAGATGATCGGAAAATAAAGTACATTCGGAATTGTGAATATGTGAATATAATATCATGGAAACATAGGATCAGTGAAATGTTGACAAAATAGTAGACTAGATAAAGTGTTTGAATATGATAACATAAAATGAAATAAAATAAAACAAAAATGGAACATGGAATAAAGAAGGATAACAAAGTTTTTTATGTGAATTACATAGTAGAATCAAGACCATGGTAACGAAAAAGATCGTACAAATTGCTTTTGTACAAAAAGTTCTGGCTTCACGTTATGTATTGCCAAAGCCTCTGCTATACAAGGCAAATGCACTCGTGCCCTTTCCGAAAAAATTTGTTGAACTTTGTAGACTATGTTATATGATGTGTCACACGCTGCTTGATCATTATCTACAATGTGTTGCAATATCGATGAATTAATAACTCCATGTTCTCCTTTGCTCAGCTAAACTTGAAGGTGCTCTTGAGCTCGGCGGGATATGTTTCTCAAAGAACGTCATAAGCACCTAGCTCCGTAAGAGCAGGTCAACATTTAAATATACGTGGAATTAGACAATCGGGGTAACATTTCCTTGACATTAAGGTGCACCAGTGGACGGCTAGAGTAGGTTATTCGTAAAGTGATAGCAAAGAACGTTTTTCTCAATGATCTCGTCAGATGATTTTTTAAGTAATTCACTTTCAGTGTCACCTCTAAATTTTAAGTTTAGGTGCAACACTTTTTTGGCTACTTTGTCCCTGTGTGTATTTCTTCCACGTAATGTGCTATTGCCCTCTGTGGAGCTTACTGAATACCCCCTCTCTATGAAGTTTTCTTTTAGTTGTTTGAGTTCATCATCAGCACTATCTTCACTACAAATTCTCCAGACCCGTGTTTAGAGAGAACGAATTGTCTACTATCTCATGATTTCCGATGGTTCTCTAACTGATATCAATTGTTGACGAAATCAAATCTCCACAAACCAAGCATTTGAGAAATTTTACATATCAAAACAGACATTTGTTCTGTTTCGCTCTTAGTTTGTGTCGAATAGACTATTGTCAATCTTGCAGCTAGTAAATACTGGAATAAAAACGTTTGCCTTACTTTAGTTTGAAATAGATCATTGCTAAATAATCGTAATCTCGTGTGAAATTGATCTTGGAATCATCAAGTATTGTGACAGTTAAGAGTGGAAGTAAGAGTCATAATCTTAACCCTATCATACATATAATGAATTAATTATACTGTTTATTAAAAGTGAAAGATGTAAAGGATAGTAAATACCGATGCCATTCAAATATTTTGTTGAGTATAACATATATTACTAACAAGTAGTTTGTAGGCTTGTCAATTCTAATTTGCAAGTATTGGCTTAAGGTATTTTATTGGTTCTGATTTTGACCACTCAGTGACATCAGTCAAAGAACAATTGAAAACCACAGATTATTGGACAGCTATTTTATCCTAACTCGGAACTTTTCAGTAGTGCACACTTGGGATAGATTCAGGTATCTTCAGGTTACAAGGCGAGCTCGGTGACTATTCATCTACTGTAACGAAATCCAATGGCCAGTCTGTCAATTCTAACTCCCATCTATTCGAGGTTTTTAGCGCCAACCAGGATCGTCGGTGTGTATATTTCCTCACACCCACTTTGAGAAGACCCCACTGGTCACTAGAATTCTAGACAACTTCTTCCTTTAGCCAATCACTAGTGAGCATCAGATCAATTCTCAAGTGTTAAGACAAGCAATAAAGGTTAAAAAAGCAGGATTTAATGAATTCATCAAATTTCGGTAGAACTCTTCACCGGAATACTCTACATGCAGATATATGTATACATACTATTGGAAATACATTGGCAGATATAAGATCGGTGGCACAGTGTTCATGACTCTCGCCGACCATGAACATGGTCCGGGGTTCGACCCCCTGCCGACGCACACCTGATATCTATGGTCGGCCTACAAAATCTGGGCTACCGATATCACATGTTGAAAATTCCATACTTGTACCGAAAAACACGGAGTGGAATCAAGCTGTAATCTAAAACAAAAGTAAATGAACTACATTGAATTAATCATGCAAAACGACGCGTGTGAATGTTTTTCAGGTCATGTTCAAAGAGATAAGAGGAAGGGAGTGTACCAGATTAAAATTAGGATAAAATGCATTACGCCGTGATTACATCACTTAGATTAACAACCAGTCATTAGAGAAAGAACTTAAATATATCAAGAATTCCGAAATGATTATTACTAATAGTAATAGTTACAATAATATTAATGCTGAAACGAGTTAAGATAATGCTCCTGATAAAAGACGGTTTTAAATGAATCAAGAATAATAATTAGAGGTAGAATAAAGTCTTAATAATATTGATAGTAATAATAATAACAGTTAATAACTAAAAAGTCTTACCATAGTAGATTCATAGTGATGACCATTTCCTTTTGAACACAGAGACCTGGTTTATAAACACTAATTGTACAAGCCTCCACCGTACTTGTAAGCATCTTCCTGTTTCTTTGTCTGCTGACAACAGTGAATGACTGTAAAGCGTCAGTATCATGTCTGCAGTTCATAAGATGTTTTGTTATTGAGATTTTTGGCACTTTGAATTCAGGTGTTTACAACCAGCTTGGCAAATTCTCCATCATGCGGTCGTAGACAGTCGCCTCTTCTGTACGATCTCTATATTTACTTTCACAAACACACTCAAATTGATGTATACGCAGTTTGAAGTGTCGTATTTGGGAAATTAGTGTTTCCAATTCTCAAGTGTTAGTTTGTAGATATTTGGCTAATTTTAAGTTTGTTCACGAATTGATATCAGTTAGAGAACCACTATACGGATCAGAAACTTGGCGGGTCACAAAGAATATTTCCAACAGCCTGTTGCAGACCTTTATCAACAACTGTCTTCGCTCTATACTGCTGAAGATCAGATGGCCGGAAACAATCACCAACAAGAAACTATGGGAACAAACAAAACAAGAACCAATCGCCCAAAAAATATGCAGGAGAAAGTGGAGATGGATTGGACACTCGCTGAGGGGGCCACTGGGTGACATCGCGCGTCAGGCCATTGCTCGAGTGGAACCCGAAAGGAAAGCGGCGAGTGGGACGTCGAAGGGTGACATGGAGGAGATCGTGTGAAGAGGAACTGAAACAGTATGGACTAACATGGATGCAAGTGAAAAGTACAGCAGAAGACAGAAGCAAGTGGAGACGTGTAGTTGAAGCCCTATGTTCTATTAGGAACTCAAGGGGACAATAATAATAATAATAATAATAATAATAATAATAATAATAATAATAATAATAGAGAACCACTATTCCTGAAAATCACTCCTCGTCTAATATACTAATGTTACCTGTTAACTACTGACTTTTCTTCTCATTTCACCTTGTTGTTTTCATTGCCTTTTTTATCTAATATGAAAAAACAACAACAACAATATCATAGGAGTTATCCAATGCACATGGTAATATCCTGGAGAATAAAGAACTTCTGATATCACTGAATAAAACTAAACAGTCAAGTTTAATTGTGACGAATTCATTGAAAGAATCGCTACGCTTACAAGATGAATTAGATAAGGTAAGTAGAATTTTTATTTTTTTATTTTTTGTTTCCCTTTGTTGATAGTGGATTTCACTAATATTACTAGTAATAACTTAAGTAGTATTGTTATGATTAGTAGTTATTAGAACACAAGAGATGCGCCATATGAAATTTCATAGTCTTTGCGAGAGCGAAGTAGGTGGCTGTCTTAAAGGGTTAACCTCCAAGCCTTTGACTTGAGGTCTGTTCAATAAGGTGGTGGAGCTGCGTTCTCATGGTTTCCAGTGTCCAAAACAGGTTCATAAGCCATTCGATCCCTTCGGATTCAAGTGTGGTGTGATACACACAATGCGGGCCTATGGAATTTTATTCTCACATGTTCCCACATTTCAATTCCGCATTAACAACAGGATACGATTTGTATATTTGAACATTCTATTTGATGTTAGAGTCGGAATGTTATTCCCACAGGTCAAAACTGCATTAGCAACAGAATACTATGTATATTTAAACATTCTATTTCTTGTCGTTTGATGTAAGCCGAAATCACACGCTCAGTGATTGTTTAACGAATATGAACTATTTAAACTGCGGTTGGATTAATGAAAAATTGTCTTGCCTTCCGTTGTTACACTAGAGCCTATGTACATCTCATAGGTTTGGAACCAAGGTTTTCCAACCTCCCCTTTAGGTGGAGCAAATGTCCACCATTCAGGATGTAAGCGCCACATGTTCTTATCCACTCTTTCATTTTTATGAAGAACACCTGTGACTTATGAAGACAGTGAATAGGACTCACCTAATAGGGGTCATGAACACGTGACCATATAAGAGCATCTTGAGCGGAAAACCGAAGTCTAGCCACTCTCGGTCGTACGTGGTCGTTTATGGTCCTATTTATTTTGATCACTAGTTGTAATTGGATAAAGAGTTTTTTAACCATATTCCCCTTCTCTCCCTCTCAAAAACTTCACTTTCCCTGGATTACACTAAGGCTGCTTAACTGAAGTCCTCAAGACACCAAGAACCTATGGCTTGAGACTGTTAATAACATGGCTCAAAATTGTTCTCGGCACAGCAGATGTGTCCACTCTTGCTGAACTTACAGACCCATTAAATTCTAATAAAGTCTAGTAAGTTGAACTGCTGCATTTTTATGTAAAATCTAGGCTGAAAATGTAATTCAATTCGTTGTAAAAAATTGGGTTGTATATACCTTTAGGTAAGTCATGCTGACGTTAGGCGTAGAGTGTCGGGCAAAGACGGAAAACAATCGACGAGACTATAAAGTTACATAGATTGAGATGGCTAGGTCACGTACTGCGCATGCCTAACCATAGCCTCCCCGACGGGCATTACTAGCTGATATAGGTGCAGGTTGGAAAAGAGTAAATGGTGGCCAAACAAAAACATGGCATCAATTCATGAAATCCTTGACAGTCTAACTGAGTCAGGTAGGGAGATGCAGACTTCCGGGTTGGGGCCCTCGGGACTCTAAGAATCAATGGTGGCTGGAGACAATAGGTTACGTGGCTCAAAATCGTCAATGGTGCAGATGTATTCAGTCTCTGTAATCTTCTATATTCATTTCTACCATTACTCATTCTGTTTCACTCTTATACTTGTCAAAACTCTATTGATTCTCTTCACTGATTTTCTTGTCTACCTTTGTGTGCTATTTGGAATGTGACAACTCAAACGGCTGCACTTCGGTGCCAACTTACCTGGCATCGAGTTCAGGGTGATCAAGAATGCTCTGACCCCGGGTGGAGGCTCGCCATTGCACCTCAGTGGGTTAAAACTCGTGACGGACCCTAATCGGGTGCGCTCGGGCGTGTAGCTTTTGTCAGTGGGGAGGCCTCACGGTACTCTCTTTTTTGCGTCGGTGGCACAGTGGTTAGGACTCTTGTCGACCATGCACATGGTCCGAGGTTCGATCCCCTGCCGACGCACACGATATCTATAGTCGGCCTGCAAAATTGGGCTACCGATATCCATGCTGAAAATTCCATACTGGTACCAAAAATACGGTGTGGAATCAAGCTGTAATCAAAAAAAGTTCTATGTCGAATCCAGACAGAGACAGACGGACCTTTAGCTACCTATCTAAGGCTATTGATCTTATCTGTTGAACGATGGTTGTTATCCGCCCCCAAAGTAAACTGTAAATTATGTAAGTTTTTAAGTATATGTGACTTATATAACTTTCTCACAACTACACAAGGGTTAATGAAAATTCTGTTTCGCTTATATATAACTCGATAGACTACCAGTTCGATAGTTAATCAGTTTGAATTTATAAATTGTACAAATATTGATTGCACCTACATATCGTTTATTAGATAAACAACCAATCAGATTTCTGCACATTAATAGACGCTCACTACTGGTTTCATAATTAGTTTCCATGATAAATTTTTGCATTATTATTATATCTGTAATTAAATTACCTCTTACTGGCTTAATAAGATTTGAACTTAGGCATTGTATCATTATATATTATTATTCGCTTGGGTTCCGAGTGGAACATACGGATTCAACAACACATCTTCACTTTATTATATTTTCTAGCATCCTTTTCACCTGGCTAGGCACACGATTGCCCATAATCTCTCATCTCTTCCTCACAAAATCTCCTCCATATCACCCTCCACCCTCGCACCGATAACCTCCTCGTCGTTTCGCATTCGGATTTCATTCGAGCGATGGCCTTTATTGTACTCAATGTCGTTCGACGGTTTCTTCAATGTATGCCCAATCCATTTCCGTTTTCTCCTACACATTTGTTGAGCAATCGACTCTCGCCTGTTGGTTTGTTCCATTGAAGAGTTTCTTGTTGCTAATTCTTTGTGGCTGACAGACCGGCTGGCCATTTGATCTCCAGTATGGAGCCAGCCAGAGAAGATGGCAGATGTTAAATCTCTCCCGTTGATGGTGATTTATGCTGGTTGTTGCTGTTGCTGTTAGTTGGTTGTCTTCATCACCTCCGTCTTCTCTGTGTTCACCTAGATTCCAGTCTTCTGTTTCTGCTTCTGCAGTCAGTTTGTTGCTTTTTACCCGTTTTTCTTTCAGTCTGTGTGACATAAAATATAAATCATCCACAGGCGGAATCCAGATCTTCTAGAGTCTTCTTATCGGCTAGTGCAGCGTATTCCTGTCTTCTGACTCCCAACGCACAGTCTGGCGCATAATCCAGTCCACTACAACTAATAATATCATTGGTGATAGTAGTGGGCAGCCTTGTCCTACTCCTGTGTTCACTTCAAACGCCTCGTTGAGTTTTCCGTTGGGGATCACCCGACACATGGCACTGTCATACGGCCGTTGGATGAGGTTGATAAAGATATGGAGCAATGTCCTCCATAGTGTTGAAGTAGTTTCCCAATTACTTCTCGGTCAACGCCGTCGGTCGAAGGCCTTTTCGAAGTCGATGAAGATAAGGTACAGCTGTGACTGCCATTCTGTGCTTTGTTCTATGATGACGAGGCGTAGAGTTGCGATTTGATCAGCACACGATTTGCCTTTTCTGAATCTAGCTTGTTCCTGTGGGGTGGAGTTGTGTATCCAGTGCATCCTTTATTCCCTCCAAGATGATGCGACTTAGTATTTTACTTGGCATTGTGATATAGTATAATTCCATGATAGAGTAAATTTATTTGATAAAATCATACACACTGACACAATATCACTTATTTAATAATAACGTTTTGAGCACAATACATTGCCTCTCGTAGTCATTATATCAAGGCACTCACACATCACTTTCCAGCTTCGTTTATAATATTTCATTATTTCTTATCCGTTGATTTCGCATTGGTAGCAATATTCCCCATATATCTCTGGTATCGGTGTTTAGTTTTTCCTATTACACGTGGTAGCTGTGTAGATTCAGTGGCGAAGGCTTCAGTGATCGACCTCTCCCCTTCCACCTGCCTATATTACTTTTAAGAACTGTACCTCTGTCCCACTCTATTGTCTGCGTGTGTAGTTGCTGAATTTTTCTGAAAGTTATTCATCTCCCTGAAGTTGGCACTTAGATCTACAAAGTCATGTAGGGACAAGTTCTGTAGGCTAAAGGACCCTATTTACCCAATTAGACAAAATAATGTAATCTATAAAATACCTTGTAATAAGTGCGAGGTCGACTACATAGGTCAGACTAAAGGATCGAGAGTAGTCAGGTTACTGGAATATAAGAATTTAGCTAAAAAGTAGAATGGTTGACCCCATGAAGATGAGCAGTTTAGAGAAAAACCCAACAATGTAATGTAATGCATGCACCATCACATAATTACACAATAGGATGGGACACCGTTACATGCAGTTCTAGAAAGTAATACAGCTAAAGGTTGATCACTGTAGCTTTCTTCATTGAATCTACACACCTAACACGTGCAATAGGAAAGACTAAACACAGATACCAGAGATATTTGGTGAATATTGCTACCAATGCAAAATCAAAGAATAAGAAATAATGGAATATTATTAATGAAGTTGGAAAGTGATGTGTGAGTGCCGCGATATGATTGTACTATGAGCAGCAATGAATTGTGCGTGAAACATCATCAGTAAATAACTGACAATGTATCAAATAAATTTACTCTGTAGTTGAACTGCCACTGGCTCCTTTGAAAATACACATTCCAATATTATTGTAGAAGTTCTTATTCTTAGGAGACACTGAAAAGGATGTACATCAAAATTAGAATAAAATAATATTTAATATTAAAAGTTTAGGTGAATCTTAAAACATTCTTAATCGAAATGACCTGTGTAATGACTTTCTCTTCAAAGGACCTCATCGGAATATGGTATTTTATTTTGTGTTGCGAGTCCTACTGGAGTAATAGTTGTTGAAGTTCATTTTAGCCAATAACCTCTAGAGTTGGCTTGAAATTCTTTTGTTTCACACCTAATTAGGGTTGAACAGTTTACTAATTCACTAATTTATTTGCCCATCCTAATCCCGAAAAATGAAGTAAGATTGGTCATTGGGTTAGCGACCCTACTCCAGGCGCTCCAGAAACTTCAATGTACAGAAGAAAACAAAACAGAAAATTAACCTTTTCTTCAAGTGTTGGTTTTGTAGGGATTTTTTGTTTGATTGATTGGTTGGAGGATTTCTTCATGGTTGACATCAGTTAGAGAACCATTAGGAAACCTGCACGGATTAATGAACGACTGTATCGTCCCAGTTTTGGACTCTTCATCAGTATGCATCCGCCGCAGGGGTTCGAACCCACGACCTTCGAGTTACAAGTACATCAATGGACCATTAATGGTCTACTAGGTCGCATTGTAACCAGAAGTTCGTGGGTCCGAACCCCTGTGGTGGATGAGTACTGATGAAGAATCTCAAACTAGGATGGAGGAAACAGATGTCCAGTACTCCCTGAAGGTTTTCCAATGGTCCTCTAACTGATGCCAGTGCATGATGAAATCCTCCAACCAATCAAACTATTTCCTCTCTGGAATCGGAGAGATACAATGACGCAAGCTTGTAAGAACCTTCCAGAAACCAACCAACCAACCTACAAAAGCAAATATAAAAATGGGGATATGGAACGTCCGCATTATTCATGAATCTGGGAAGAATGATTTTACCTAGAAAAAATGACAAGGTATGGTATAAAAGTGTTAAGAATCTGTAAGAGCGAACAGAATCGAAGTGAACTCTACAAATTGTTAACTGAAGAGTTAATCATCTACTCCAGTTACCCACCCAGATGAAATTGTAAACTGTCATTTAGACAAAGATATTAATCTTTGAGTTGTATAAGTTCACATAACACAGGGTTTAAGCAATATGTGACTGACTGACTGACTAATGCGGAATTTTGCATAAAACTGAAACAGTTCAAGTTTTCATATTTCATAAAAGCCCACACACATTTCCACAAAATACAAAGGAACCATAGTCGATGGAAGTTTACAACAGAAATAAGATTTACATCAAAAATAATAAGAATTTAATGAATCTAGAAGATTATAAAGAGTAAATGCATTTGCACCGCTGAAAACAACAGTATACAACATTTGATTAACAGTCGAAAGAAATCCAGAAGATAAAGATGGGTGATGATTAGAAAAATTTTGTGTGCTAATGTAAGCATGTGGGGGGTCGCTAATCCCCGGTTGTCCACACTGTGGAAATTGATTTCTTTTTGAAGTACTTGAAAGATAAAAGTCCCTAGAGTCATGCAATGTCTTAGCCCAGCAAACAACCGCTTGAGGTCAGTTACACAGCCTTTTTGAAACAGTTTTTAGAATTATCTCAGCACGAATACCTTACCACCGACTACAGACCGCCTCAGAGTGAGTCAGAATGTACAACTTTTGGGGGTGAGTTTTTCCATCAATGTTGCCTAGAGTGGGAAAATAGAGTACCTGGCTTGTTATTGCTAGAGAGAGATACCTTACTGCTATTACATTCCCATTCGCCAACATTACAACTGCGCCTCACTATGATTGTAACTGTTTTTAGTCCAATCTCTTTCCACAGAACTTTTCTGGAATAGTAGGACATACAGGAACATTCGTTCCAGTAAGTATGGCCTGTTGGGTCATCGTGATATCCAAGTTTGACCATAACGTCAAACGATACCGACTATAAGTTGAGTCAATCATAAAAAATTTACATACTATTTCAATTCTTTATTATTATTATTATTTCAGGAAAGGAATGTATTCCATCCACTGGCTGAAGCTGGTAGTCGACTTTACTTTGCCTTGAAAGATCTCGTGAAAATTAATCATATGTATCACTTCAGTTTGAATAGTTTCCTGCATCTTTTTCAACGTGCTTTATCTATGCCATATGTAAGTATTTTTAACTCCTTTCTTTTGTTTTTGTACACATATATATCTTGAATTCAAAGTTAGATGGAAGAAACACACTGTCACATAGACTGACATCTGTTAGATAGTAACCAATGACGACTGTGCGAGATTCTGTTTCATAAGAAGACGAGCCTAGAGACGTAATGCTGTTCAGTCACAGTCTCCCAACCTAAGGCTATCTCAGTATGATTACGATTGTCAGGAGAAGATCTAACTGGGTAGTTAGTGTGAAGATGTGTGAACGGTAATGTATAATTCATTTACATGACAGCTGAGCATTACCTACACTGATTTTAGTAAAAGACTAACTACATAGTTCCTCAGTCAGTAAACAGCTAGAATAGTTGATTGGAACCTACTGCTTTGAATCCTGCTGTGACAGTGATTTTTATTTCAAATTAATCACCACCAGTAACAAAAACAGAAATCGATAGTACCAGAAGGAATCCCCTTAAATAAGCTTTGAAAACGGACTTTGAGACCTCAGTGGATATACCCACGCCAATATTGCACAAGGTGTAGAAGGAGAGATCTGTATCTGTCGATTGGGAGAAAGGTTACCTTGTCAAACTGCCAAAAGTGGGAGAGACTTAAATCTATGCAAGAAACTGGCTCGAAATCATTCTCCTCTCCATCTCAGTAAAATATTAGGCTGCAGCATCCTGGAAACACTAGAAGATGCATTGGATAGAGGACTTTACTCAGAATAGGATAGATTTAGGGAAAACAAATCATGCACGGATCAGATTGACACACTATGCATCATTATCGACTTTGAAAAGACCTTTGACAGGATAAACGTTGAAGTAATATAGAAACTGCTTCATCCCTAAAATCTTTATAAGCCTGATTTAACAGCTATACGATGATGTCAAATGCTAAGTATCTTACAAAGGAAATCTCTGTAAAGCCTTTGAAGTGAAGACATGGCTAAGACAAGGATAGTTATTATCACTGATGATCTTCCTAAATGTAATGAACTTGCTGGACTGACAAAATACCCCAGGATTTCGTAGATGGCTTGTGTTTACGATGAGGTGACATTCAAGTGATATTACATGTTAGGCAGGTTCTCTAATAGAACATAAGTGGAAAGTCACTAGTTTGGTGTCCGGGAGTGACATGAAGAAGATCACGTGAAGGGGAAATGAAGGCCCGAAGGGGGCTGTGGAACCAGATAAAAATGACGGCAAAATGATACACTAAACAACAGCAGTGAATAAAGTTTTAATTTAAAAAATAAAGACAGCCCAGTTGCCTTTGGGCGCATTTATTATTATTATTATTATTATTATTATTGTTCCCTTGGGGCGCATTTATGCCCTCATTTAATATGTAGAAATTGTGTCAATCTCATATTTCTGATAGTAGACGAAATTTTATTACAAATATAGAAGGGTCAGTTGGATATTTTTTTTAACTATTCCATCTGTGGCACCAGTAAGATATTCTACTATCAATGAAAATACGATTGCACTGCTTCACAGTCCACTTCTACTACACTGTGCGCAAGGAACAAGATGAAAATTTTCAGCACTAACGTCACGCAAGTCAGTGCTAGTTCATGGTTTAGGGATTTGGCACGTCGGTCACAAAAGTATTTCCAATAGACTAGACATATTCATCAACAGCTGCCTTCTATGTCTTGGTAGTGAAGATCAGATGGTCGGTAATTCGGAAAGGATAAACAGCAAGAACCTCTGGCAATGAACAAGCCAACATCCAACTGTATAACAAATATGCAGAAAGAAATGGAGGTGGATTGGACATACGTTAAGGCGACCCTTAGGTGACAGTAAGCTCACATCCTCAAGTGGAACCTGAATAGGAAACGTCTAGTTGGGTGTAAGTCTGCTGCTGACACGGGGGGTATGGTGTTCGAAAGAAATGAGAGCTTATGGAATATGAGGGACCCAGCTAAAAAAGGCAGCAACGAACAGTGTGAAACAAAGATAGACTGCTAAAACCCTACGTTCCATTTGGATTCCAAAGGAATAATATTAATACAATAATAATAAACCGCATTTTATTGCATTTTAAGGCTTCCTTGCCTTGTATCTTCATCTATATTGGAAATAATATCTTTTAAGATAGTGTATTGTATATAGAAAGCTGCTTATATTACGCTTTAATGTATTTTCTTCTTTTCCCCACCTCCCATAGGATAAAGGACTTGATACCTCGGAACGTATTAAATCATTACAAAAACTTGTGGAATTATTAGTATATGAAAGTGTCTCACGAGCATTGTTCAAACCTGATCGTTTAATGTTTGCACTACACATGGTTCGTACAATGCGTCCACAGTCATTCACAGAAGAGGTAATATTTGATATTCCACTTTACTTTGATGTTTATTTGTATGATTAAAGATGTTTCAGTCTAATTGTAGGCTTATTGTAGTATGCGGGCAGGGATTTAAAGAATTGTAATGCAAGCAAACGAAAGCATGAATGGGTATGGTATGAGTTTATAACCTTAAGTTATAGGAATATTAGCGTAGGTTAGAGTCGGGTGGAAGTTAGTGTTTACCTTAAGACACCTTTCTGGATGAAATCTACTCTTTAACTTCCTGAACACCATTCGTTATCAATAATAAGCTCCATTCATCCGTTGTATAACTGTATTATTACCCTCACAAACTCTGATTGCCTGTTTCAAGGTTATTCGTAAGTTTATTTGCTTGAAACACCATTTATTAACTTCTCGCCCACGGTTTGGGTCCGATTCCCTACTGGCAAACTCCTAAACCACGCCTGATTTGTTAGTTGGTAGTAGGCTCTGGAAAGACGGGAGGCTGGGCGTCACAGCTACTGAAACTTTAGGGCTCAAGCTTGAAGCCCATTACTCCACTCGGGACAAAAAGGAATGGGAAAAAATTGGATTTCACGATTCTCACAGTTGACACCAATGACACAAACAATATGGATGGGTTACCTTAAAACTCTATCTGTTTCTAGAACAAAAATATTACCTTGGTACGATAGTAATGCATACAACACAGCTGTGTTTCAAACAGTTGCAGCAACATGCCTAACAGCAATGTTACTATTATTTACAAATAGTAGAAAAGTGTTGAGATTTGATTGGTAGATTGTCATGTTATCTTTTTTAATGAACACATATACACCTTGATCAAGTACTTTAGGTGTTAGGTCATGATGGACCCCACTGGTCATGACTTCCCACTAGAACTTCAAGTAACTTCATCCTGTAGTCAGTCATTAGTGAGCATTAGATTAGTTTTCAAGTGTCATGGGACATGGTTGTGCACTGATGAAGAAGAGTCTTAAACGAGGGCGAAACGGTTTTCAGTGGTTCTCCAGCTGATGTATCAATCCGTGATCAAACTTAAAACCAATCAAGACCCTGAGAACCAACACTTGAAAATATATCTATTGATCACCAATAAGTGACTATATAATGAAGTTGCCTGGAGTTCTAATGGGAATTCGTGATCAGCGGGGTTCATCATGTCAGTTATGAGGACGAATACTCGCCGATGACATTAGCTGGTGGTAGCACTGAAAATGCAAACTGACGGAGGTAAGAATTCATGGATCACTAGATTCAATCCCAATGGCTAAATTGTTAATGAGCACGCCTTGTAACCTGAAGGTTCTGGTGTCGACCCATGGATGGGTTATGGGTGGGTATTGCTAATGATAACCAAGTCTCTATCCGTGAAGAGATCAACACAAGTTAAACCTATAAAAGACAGCTTAGGGAACCCAATTACCAGGAAAGAAAGACAGATTAAACAATGGGCGGGCCACTTCAAAGGACTCTTGAACTGACCACCACCTACAACCCGTCCGGAAATACCAACAACAGCACGTACACAACTGCAAGTTGACACCAATCCTCCAACGAAAACTGAAGTCATGAATGCAATCAAGCTTCTGAAAGCTGGAAAAGCAGCTGGACCAGATGGAATACCCCCTGAAGCACTGAAAGCGGACCCAGAAACGACAGCAGATATGCTGACTCCATTATTGCAAAAGATCTGGAAAGAGGGAAAGGTGCCTACTGACTGGAGGAAAGGTTACCTAGTGAAACTACCAAAGAAGAGCGACTTAGGACTCTGCAAGAACTGGTGAGGAATCATGCTCCTATCGACACCAAGTAAAATCCTGAGTCGCATCATCCTGGAGAGAATCAAGGACGCGCTGGATACAGAACTCCGACCAGAACAAGCTGGATTCAGGAAAGGCAAATCATGTTCTGACCAAATTGCAACTCTACGCATCATCATCGAACAAAGCATGGAATGGCAATCAAACCTCTACCTCAACTTCCTTTATCGACTTTGAGAAGGCCTTCGACAGCGTTGAGCGCAAAGTAATTTGGAAACTACTCGAGTACTACGGCGTACCCCAAATATTCATCAACCTTATTCAACAGCTGTACGACAACGGCACATGTCAAGTGATCCACAACGGAAAACTCAGCGAAGCGTTTGGAGTAAACACAGGAGTCAGACAAGGGTGCTTATTATCACCAATGATATTCCTAATTGTGGTGGACTGGATTATGCGTCAGACAGTGGGAAACGAGAAGACAGGGATATCCTGGACTGACGTGAAGAACCTAGAAGACCTGGATTTTGCGGATGATTTATGTTTGATGTCACACAAAATCGAAGACTTACAAGCAAAAACCGACAAACTGGTCGAAGAAGCAGCAAAGACAGGACTCCAGGTGAACATAGACACGACGGAGGTCATGAAAATAACCAACCCACAACAACAACAGCAGCAGCAGCAACATCCAGCGCCAATCACCATCAACGGGAGGGATTTGAAAGAGGTTACTTCATTCACTTATCTAGGGAGCATTGTCTCAAGTAAAGGAGAAACGGATGGACGAGGATGTCAAATCGAGAATCGGGAAGGCGAGAAACACATTCATCAACCTGAAACCAATCTGGAAATCTTCATCACTCAACATCAACAACAAAATTCGGATTTTCCATACAAACGTCAAGTCAGTCAGTTTTGCTATACGGATCAGAAACTTGGCGGGTCACAAAGAATATTTCCAACAGCCTGTTGCAGACCTTTATCAACAAGTGTATTCGCTCTATATTGAAGATCAGATGGCGGGAAAGAATCACCAACAAGAAACTATGGGAACAAACAAAACAAGAACCAATCGCCTAACAAATATGCATGAGAAAGTGGAGATGGATTGGACACTCGCTGAGGAGGCCGTTGGGTGACATCGCACGTCAGGCTATCGCTCGAGTGGAACCCGAAAGAGAAGCGGCGAGTGTGACGTCCAAGTGTGACATGGAGGAGATCGTGTGAAGAAGAGTTGAAACAGTATGGACTAAAATGGATGCAGATGAAAAGTACAGCAGAGGACGGAAGCAAGTGGAGATGTGCAGTTGAAGCCCTATGTTCCACTAGGAACCCAAGGGAAGAATAATAATAATATATTGCTGATGAGTCGCAAACTAGGACGAAACAAACTTTCAGTACTCCTTGGTTTCTGACGGTTCTCTAATTGGTGTCAGTTTTTCATCTAACTGAGGTGACCTTTTGTTTGATATGAATATGTTTAAGAAAAATATACTAGTTCAACCTCAGATGAATTAAACATCCATATTATTATTTCCTTGGGTTCCAAGTGGAACATACGGCTTCAACGTCACATCTCCACTTTCTTCTATACTTTGCTGTCCTCTTCATCTGAGTACACTATCACCTATAATCTCTCATCTCCTCTTCAACACACGATCTCCTCCATGTCACCTTCACACTGACAGCCCATCGGTCGCTTCTAATTTGAATCCCACTCGACCACTTACCTGGATTACGCGAGATGTCATTCGACGGCCTCCTCAGTGGCCTATGCCCGATCTATCTCCATTTTCTCCTACATATATGTTGAACGATCGGCTCTTCGTTAGTTTGTTGTGAGCCATAGTTTCTTCTTGCTAATTCCTTCCTACCCAGTCAACCGACCAGCCACTTGATCTTCAGTATGGAGCCAGCCAGACGACGAAGATGGTAACTGTTGATAAAGTCTGCAGTGACTTGTTGGAAATGCTTTTGTTACACACGTGCAGTGCAAGTTTCTGACCCGTGTAGAAGTGGTGACTGACTGACCGACTGAATTCACATTTGTGTTGAACAGAATCCGAATCTTGTTCTTTATCCTGGCTGGTTGGCTGGCTGGCTGAGTGAGTGACAGTAGAAGATTTTCAACCTGGTTCCAGGTTGATGAAGGTGTATCTTGCCTTTCCGATTCTAGCTGGCTGGCTGGCTATCTTTGATATCTTCATCCGTGCTGTCAGATTGCTAGTAAAGTTTGTGAGAGTTTGTAAATCCATGTTTAATATTATTACATGGTAAAGCTATTAGCAGCACTATTAAGCAGCTAAGCGTCAGTAAAAACAACACTGTCTTCTTGTTTTTCATTCTTTGGGGAATAGAAAATCTATTCAAGAATTAGTTTGTGGGGATTTGATTTGTTGCAAGTTCGACGACGGACTGATATCACTTAGAGAACCACTGAAAACCAACACAGAGTACTGGAAAGCTGTTTCATCCTAGTTTGGGACTCTTCAACAGTACGCACCTAGCGGGGGTTGAACCCAGAACCTTCCATCTGCATAAAAATCTTTTATAATAATAAAACTCATTCATCATTATTCGTTTATATTTTCTAAACATTTTCCCTTTTCTCCTCTTGTATCTCCTCACCAAAGGAATGGCTTTTCTTTATTGGTCTAAGTGTATCAGAATCCCACTCTGCTGGTGAGCATGTACCTACTTGGTTAGATAAAGAACGTGCTCAAAATATTATGAACCTCAAGGTATGTTGTTTTAGACTGTGCTGTTTTTCATATTTTATTTTTCATATTTTTACAAAAATTGTACTTCACTAATATGCCTAAACACAAGACCACACAACTAGCTGATATCTCACTTTGGCATACTCTAATGTAGTGACCAAGATGGCAATGGTAGAGAACAGATATCATAGCCACATGACCTTGAACCTGCCAATCAGATGCTTCTAGGTAAAAAGTGGCAATAATAGTATAAAAAGTATGTTTACTGGATATAGGTATAACAAAAATGGACTATATTGGGTATATATCTCTAATATGCTGCTAGAAGAGGTCTCATATTTCCGTAGGAGTGTCTATAGTAAGTAAACCATGATCTGTGTGAGTACTAGTCACTAAATCTGACGAATGATTGACTTTATGACGATTATAATCTAATGATGATAGTTACATTGCTCAGCATTTCAAATGAATCTTGCCCACAATCAATCATAGTTGCAAGTTTAATCCTTACCTTAATCCTACCCTAATCTTAACCCTGAATCAGACAGAAACTTGTAAAGAAGATTATGAAAAGCATTCATTTGTAATGCTGAGTGATCTGATTGGTTGATTCAAGGTCATTTGACTGTGTTATCTATTCCTTACTCTTGCCAGGAAAAGAAATGTTGAGAAACTGCAGAAGTACACAACCACCATCGAATGTAACCATCATTTTTGCCTAGTAGAAGTAAACAAACTGGCATAGACTCGAACCAGTTGCCTTCGAATTACTGGTTAAATGCCACTCAGTAAGTAATCACAACTGAGTTCTGGTTCACTGACTAAATATTTTGCCAAGTGTCGGTTTGCAGGGATTTTGATTGGTTACAGGAATGATGGACACTAGAGACAGACCCTATACAGGAAGTAACCTGGGGTTATAGTGAGTAGTCGTAACCAGCGGGGTCTACCAAGTCAACCAAGAGGATAGTTACTGGCCCGTGACATTGGCTGGGGGTCACGCTAAATATATATCATGAATTAACAGAAGTTGGAATTCAGGACCGCTTGGTCGGGTCCCAGTGACTTAATAGTCTACGAGCTAACCTCGTCTTCAGTTCGAACCCCAGTGTACGTCTAAGGAGTCCTGAGCCAGGACGAAACAACTGTCCAGTACTTTCAAGTTTTTTAATGGCTCTCTAACCGATGTCAGCTCGTGAACATTCATGTATATATTTCACCCCTGTTTTCACCTTCAAGAATGTCTGTCACTCATCTCAGTTTTTCTGGTATTTGACAGAGAACACTAATGAAACACCTTCATAGCTCACAGCAAACAAACTGCCTAAGTGTAGATGAAAACCACTTTTTGAGAAAGTAACAGACTGACTGACTGAGTTTCAACTCTGAACTTTCCACAGAAGTTCAGCAGTTCAAGTCGCCACACCTATCATGCAGCACACAAAGGTTTAGGAAGGAGAGAAAAACTAAATTCGGAAGAACTGTTATAAGCTTTTGCGTATCTTCCACCTTCAATGGTCATGTCTTATAGCAATTAAGAAAGACACAACTAATTGCTGCACATTATTCGGATGCCACATCTTGACCAGAGATGACGCAAGTAGCTAAAAACTACAGGAGCCTTTTGTATCCTTGCTGAGATGTGGTCAGCGATCAGTTAGTTAATTAGGCTTGATGTAACTTCCCAACACTCTCTACCACTTTACATCCTACCGTTAAACTAGGAGTCCGTTCATATCATTCATGCAGCACCATCTTACATTTTTGACATGAGCGAAACGCTTGCCAAACATTCAAAGATTTCTACTCAAGATGTTCAGAAGACTCTGCATTTTGTCAGTGTTTTCACCTGGGAGGGCTATATCATCCGTATACTCTAAGTTGACAAGATTATCCCTTGTTAACAAGTGAATCCCTAAATCGCACTGACCACAGCTGAAGTTAATAAACATCAAGACCTGTGCATAATTTCCAGACTCTATTTCATTTGTAAGTAAGCAGAACTTGAGAACTCGATGGCATTATATAACTAAGCATTTGTAAATATAAGCGTTAGACAGCATCAACAAACAATGCTTCAATTTTTTAATTTATCGATTAAAACACAAACTTGTCACATTATGGGCACCAGGAAGTGCTCCACACAAAATCGCATAGTTTGTGCGAGATCTGGGATATTTCCCGGAAGCCCAGACTAAAGCAGGTGGTTACCTTGAGCATTTTACGTCGTATTTTCAACAAGGCCTCCAGAGAGGGCGGTACTATAATTCCCACAAACCCGTTTTCTTCAGAGTCAGTATCCCTGCTGAGTAGACAACACCTCAGCGACGTTGCAGCATGAAAATGAGCACCCCATTAACGCTCCCACAGCGGTAGGTGTTTTCCCACCCCCCACTGTCCAGTCTCAACCAAACCGTGGCTGCTTCTCAGATGGTACATACTGGCCCACCTCAGCGGGTCATGACAACTCACACGGCCTGGTCACATAACTGCACTTCCACCTTACAGGTAGCATACAACCACCGTCCTCGGATTAGGGACATTTCCTTAAATCGACATAAGGCCGGTGAGAGCATCTAAAATGCCGACAATTCTCTCGCCTTTGGCTCCCCTCCTCTGACCGACACAACAGTGAATGAAGTATTTACTTTCACTGTTAATGGCCGCACTTACCTCATCTCGACCCATGAATCCATTCCACATTCCGAACCACCAGATGTCCGAAATCGCATAGTTTATGCGAGATCTGGGATATTTTCCGGAAGCCCAGACTGAAGCAGGTGGTTGGTTACCTTAAGGATTGTTCGGGAAATCCATCCTGAAGGATCGAATTACAATACCGTTACTTATTTGAAGATTTCACCTAACTTTGTAATTGTTATCCGCTTTTCTCCTAGACGGTGTATCATTATTTTGACATCTGCATATCATATGTTGATTTGATCCTTATTACTTGTCTTTGTTCCTGATTAATCACGGGTTGATCTCTGACGAAATCTCAGCACGGATACAGAGGGCTAGTTTCGGATATGCCACTTTACGCCGTCTCTGGCGTAGACGTGATATCCGACTGGCTATTGACCAAAGGGCGGGTGTACTGCTCAGCAGTCCGCTCCATCCTCCTTTATGGCTGTGAGACCTGTCCATTGAGAGCGGAGGACATGAAAAGATTAGCTGTCTTTGATCATAAGAGCCTGTGTTCTATCTCCCGTGTGAAGTGGTATAATAAGGTGATCAATATTGAGGTTAGGCGTCGAGTGCTTGGTAAAAAAGGGGGGATATCAATCGACGACGCTGTGAAATTACATCGACTGAGATGGTTAGGACATGTGCTACGTATGCCTAGCCAACACCTTCCTCGACGGGCAATGTTAGCTGATATACGGTCAGGCTGGAAAAGAGCTAGCGGCGGTCAAACGAAAATATGGCACCAGTCAATGAAATCTACAACAGTTAATCTAAGTCACGTAGGAAGGTGTAGACTCCATGGTTGGGGTCCTCGGGACGGTAAGAACCAATGGTTGGAAACAATTGGTAACATGGCTCAAAATCGTTCTCAATGGCGCAGATGCATCTGTAACAACAGAAGACAAGGGCCAGGCAACAGATTATTTATTAAGGAAAATCAACACATATTTATAGATTTTAATGTACATTATTGTAGATTATTGTTAGTAGAAAATACAGTCTTTTGATTGGTTGTTTCTCACAGAAAGTTAACCTTGCATCTCTTTGTGGCTGTGTCAAATCATCCATGTGCTAACTGTATCCGCCTACGCAAAGCCTTTGTTCTCATTTTCTCACCACCAATATTGGGGACATAAACATTGACGTCAATTACTGTCTACCAACATTGGCTAGCAGCTAGCTCTCACCACACATCCACTCCTTGTGACTTATGATTCCCAGTTAAACTATTTTGTTCTTCGTTATTACTATTCCTCTGTTTACTGTCTCTAATACACATTTCTCCTACTTTCTTCTCTTACTTTTTGTTCTACATGGAGTGTGGCGGCTTGAACTGCCGCACATATGTGCAAAGTTCTATGTTGAAAACAGACAGACAGACCTGATTAATCTCTAATTTTAATGCATCTCTTTGTGGTTGTATGTACATTAACAATGCGTTGTTTTGAAATCTCATTTTGTTTGAGTGAATCAAGGTCCTTCTGACCTTCGACTTGGTAGAGTTGGTGTGTGATTCTCATGGCAAGAGTTTTTGATCTCACCTTGTTAGGGATATTCTTCTTGATTCTAAGGTACTTCTTACAGTTGAACTTTGGCTAACTAATTTCGTCTTACAGTACTTGTTTCCTAATTAGAAAATTATCTTGCCTGTATAGCTGCCTAACGGCACTGTTAAGGTAATTTAGAGTTTTCGATGCTATTTAGGTTGTTGACTAGAAATACATATTTCTGAAACTAATAATCATCGTTATACTGTCTCTGGAGCGTTTTGTGACTGTGTTTGTGTGTCTCTCAAGAAAGTCTTGTCAGCTATACAGTAGAGTGCACAAATCGGTTTCCTGCGTTCCGACCACAACGAGTTGGTTTTGGTCGTAACACCTACCGCGATACACAAGGCCGTGGAACAGCTTCAGGAAGTACATTCCACAAGGGGATTACGGTAACCGAAACAGGTTCATACGCTATTGGACTCTTTCGAATTCTAAAGCCCATGTACACTATAGACCCACTTGCCCTTTGACTTGTGTGATGAACACGCCTACTGTATGAAAGCAGTGGAGAGGACAGTGAACGCGAGACCGCATGATAGCATTTCGAGGGGAAGATCCATGTCTGTCCACCCTCAGCCGTACTAGGTAGTTCATGTGGGCTCAGTGTGTTATAGCATGTTAGACTGAGTTTTGTGTTGCTCAACAAGAAATTCGTTGTTCATCGAAAACGTTTTATTCAAATATTCCTTGTGTATATATGTTATAGGCTGCACTTCCAGATGTTTATAAAAATCTCTGCTTTGAAGATTCTAAATTTTGGACAGATTGGTTACATGCAAATGATGCTGAAATTAGATCAACTCCAAATAACAGTTTACAGTTTAAATCATTGAAACCTTTTCATCTTAGTGTTCTTGCAATTCAAGCTCTTCGACCTGATCGTCTATATACTGCTTTATCACAATTCGCTAATCGATCTTTAGGTAAGTTGAAATTCAGTATGATAATCAGTAGTATATTTTATTAGCTGCATATAATTTTGAAAAGGTTTACAGCAGTTTACGTTCACGTTCGTTTTTACACATCGTATTCTCACTGTTTCGATCTCCTCCTCCTCTCTCCCTCTCTCTTCGTTATCATCTCATTGGTTAAAGCTTTAAAAATGACCTTCCCAGTGTAAGCGTCAAGTAATCATGTCATGAACATTTGAGAAACTGTACAAAAATTTGCGGTTCTCTTATAATCTCTAAGTTATTGCATGAATGTTTAATGTCTAATATTACAAAAACTCGAATATCTACAGGAAAAAACCAATCAGTCAGCAAAAGATACAAAGAAGACAGAGGTGATGAAAATACCTAATCAATAAAAACAAGCACATACCACCATGTGCGTCAGTGGTTCACTGATAGGACATTGGTCAACCAAGTTAAGTGATCCTGGGTTCAATCCCTGACCGACGCTCTCCTTTACCTCGCCTAGCTAACAGTAGACCGGTAAAGAGGGGAGGTTGGCATGAGAATAACAACTCATCCAGTAAAAAATACCACTGCTAGTGAAAATTCGAAGCTCTAGGTTGAAGTCCTATGTTCCACTGGGAACTCGAATGAATAAAATAATAAACATACTACCATGAATGGGAGAAATCTAAAGGAAAACAAAACACGTAGATCAGCGAAGAGCCTCTTTTCGGCTAATTCATTCTCTTAGCTGTACAATCGCAAATATATATGTGTTATTTTGTATGTATGTGTACATTAAGTTTTTCAAACAAAATACAATTGGTTATAGTTATTTTAACTATACAGGTGAAGATTGGTAATTGGACCCCAGTCTACTGCTGAAGACATTTAACTGTTGTCTTCCAGCAATAAAATTCACTCTTGAAATGGAAAACGAGTCAGAAATTCCCTTCCTGGATGTGGAACTAATAAGGTGAACTGATGGGAGCCTAAGAAGATCGATCCATTGAAAACCTACTTGGAATGGTCAGCTAACAAGCTTCTATAGCTGGGTACCCATTCAACAAAAAAGGAATTTAATTAAATCACTTGCCACCCGCATCCAACGCATCTCTAAACACAATGTTCTAGAAACAGAATTAGGTCTTTTCAAAGAAATCTTCATCCAAAATGGATACCCACCAGGATTCACTGCTAAAAAAATATCAAGCCAAGAATTTGGAGAAGTGAAACTTCTCTGGCGCTGAAAAAGAAACTCTAAATGAACTTGGATTTCAATGGAGATTTAGCAAGCGATATTATCAAGAGAAGGATCACATCATCTCTGAGAAGAACATTCTTTGCACCAACGCTAAGAACACTATGTTCTCCAGTCGCCCACTGATCTTCAGAAGCCTCAAGGACAAGATCCCGCATCTGACCACTTCTATGTGCATATATCAGTTCACCTGCTGCTGTGGAGCTAGCCCGGTACATTGGTCGTTCGACGCGTACCCTGTCCAAGAGGATTCAAGAACACTATCCAGCATGGTTGCGAAAAGGTAATAATGGTGATATAAGGAGTGTGATAATTGAACATCTGGTTAACACTGATCATTCCATCTCAACAAACGCCTCCTACATCAAAGTAATCTACAGAGTCACAAATAACCTACCAAAGGCAATACGTTTTCGTCTTCTTTGTATCGCTGAAGCTCTGGCCATTCACATAGAAAAACTGGAGCTCTGCATACAAAAGAGAATTATTCAACCACTTTTACTGTCATGGTAACAGCTTTGTTCATTTTTGTGACTTAATTTTGTTTGTTTGCCTGTTTCTTTAATTGCTCATAATTCTTGTATTCATTTAGAACTCTTACGTAATTTCGTATAATATACTTTGTTCCTACTGCATCCTGAGTAAAACTCACTCGTCAAACTATTCATATCACTACATAACTTCTTTTAACAACTGTTTGTTACTACCCTAATTTCATTAACAGTTAATTTTCTTGACTGATTTTGTATCCCGTAACTCCAACAACCAATCTTCACCTGTTTAGTTAAAATAACTATAACCAATTGTATTTTTGTTTGACAAATTTAGTGTACACATACATACAAAATAACACATACATATTTGCGATTGTACGTACAGCTAAGAAAATGAATTAGCCGAAAAGAGACTCTTCGCTGACCTACGTGTTTTGTTTTCATTAATGCGTGGATGGGGATTATACATGAAAATCTAAAGGAGTTCACTCGCTTCACTTATCTAGATATCATCTTTTCAACTACAGACGGTACATATCAGAATTTCAAAGCCAGACAGGATTGGAAAAGCAAGACAGACCTTCATTGAACTGGGATTCGTCTGGAAATCTACTAATGTTAAGTCAGTTAATCCTTATATACGACGTCACTAGCCAGAGCCTATCCTGCAGGTAACTTGGATCCCATCTATCGGACAACGTGCTCTTTTGTGCAACCAAAAGTCGAAAGATATCCTTCTCATCTTAACTCTAACTGTGTATACAAATTTACATGTACCTGTGGTAGCAGTTATATAGGGAGGACAGAAAAAGGGACACACATATATTTGATTTTCTGAACATGCACTAAAAAGCCTACATCTCAATAGGACGAATGGTTACAGTAGTGCAATTACCAGGCATCTCCTTGACTCAGGTTATGAGGTGGACATATCGAAATGCTTTGAAATTATCAATAGAAAAAATAGTCCAATTCTCCTCAGGTTTGACGAAGCAATCTCCATCAAGCGCCTGAAACCCGATTTATGTGTGTGTTCAGAAAGAGGCGGTTATCAGTCTTTCCTTGCAAGCCCTGATAACTTGATGTCTTTACTCCCTCTTTCATTTGATTACGTATTCTTTAGTTTTAACTTCTGCCCTCCCCGTTTGTCTCTTGTTTCTATGATTTGAGTTGAACTCAGTGCATTGTCACCCAATTTATCAGCTACTTATCATCTTACTCACCGCTTGACTTTATTACGTAACTCCTTTACCATTGTATGCATACATTTACCTTGTTTAAACTTCAACTACCTGTGTAAAAACTAAATAAGCGTAATTTTCTGAGCCCTGTTCATTAACTCCAGAAGCTCCTGTCAACTGACACCATGTAAAATTTTCAAGTTTATTAAAACTTTTCTGTACATGAACTTAATGATAACAACTTATTATTTAGGCTGTAAACAGCTGATGATAAGCCAACGAAATAACTGTGATGGTACCACCTTATCCTGATTTAAGAAGTTAGCGCGTACGTCATAAAATCACTTCCAACAAGCTTCAGGCTTTCACCAACAGCTTGTTTTTCTCGATAGTGAAGATCAGGTGGATGGTTGAAAACGATAAACAGCAATGAACTATGGAAATGGACTAAACAACAACCTGATGCCCAACAAATATGTTGAAAGAAATGAAGGTGAATTGAGTGGCATCAGACACCACACAGGACCTCGAGTAGAAACTAAATGGGAGGGTGACACTGAAGAGATCGTGTGAGGAGGAAGCGAGAGCTTGTGTGTAATCGTGGAGCCGGCCAAAAGAGACTTCAAAGACGAAGTGAAACGGAGATATGCTATTGGAGTTCTCTCTATGTTTCACTCGAGACTCAAGGGAATTATAATAATAATATCTTTGCAAGAAAATGAAGTATTTTCTTCCACTTTCGTCAGCGTTCGAGAAAAATTTATTCAGAGTTGAATGTGGACAGAGTCAAAAAACAAAATTATTGAGGGAAAATTAAATATTCACTGAGACATAATTAAAAATCTTGCATCGATTTCTTTGTTCGAAACTAACATCATCTACCCGGTATTAGGCATGCTTTGTTAGTTGTAGTTTTGTTTACTAGAATCTTCTCGACCTTCTCTCGTTTTTTCATCGGAGACATTTCTTCAATAGTTGGTTTGTAAGGATTAGATCTGTTTCGACGAGTTGATCATGCATTGATATCAGTTAGAGAACCATTGAAAACCAGCACGGAGTACTGGAGTCCTAGTGAGAAGTCGTGACCAGAGAGGTCCATCCAGTCAAGTGTAAGGATGGAGTTCCCACCGATGACATGGGTTGGTGGTCGTGCTAAATCACGAATTGGTAGAAGTTAGAATTCATGTACCGGCCATTGAGGAGTCGGGTCCCAGTGGCTGAATGGTATACAACCTTGCCTTGTAGCCGGGAGGTCCTGGGTTCAAACCCTGGTGGTGGGTGCGTACTGCCGATGATTCCCAAAACTAGGAGATGCAAAAATCATCACAAATTCTCTGTAGACGTTATATCATATACTACTTATATATCTAAAAGTAGTACATTGTAAGGACACTGAAAAGCATTCGAACTTTAGGTGAAACGTGGATTTTCACTGAACTTCGTAGTTCTAAGCTAAAAGACTATCCATTAATGTATAGATATAGCCTCTCAAAAAAGATTTTAACGCTGAATACTGAATTTCTCCGGAAGACATCTTCAAGATATCTGAACAGAATCTTTCTTACAACTAATCTGTTCGACTTTTAAGTGTAGGATTTTAGTGATCGAGTGTTGTTTCTCAGTGATTTAATTGATTTCAAGTTTGAGCACAAATTGACTTCAGTCAGAGAGCTACTGAAAACCTAGGATTACTAAACATCTGTTTCATCGTCGCTCGAGACTCTCCATCAGTAATTACTCATGACCCTGCCAGGAGTCGAACTCAGGACCTTCAAGTTAGTAGTTAAGCCCATTGGTTAATCGACCACTAAGACGGAACCCAACAATCAATCAATTCTAACTCATGCCAGTTTGCAGTATGTAGCGCAGCCACTAACCACTATCACTGACAAGTATTTGTCTTCACACCCAACTTGGTAGACCCTGATGATCACGGCCTCTCACTGGAACTTCTAGCAATTTCATCCTACAGTCAGTTGCTAGTGAGCGCTAGATTAACTTAGATGTCTTGATTTGCATGGATTTCATAGATTTCAAGTTTGATGAGGATTGCCAAACAAGAACTGAACAGCTTATCAGTGCTTCCTAGTTTTCAATGGTTCTCTGACTGAACTTGATTCATGATCAGACTTGTGATATATTTCGATCTTAGTTTTCACCGAAAAGCCCCATTGGTCACTCAGATGAAGGATAAGCCTAAGTGCTTTGTCATGATGTGTATGTGTATGGCTATTGACTCAGTCCAACAGAAATGAATACACCGATTGCAAAATCCTTCCATAGCCTAATAAACACTGAATGATTCTCATAAAGCTGTTTTTCTCCATTCCTATGCGCTTCAAGTTTGAGGTTTGAAGTTTAAATAATTGTGATGTTAGTGTTTTAGCCTCACACCCAACCCAGTCGGTGAATTTTTTTGGGACCTGGGATATGTGGGTAAAAACGTGGGCAGTATTCCGTTCAAATTTGGGCAAAGTGGGAAAAGGTGGGCTGTTTTCGGTTGTAACATGGGTGAAGTGGGAATAAGTGGGTTATTTTAGAAAATGACATGGGTAAAGTGGGAACATGAGGGCAAAGTGTTCGTTGAAAAGGTGAGTAAACTGGGAAAAAGTGGGACAATGAAATTTTTCTGGACATGGGCAGACGAGGAAAAAGTGGCCAATATGGGTAAAGTGGGCAAATTACGTAGCATTCAAAACTACCCATTTAGCCCACGTTTTACCCACATTGCCCAGGTGCATTCTCTGACTGGGGAGCTTTCTTCGTTGCCAGCCGAGGGGGTTTAGGGATGTGTTGGCCGGGAATCGAACTCGGACCATTTACGTTGTTGGCGAATATTCCACCACTGAACCACCGACATATCCATTGACTGGGTAATCATACGCGGGTCATCTGGAAGGCCGACTCGTCTCTCCCAGTGGACTACCAAATAAAACTTTCATTGTTGAAATCATTAAGTCCATTGGGCTCAATAGTGCTATCTTTTATAAATCAGTTTAATAAGAATATCATGGTTAAAGATGGTCTCTAACGATGATTGTTAGACTTTCACTGTGTAGAATTTCTTGAGCATACTACTTTGTTTACTTACTAACATTACTTCTCCATTTTGCCACTCTCTCTCTCTTTCCCTCCCCCTCACCACGATAGATTTACCCCAATTAAGTCCAACAACTTTAAATTTACACAGATTATTTGAAACTGAAACAAGATCAACAGAACCAATCTTAATATTAATCAGTCAAGGAGCAGATCCATCTCAAGAACTGGCAGAAGCAGCCACATTACACTTTTCACGTAAATTAGGCAATAAACATTCATCGTCTGTGCCAACACTGTCAACATCAAATTATCATCAAATTGCTATGGGACAAGGTCAAACTGAATTAGCTCTCAGTGAATTACGTAAAGCAGTCAAATCTGGTGATTGGTTATGCTTAAAAAATCTTCATCTTGTCATCCATTGGTTACCGGTATTAGAAAAAGAAATCAATAATTTATTATTTAATGCTAATAGAAAGCGCATGAAGTCGGATGAGAAAACAGAAAATCGTATTGATGATACTGAACAATATGTTCATGAAGATTTTAGATTATGGTTAACCGCTGAACCACGTACAAGCTTTCCGTCGACATTGTTAGAAGGTTGTCTTAAAATTGCTTATGAAGTAAGAAAAAAATGTTCGTTTTATTGTCTATTTGTAAATTATGTTTATTGTAATATGGTTTTTAGAAGAATCTGTACTGTGACTGACTGTCTAACATGGGTGTGTACCCCTGAAGAGTCCTAAACAAAGACGAAACAGCTGTCCAGTAACCCCCTTGTGGTTTTCAGTGGTTCTCTGGCCAAACCCTTGAGAACCAAAGGGGAGTGTACAGTTGATTCATCTTTGTTTAGGAGTATATCAAGGATTCAGCTGAGGATCCTCCAGTTACAAGAAGATCCAGTTGATTATTCAACCGCCGAGTTAGAATCCAGTGACTTGTGCATTCTAACCTCTATCAGTTAGCATTTTATAGCGTTATCACCACGAATTATATTGTTCAGTACAGTTGTCATTATAAAGAATCCCCTAATGGGTTTTTCTGGAAAGTAAATAGTTCTGTTTACTGAAAATCTCATCAATAAGTCGACAGTAAATCTGTGAAGGATGCATCTGTAAAACAAAAAATTTAACAGATCATGTTTAATCTTTTGCAGGCACCACCAGGATTAAAGCATAATTTACGCAGAACTTATGAAAGTTGGTCTGGAAATTATATATCTCAAGGGAATTCAAAAACTCGTGCAAGTCTTCTTGCTTGTTTGGCTTGGTTTCATGCAGTTGTACAAGAAAGACGAACGTATATTCCTCAGGTGGGTGTTTCTTCTTCTTCTTTTTCTTTTTGGTCTTTCTTTTTATTGACGAGTTAATGTTAAAGATGACTGCCACCCTTGTTGCATAATCATGATGGCTTTTTGTGTTTTCTTCTTCTCACGGTTCTTTGGGTTCTTTAAAAAAGGAGTGAATTTGATACGTTACTTGGCACTGGTAATACATTGACAAAAATGTTTGCAGAGACTACCAATATTAACTGATTAAAAATGCCCATTAAAATCTTTTTTTCCAAAGAATGGTTATTGAACAAGGAATAACCTTTTCGATAACCTGCTCTTCATCAGGTTCTACAGGTATATATCCATCCATAATAGTGAATGAATTAGTGTTATTAACAACATTCATGTTGTTTAAATAACATCGAATCAATAATAATAACATCATTGGATTACTTTTGGATATTATCAGCATACCAATACACTGAATATCAGAGAGGGAAATTAGGAAAGATAATAATACAAATTCATGAATTTATAGTCTCTACTGTACGCCAGACAAGGCAGTAGTAGTGGCTGGACTTGCTCATAGAACTCATAGATTCATTAAAATACTCATGTTCTTTCATTTTACTATTCTTTCTCCAGCACATTTCTGTGCATGATACTTCTTCCTCTCCTTTCTCTAACTTTGGGTGCTACGTGGAGTGTGACAACTTGAACTACAGTACTGCTGTACGAATTCTGTGTCAAAACTCAGTCAGTCGGGTATTCTTGCTAAAAGGGTATTTTGTTTGGACATCCTGACACTTCTTAAAATATGTTTTCCAAAGAAGATATTGTTTTTTACGTAAATCAGCCTGTTTTACTCTGATTGATAGCTCCAGGATCATTGGATCGGAGATTCGGTTGGGTCACTTTTAGTTAACTTCCTTGGAATTAATATGAACTTTACTTCACAGTATATAACGTGTATTTCCAAACTACTTATCCGTAACAACCCATCAGTATATTAGTATTATTCCCTTGGGTTCCAAGTGGAACCGAGTGCTTCAACAACACATCTCCACATTCTTCTATCTCCTGCCTTCTTCTTCAGGGTTACCCCATGGTTGTCCATAATCTCTCATCTCCTCCTCCACAACACATGATCTCCTCAATGTCACCCTCACATCAGCGACACACTCGTCGCTTCCCACTCGGATTCCACTCAATTGATAACTTGCATTGTGCGCAATGTCATTCGATGGCCTCCTCAATGTATACACGATCCATCTATATTTTCTCCTACAGATTTGTTGAGCGATCGGCTCTCGCCTGTTGGTTTGTCCCCAGTAAGAGTTACTTGTTGCTAATCGTTTCTGACCAGCCGACCGGCCAGACAGCCATTTGATCTTCAGCATGGAGCCAGCCAACCAGCCAACGAAGGTGGCAGCTGTTGATTAAAGTCTGCAGGTTTCTGACCCTCATAGAAGCAGTGACTCACTGACTGACTGACTTCACATTTGTGTTAAATAGAATCCGTATCTCGTTCTTTATGCTGGATGGCTGAGTGAGTGACAGCAGAATATTTCCCAACTGGTTTCAGGTTGATGAAAGCGTGTCTTGCCTTTCCAATTCTCGCTGGCTGACTGGCTGACTGGCTTTCCCATCTTCATCCTTGTTGTCCGACTGCCTGTGGTTGAAACCTTTCTTCCTTCCTAGTTGGATAAGTGAAGGCAGGAAGTAACCTCTATTTAAACTCACCCATTGATGTTGATTGGTGCTGATTGTTGTTGTTGGTTGGTTGGTTATTTTCATCACCTCCGTCTTATCTATGTTCACCTGGGATCCTGTCTTCGCTGCCAGCAAGTCTTGGAGTTTGTGTGACATTAGGCATACATCATCCACACGCGAAGTCCAGATCTTCTAGAATCTTCTTAACGGTCAGTGTAGAGTATTCCTGTCTTCTCCCTCCCAGCGAATAGTCTGATTCATAATCCAGTGCACCACAATTAGGAATGTCATCATGTTTTGGGGTAGAACGCAAACATCTATGTTCGACAACAGATAACCTTTTTATATCTTCCACTTTCAGTGGCCGTCTCATAACCACAATAGAGGATAGAGTTTTGTTTCGATATTTAGATAACACACTGTACGTATATTAGATGGTTGAAGGCAATCGGCAGGAAGTCCTCCACCCAGATTTTGTGCTAATTGACACCCACCAGACAGCAAGGCGTGTATCTGCAACCTTGAAGGAACTCATGTCCCCTTTTAGATTCGTACCCTGGTGAGCCAGTGATGCGGTCAGTGACGTTACCACTGAGTTATTCCGGCTCTGTAGGGCTCTGCTGGATACTTTGGACACTAGTTAGTAACTAGTGTTATGTGTCTAGCCCTTTGTTTGGTGCAGACTGAATTCTATCAGTCAAGTGTACAATGTGGCCACCATGCAACTAGGTGGCTCGCCATCACGGTGAACTGTGAATCGTTGATATTAGATGGTTGGAGGCAATTGATGCCATATTGCAAACTTGACTGATAGAATTGAGTCTTCACCAAACAAAGGACTAGACATATTACACTGGTTACTAACTAGTGTCCAATCAAAGTACACTGTGCGTCGGTGGCACAGTGGTTAGGACTCTCGCCGACCATGCACACGGTCCGGGGTTCGATCCCCTGCCGGCGCACACCCGATATCTATGGTCGGCCTGAATTTGGGCTACCGATATCCATGCTGAAAATTCCACACTTGTAATGAAAATACGGTATGGAATCAAGCTGTAAATCAAAATAAAAAAATAAAAAAAATAAATTGCGAAGCTAAAATGTCAAGAAGGATAATGAAAGCTTTACAATTAAAACATCATAAGAAAAAGACGAAAACAGCGAAGAAAATTTTCTTTTCGGCGAATCATTTTCATAAGCTGGACAATCGTAATTATATTTAAGTAAGAAATCATAAAACCAATCAGATACTGGTGAAATTTGTCCTCCAAAATGTATTACGTAATGTAAGGTGTAGTGCAGAAGGGGTAACTAACTGGAAGTTGGAAAAGGGAACAGAAGTTGGGATGATGTAATAAGTGTGAGAAAGTGGTGAATCAATATAATTGTGTCGAATGGACAGAAACTAGTGGAAAGACAATAAGGTGTTTATATATAAAATCTGTATGAAAACGCAGTGTTACTGATAAACAGTGGTACAATAATAATAAAATAAGGATGATGAGAATAATAGTAACAATAATAGTTAAACTTAAACAATAAAAGGAAGCAAAATTATAGTGAGCACGTTACTCTGTCGACGGTAGGGTGAGGGAATGTATGTGGTGCTTTTGAATGCAGCGGTCCGGTTTCAGATCCCCAATAGCCAATGATTCAACCATGCACAGACGCCATATTCGAAGTTCTTTCTTACGATATTGAGAGACTCTGTGTAGCACTGTGAAGCATTCATTATCAAGTTCATATGAGGTAGAAAAATGCATTATTTCAAACATAAATTCATTGATAGTTAATTGTTGGATGTTGACTAGCAGTACAATCCAGGATGCGCATTTAGTCCTACTTGGAACTCGTCAACTGGATGTATCTGCATTCTGCAGTGAGTGATTTTCCGACCGAAGCTCGAACCCAGTGCCCATAGTTTCGAACGTCAGAGCGTTATCCTCTAGACCGCTTTGGCCACAAGAGCCATCTCCTTTACAACGGGTCATATTAATTATTTAATTCAATTTTAGATCACACACTGTGGAATGCAAGTACATCCAGATGACGAGTCCCAATCAGAGGACGAAATGCTCATCCTTGATTCCACTGCTAGTGATCATCCACCAAGTAACCTCTAATAACATGCCCAAGAAGTCAACCTGTCAGCCTGACACTGAGCGCTTCGGTCCAATCAATCGACGGGAAAATCTAATATTGAATGAAATAAATTCATTAAATTTTTCAAATCTATGTGCCTTTACTTCTTCCCTTCTTCTTCTTTCAGGGATGGACAAAGTTTTATGAATTTACATTTAGTGATTTACGTGCCGGTGCAGAGATTATCGATCGTTTATTGTTAAGTGATCATGGCAAGAGTATGAGAACAGTTAAAGATATTTGGTCATGGATATATGGTTTATTTGGTGAATCAATTTATGGTGGCCGTGTAGATAATACATTTGATTTAACTGTATTAAATTATTATCTTAATTCAATATTCAATGATGAAATAATAAGAAATCTTCAACTTGGTCCATTCAAACTACCCGGTACAATTGAATTGAAAGTAAGTAGGTTGAGAATGTTTCTTTTTTTAATGATGTAACAAGTTAACTGTCAGTACCTGACAGTTTTTTTTATTCTTTCACGTTCCCAGTGGAACATAGGGCTTCAAGCTAGAGGCTTGAAGTTTCTGTAGCAGTGTTTATTTTTACAGGATGGGGTTGCTAGCCTCATGCCTAACCTTTCCTCTTTACCAGCTTTCTTACTGGCTTAGCCAGGTAAAGGAGTGCGTCAGCCGGGGATCGAACCCCGGACCATATGTATGCTCGGCCAGCGTCCTAACCACTGTGCCACGGATGCATGGTACCTGACAGTATGGTAATTTAGAATGTAAGGAAATCATAAATATGAGGTGTAATTTGTACAGAATTGTCCAAATTGATTGGTTTAGTTTTTTTATGGGATAAGTTAAAGAATAAAAAACCCAAATGAACTAACGAATACATCAGTGGATGTATTGGGGAGGTAAATTTGGACAAGGCAGTGAAACTAGGTGAGTAACTCTAATGGTGGAAAGCAGTACTGAGTTGAGTACCTCAGGGAACTATACTTGGCCCTCTGCTACTTCTGTTATACGTAAATGAACTACCAAAAATTATTACTTAGTCTTCTTTATTACTTGCAGACGATATTAAGATACTAAAAACTGTAATAATTATGACGATAGGTTGGTATTACAAAACGACCTAGATAAATTAGCTGAATGGGCTAACCCTCGGAGTCTGGAAATTAATTCCAAGAAAAGTGCAGGTCAGAGGTCTTACACGTTGTACTCCCTGGGGGACACAGAACTGCCGGATGTTAAGGGACCAAAAGACTTAGGAATTATTGTAAGCCATGACTTAAAAACAAGGGCAAATTTTAATGGATCCGCAGCTAAGGCCTTTAGAATGCTATGCTCACTTCGAAGGGCTTTTAAACGAAGAGATGAGGGTATGTTCCAACTACTCTTTGCAACATATTTCAGACCCCATCTAGAATACTGCATACAAGTGGTGAGTCCATGTTTCGAGAAGGAAACATATATCCTGGGAAGAGTACAGAAGATAGGAACCAAATTAGTTACTGGTATCTCACACCTTCCTTGAGAAAGAGGATGGCGTATTTAAATCTCTTCCCATAATCATACCGAAAGGATAGAGGCGACTTAATTTTGGAATACCATGTATTTAAAGGGTAATTTAAGGACTGACCTTTGTTATATTTTCTCTCCCTCTAGGATACATTTACGAGGTCACCACAAAAAGGTACTTAAATCGAGGACAAATAAAATACGTGTGAAATTTAAATTCGCATAGAGTGGTCAACTAGTGGAACTCCTTACCTAATTCAGTAGTAACAGCTCCATTGATGAACTCTTTCAAAGAGAAATTAGACCTCTGCAGAGATATATATTGCAAGGATTAACAAAGGCAAAAAGAGCCTTTTATCCTTATTATCTGAATCTGAAAGAAATTTAAGAATATCAGACTAGATATCTGTTAAGTTTAAGGGTGGGTTAGGCAAAGATTCGTGTTAGACAGGGATAGACTAGGATTAGGCTAAGGTTAGGTCGTGAAAAGATTGGGGTTAGGGTTAAGGTTAGGTTTGCGATAGACTATTGTTATAGGATGTATTGTGGTCCCCTTAAATTTGCATTTTTCATGAAACTGGCTTATCCCAAGTCACTGGTGTTTTCCTTCTCTAACTTTGAACACAATTTATTCTTCATTATCACATCATTTATAATCACACAACTTTGAAACTTGAGTTTTATAGTTTTCTTCATTCTTTCTTACTTGTCGTAGGGGTAGTAGAGTTTTCCAGATGTCCGGGTGGACAAATGTTGAATCATTCCTGTTGCACTTGTTTGCAGTTGATTCGATAAATAAAGCTTCCATATGGTTGTGTGTAACTGCATGTAGTACTAGAGCTGAACTATTCTCTAGATTTCTTATCTTATTTGAGTCAATTAATCTAGATTTTGCTAGGTTTTTTTGCTTCTCCGCTAGTCTTACTGATTGGTTAATATGATTACAAGCAATAATTTGTGCTCAAAAACGTCATCCAGTCAATAATATTGTATCACTCATTGTGTGTTACATCAAATAAAATTATCTAATATAGAATTATATTAGTAAATTGTGTTGCTTAAAAGCTTCTGATGAGAAACTGATAGAGACGTATTTGTATTATTTATCACTTTGTTATTCATATGATATATGTGTCCAAGGTGTAGATGTAGCTGGTCGCCTTAAGCATTCAACTTACAAACGGTGGGTCCAGAGTTCGAATCTCGTTCCACCTGCTTTTGTCTGTGTAATTGGGTAGTATCACTAGCCATCTCACAACCAGTGTGGTTTATAGGCCAAACCGTACAGTTGACTTCTAACAAAACTAACTGTCAAGTGAAATTAATAAAGAGGTAAGAGGTGAGGAAATAGACTTAGGTCAAGTTAAAAGGATATATTCAAGGTTAAAACAACAATGAAGACCACTAAACCAAATAGCAGAGGTAACAGTACATCTGCTATGGTATCAAAACAAAATTTACCAAGAAAGGTTTAGTGTGATGACGAATAGTTTCTGAACGCATAAAGGTGGTTTAAACTTCCCAATCACTAGCTGGGGCTTCCACAAACTTTAGGATACGCGCTCCCCCAAATACGTTTTATAGATAGGTTTAAAAGATGTGTTAACGTCAATTTTATGTCCTGTCTCTATAATATGTTTCGCAATAGAAGAGCTAGGTCTCCTGTTCTCACCGTTAATAGGTTCTGAAGATTCCATTTGTTTCTGGAGCCATTTAGGAATATGCTCTGAAGCCCTTACTTGCAGAGATCGATGAGTCCTTCCTATGTATGTGTGTCCACACGTACATTCTATTTCCTCACCTCTTACCTCTTTATTAATTTCATATATATTCCTATGACAAGTCCGTGTGTGATCAGATTGTTCGAAATGTGTTGAGCAAATACATTACACTATTCAGACAAATTACGTCTTCTTATTGCTTTATCTAAATTCATAAAGGGAACTAATTGTTTTAACTGTCAGGTATCGGTTTTGTAGGGGTTTTGTTTGATTGGTTGGAGGATTTCATCATGAGCTGACATCAGTTAAAGAACCATTGGAAAACCACCTGGGAGTATTTTACAGCTGTTTCATCTGCCCTAGTTTGGAACTCTTCAGCAGTACGCACCCACCGGGGTTCGGACCCAGGACCTTCTGGTTACAAGGCCAGTGAGTTCGTAGACCATCAAGCCACAGGGACCCGATCCAATCGCCAAACCATGAATTCCAAATTCTGCCAATTCATGACATAGCTGCACCCCACTGGTCACGCCCTCCCACTAGAACCCCAGGTAAACTGCCTGAATTGGGCCAGTCGCTAGTGAGCATCAAATCATTTGTGTCAGATAATACCATCATAGTGTCACATTCATTTCTATTACCACTATTCTAATTTATATCCATACCTTCAAACTTTACTTATCTCAGGATTATTTCCTCCAAATCGACGCTCTACCAGCACATGATTTACCAAGATATTTCAGCTTGCCGCCAAACATTGACAGTAGTTTACAACGTAGTGAAGCGAATCGTATTATCGCCCAACTACGACTACTTAACAGGCCTAAAGTGGATTCAGAACAGAAATTCGATAAAAGTGTATGGAGTAAGGGATTAGAACCAATACTGATCCTATGGAAAAAACTCAATCAAGGCTTGAATTTGATTCAACAGGTAAGAAAATAAATATGAGATTCTTGAACGTGTTTTAACAGTTTTTAAAAAAAAAATGTGATTTGGGATGATATTTCACAACACATTTGTTTAGTTATTTTCGGATTAATTGAGTGCAGTATCTTTGAATAAAATATGAATGTTCAAAGAGAATTTTTTAAACCTGTATGAGATATTATTTATTTAAGGCTAAACCACGGATTGATGTCAGTTAGAGAACCATTGAAAACCACCAGAGAGTACTGGACAGCTGTTTCGCCTGCCCTAGTTCGGGAATCATCAGTATTACGCACCCGCTGGGTGTCGAACTGTCGACCACCCGGTTATAAAGAAAGCTCGTATACCATTCAGCCCCTGGGACCCGATTCAGTGGCCGGTACGTGGATTCTAACTTCTATCAATTCGTGATTTTAACGCAACCACCAGCCAATGTCATCAGTGGGAACTCTATCCCGACTCCCAACTGCATGGACCCCACTGGCCACTACTTCTCACTAGAACTCCAGGCAACTTCGTCCTGTAGCCAGTCAACAAGTGGGCATCAGATTAATTTTCAAGAGTTAGTTTGTAGCAATTCTATTTGTTTCAGGTAAGAGCACGGATTGATATTAGTTAGAGAACCACTGAAAACCAGGGAGGAGTACTAGAAGTCTGCTTCGTCGTAGTTTGGGACTCACGACTGATAATACCCACTGAGTCATGAAGAAAATAAGAAAGGAAATTTTCTTTATCGACGAAAACACTTTCAAAGGCAGGTATAGTAGTGTTTATATTTACCGAAACCGTATAGTAGTAATAGGAATGAGGTGTGATATAAGTGATACATTAACTCAAAAGTGGTTTCTAAATATAAACAGAAACTACGTAATAGTTTGAGATTTGATAAGGTGAAAACCACAATTTCGATCGTTAATCGACGTCGGTTAGAGAACCCTCGATAATCGGGGAGTACTAGACGGCTGTTTTGTCCCCGTTTAAGACGCTTCAACAGTGCACACCCAGGGTCTTCAGGTTACATGGCAAGGTCGTTGACTCTACAGTCACTGGGAGCGAATCCAACGGCTCATGAATTCTAACTTCTGCTTAGACTTCTGTCAGGACTTTAGTTCTGGCCTAATTCCAGTCTATCTTCATGGCTTCCTGTTAATTACCTCCAACAATTTGACATTGATTGAATATGGACTGCGTTAAAGATCTTTCTAGCTTGGCGATCAGACTGCAAACTACTGGACTGGAAGAATGCATTCGTTAATCGGAACCAGAGTTAAAATAACAATTTTCACTGACTGCTCAATATAATCAGATGTGCATTATAATAAAGGATTTCTTGTATTTCCCAATGAATGAAAAACAAAACTACATTGTTTTTACTGACGTTTCGCTGTTTAATGCTAATAGCTTTATCAGATGTGTTTGATAAGATTACGGGCTGTAGTGAGTGTGAATTAATCCTACGCTCATAAATGGACTTCTAAAGTGATTTGTGTCTACTCTGTTGATTTGAAAGAATTAGACATGTTTACACCATCACTAGCCAAAGCCATTGGTAAGTACCTGTCCGCACGCCCAACATGGGGGACGCCATTGATCATGACTTCCTACTAAGACTTCAGGCGACTTCATCTTCTACTCAGTGGCTGAATTGTCAAAGAGCTTGCCTCATAACGTCTTTAGATTTCATAAGGTAAAAACTCTTATTAGATGATGAGAATCAAGGTGATTGAGGGTCCACCAGGTTCAGTGAAATTTCGAAACTTATAACTGATTTTCTTTAGGATGTACGTAGTTGAAGAGAATCCACGAAATGAAACGAGCTCGTATTATTCTGACTGCAAATATATTCGTTCTTTCTTTATTCATACTGATAAAAATCACTTAAGAGGAAATTCAAAACATTCCCAAATATTACCCCTATGAGATATGTATGTTTATACATTAGAATAAGAATAATTCCTTGGGTTGTACTAGTGAGAGCAACAATAATAATTGAAACAATTGAAAGATCGCTTATCAAGTGTGAATATGGCATAGGTGGAGATTAGACACCCAGAGGGCGCGAACGCACTAATGATCCTGAAGTGAGAGATTGCTCTAAAACGCAAATTTGGGTGTCCAACTCAATTATAATCTTAATATGTCCTTGACCATGAACCCTAATATCCCCCCTCCCAATTTAGACTAACGTTGCTTTAACATGTCCGTAGCCTAAACTTAACCTTAATCTTTCCCTAGCCTAACATAAAACTAACCAGATATCCTCCTGTTTAATATCACTATACTTCATGCAACTACTCTTTTCCATGAATACATCATATTTTGTGGTGAGTGCTACTTATAATCAGATATCAGTAGTATATCAGTAAACGAATTCAGAAAAGCAACAATATGTTTCGGACACTGAAAAAAGCAGTCGAAGAACAGAACTGTGAGAAGAACGTTACAAACACTATACAGAATCCAACAAACTATCGAATGTGGTGATATTCGACCAATTTGCGAATAATGTGCAAATACAGCATTGGAGATATGGTACACCACATATATGTAAGTACAATGAGTTCGACTTTACAGACGCTACCTTCAGGCCTCATCGGTCTTTCCTGCCTTACACTTCTATGTGGTTTCAATAACTTACTTTGCTTATGCGTCTCAAGGTCATTTGCGCATTCATGCCTGTTCAGTAACTGTTTTTAACGTCGTCGAATTTCTGATGTCTCTTATTCGAGGTTAACTATGGCAGTCTTCATAAAAACTGAGCATTTCATATCTGAGAAATATAGAAGTAACTCATTGATGTCAAATAATCTATGCTGTCAACGTGTCCCAAATAAATTTTGGGCGTTTTAGGGGAAATTCGGAGATTTTTTGGGGGGAAAGCGTGCATTTCCCCAAAATATTTTATTTGTAGTCGGTTGAGGGAATTCACTAATTCCAGCCAGCTTAAATGCAACTAACTAATAATAATAATAATAATAATAATAGCAATAATAATAATAATAAACTTCACTAGTTGTTTTGTAAGGATTACATTTGTTTCGACGAGTTGAGCACGGATTGATATCAGTTAGAGAACCATTGAAAACCAAGGAATACTGGACAGCTTTTTCATCCTAGTTTGGGGATCATCGGCAGTACACAATCACTACCAGGGTTCGAACCCAGGACCTTCCGGTTACAAGTCAAGCTCATATACCATTCAGACACGGGGACCCAATTCAGTGACCGGTACATGAATTCTAACTTCTACCAATTCGTGATTTAGCGCGACCACCAACCAGTATCATCAGTGGGACATCCATCCTCACACTTGACTGGATGGACCTCACTGGTTACGACTCCTCACAAGAACTTCAGGAAACTCCGTCCTGTAGCAAATCACTAGTGAGCATCAGATTAAATTTCAATAGTTGGTTTGTAAGGATCAGATTTGTGGGTGGGTGCGTACTGCCGATGATTCCCAAACGAGGGTAGGCGAAACAGCTGTCCAGTACTCCCTGGTTTTCAATGGTTCTCAAACTGATATCAATCCGTGATCAACTCGTCAAAATAATAATAACAATAAAGCTTTATTTCAAATAATACGTGAACATACACTACAGAAATTTTCAGCGTATTTAGTTCCCAAATATTTCCTCTTCATACAGGATTTAAATGTAAATTAATAATCTGAAGTATACTATGTGATGTAGCTTTACTGCATTTGAATAAACAACCAATCCTGTACACTTCATTTCTTTCATAAATTGTACAACGTTTAGTTGGGAGCTAATTAAATATGTGCACGAGTTCATGCAGTGTTCATTTGATATATTAGCACGATTAAAACAATAAGATATACATAAGAGTTCAGGCAGCATTTTTGATGAATTGGAATTCTAGTAGCCCAGTTATTTAAACCGGCCGCCATGAGAATGTCTGGTAGCCTGTGAATTTACATGTGAAAAGTTTCAGACTAGAATGAAATAGTTGTTCAGGTCTATTTGTTAAGTAATGGGAATAGTCACTGTCAATATATACGGCCAACTGTTTCATTTCACATATTGATTAGTTCACGATGAACTTACTCACCTCACTCTTACTGTGTCCTCTTTAATGCCTACTACTTAAAAATATCCTGCTACAAAATGGTTATCCTACTAATTTTGTAAAGAAGTATGTTTCCGAAAATCTTCATTTATGAGTACAGTTCAAAAGTGACAAATTAAGGCGTAGGTTTATCAGATCAGTTGAAACAACTTCCAATGCCGTAGAACTACATACAGATCAGTTTCTCAACCAGATCGTTACTGACGCAGTGCACGGTCACATCAATGTGTGTATACAAATTCAACAGCGCATGCGGAGCTGGTTATATAGGTCGAACCACTCAGAGGAATTCATCTTTACACCCTCGTGAAAATCTTCCTGTTTCACCTAGAAAAAGTGTAACCAAATCAATAAATAGTAGCATTTTGTCTCACCTAGTAGATAGTGAACACCACATCAAAAAAATAGATGAGTCATTTACGGTTGTATATCGAGTACCAGACAATCTGCCTAAAGGTACACGATTACGTCCCTAAGCGATAGCGGAAGCTGTGGAGATTAATAAGGAAATACCGAACCTATGTGTATAAAAGAAACACATTCATCCTGTTTTTTACCCTGGGCTACTATGAGGTCAGCATGGACATAATCATCCATATTTCCAGGCCGTATTATGCCTTCCTTACTTCTTTTCACCTATTTCACTTTACTCCATTAGTACCTTTATTATGTACCAAGCTTTTGTAATTTACGTTAAGCTTACTATTTCTCTAGCATTTTATTACAGTTCACAATTTAACCTGTTTATTTTATCAATAAACTTGATATCTGTCATTCCTTGCTTGAACTTACATTCAGTTCAGTGTTTCCCATTTTTGGATATTTGTTTATATTTTGCGAGTTGATTACGGATTGATATCAGTTAGAGAACCATTGAAAACCAACTGGGAGTACTGGACAGCGGTTTCGTCCTAGTTTGAAACTCTTCATCAGTACGCACCCACCGCCAGAGTTCGAACCCAGGACGTTCTGGTTACAAGGCTAGCGAGCTCGTAGACCATCAGGCCACTGGGCCACCCGATCTAATGGCTAGTGCATGAAATCCAACTTCTGCCAATTCAAGAAATAGAGCGACCACTTCGCAATGTCGTCTTCGATGAGTTACTGCCTCACCTCCTTCAACCAATCAAACAAAACCAATACTTGATAATTTTTATTTTTGTTTGACAATCCTAATGTACACACACACAAAATAATTATGTATAAATGAGATTGTACAGCTAAGTGAATGAATTCGCCGCCGAAAAGAGACTCTTCGCTGAACTTTGTTGTTCTTCTATTCAATTTATTTCTACTATAGGGAGCAATTATTACCTTGGAATAGAGTTTTTGTTCTGTGACTCTTTTAAATCTACTTATTAGACATTCAAATTTTAAAAAGATGCTTGTCTAAATAACTGTGATGATAAAAATTACTATTCATATTCTTTACAGTCACGATCTTCTAATCAAATCAATAAATTCTCCAGCTCTAAATCAAACAACTACAATCACAGTCATCATCAAAATCATGAGAATGAAGGTATTTTGAACAGTAGAAATTCACTTCAAGAATTTCTACAATTAGAATTACACAATGCACTACAACTTGTTCAAGCTGTACATTCTAATTTGGCTAGTTTGTCAAGAGCTTGTCGAGGTAGTCAACTGGTAACTGATGTTTTGCATCAATTAGCTGGCAGTATTTTACACGGTGAAACGCCGGAGACTTGGTTATCACAATGGCCTGAAGGACCAAGTGAAGTTGTTCCTTTTCTAAAAGATTTAATCGCTAAATCAAATACTGTACAGGTAGGTTGTTCATTCTGATTTCTTAAAAATCATAATTTTGGCGATAAAATTCGGATATGTTTTTTAGGTAGCTTGATTGCGAAGTTTTCACTGACTTTTTAGACAACATCTTCAGTTCATGAACTGTGATAAGTACTAATATTGATCAAAGTGAGCGCCCCCTTCAATTCCGGGCCCAAGAACATAAACTTGTAGTAAGAGCTGGCTGCGAACAAGCCAAAATTGTAGACAGCAATTTACGTCAATGTCACGTTTCGAATCGGGATCATGAGAAAAACAATAACAAGGTTTAACCTTAAGGAACTCACCAACCAATCACAGCAGACTTAACGTGTGCAAATAAGATTCGCAGATATATGGCTTAACTTTCTGAGAAACGGTCATAAGCAATACAGAATGACCTTCAGCAAGAAAACAACCAATAAGAAGAGGTTGCCTCTCCACCGACAAAAATGTGCATAAAGATCAATAGATACCTCTTGATTATCTCATTAAACGATCTGTTGCCTGGCCCTTGTCTTCTTTCGTTACAGACTTACTGTCAAAGGACACGAGATCTTTCCTTCAAATTAATATTCACGTAGACTGGAAAAATGTGAAGATTTTGACCTTTGGAAACAATAAAATATGCTTTGGAATCCCTAGAAGCCCGCTACTCAGAAAAGTCAGTGCTCAACAGAGACATTATGCTATAGATCAAATTTATCAACTAATTAAGGATAAACCACATGACAAAAAGTCAGATTCTAAGTCAATAGAAACGATCAATACGAATGCAAACTAACAACCAATCACAACAAAGGTCATCGGAAGAGTGATAGACAATATCATTCACTTCACATCGAGGCATACGCTGGAAATGTTATCTAGAGAGATAATGAAAGTTTCATAATTAAATTATCCAAATCAGAGAACATAATGACATTAAAATCATCCATCTGAGCTACAAATTTTCACTATTATTTTAATATTTGAAGTATTAAAACGGATTTTATGGGCACATTATGGATTGTAGCACAGGCGCTATTGTCCATTCTTTCAGAAAGGATTCTGACATTGTTTGAGGTTATCTTTGCTTCATTGTGGCACAGTAGAGGAGTATGTACTTCAGGTTTCATCTTTATTACAGTGTTACGTTTCTTGACTTACTTTATGTTTCCCGCCTCCTCCATCTTACGTCATTCATTAGCCTTTTTCACTCCTCCGCGTACCTAGTGGAACATATGGCTTCAAAGTTTGAGATCTGAAATTTCAGAAGCCGTGATGCTGTTTTTATGGGGTGAGGTTGTTAGCTGCATACCCAACCTTCCATCTTCTCCATGCTTACAGCCAGCTAGCTAATAAACTAGTTGAGATTTAGGTGAAGTGCGTTGACCAGGTATTGAACCGTGGGACACGTGTGTGATTGGCAAACATCCTACCATTGGACTACTGATGCACTCTCAGTCCATAGTGATGTAACTTTCATTCAATTTTGTTTCCTTTTCGTCGCTTTCTGATTGATTTGTAGATATGTGGTGTGGCAATGCAGTAGCTCCCATCTGTTATATTACAATAATAGAAATGTCTAGACCAGATTGAGTTAGCAATTTCCAATTTATATAGTTTAAGGTGAAACTTCACTACAGTTTCCTGGGGATGTCGAAGTTATTCAGATAAAAATATGTTGTGTGTTTGGTGTCGTAAATGGCAACCAAGAAATCAAACATAACTGCAATTAAGTGTATACTATTACAGTGATGTTTACTAGCCACCCTGCCTGAAGTGACCTAAAACACCGAACGGTCGTTCAGCTGTTTTAAGGCCTTGCTCATCAGCAGTGTACCCGGCTAACGACAGGTCGATACTAGTTAGATAGTCACTGAAAAAACTAGGAAGCACTGGGTAATTGTTTCTTCTTAGCTCGGCTATCTGAAGAGTGAGAACCCATGCTTACGTCTACAATGATCAAACGGAGAACCTGTGGGTTATACGCGGCGGACACACTGACCTATCAGCCTCTTGGTTGAGATCTATTGACATGCGGCTAGCAACTAACTTTTCTAGATTTCTAAAATAGATGATAAATATAAAGTTAGTTGAAACATCTAAATAAGTAGAGACACGGTAATTAGATCTTTCAGGAGGGATTTTCCAAATAATTATTGCGTTACAAATCTATCTCTGAGTGATTTCCCATTATATTTCGACCTTAGAGAACACTTAACTGTAATAAAAACTTATTTTTCGTTAGTTATTTGATACTAATTCACGGAACCAGTTTAGAAATCTTCTACTATCACTCACTCAGTCAGGCAGCATAAACGACAAGATTCGGTTTCTGTTCAACACAAATGTAAAGTCAGTCAGTCACTGCTTCTATATCGGTCAGAAACTTACAGGGCGTGTCATGCAAAGCATTTCCAACAGCTTGTTGCAGACTTTTATCAACAGCTGCCTTCGCCGGCTCCATTCTGAAGATCAAATGGCTGGTGGACAGAATTAGCAACAAGAAACTCTGGCAATCAACCAACCAAGAGCTGATCTCTCGGCTAATATGTAGGAGAAAATGGAGATGGACTGGACACACGTTAAGGAGGCCCTCTAGTGGAATCCCAATAGGAAGCGACGATTGGGTCATCGCTGAGCGGCTGACATGGAGGAGATCGTGCGAAGAGGAAATGAGAGACTATGGGCAAGTGTGGGGTAAGCTGAAGAGGATGGCAGAAATTAGAAGAACGTGGAGATATCCACCGGTTGAAGCCCCATGTTCCACTGCGAACTTAAGGGAATAATAATAATAATAATTCCTGGAGCTAATCAAATTGTTTTGTTGTATATAAAGTCTTTATAGAGACGCACTGTAAAACTTTGTGCTTCGGTGGTTCAGTGGGGTAGAATGCTTACTGACCACACATGTAGCTCAAGGTTCGATCCTCGGCCGACGTACTCCTCCTAAACCCCGCCTAGGTGTCAGTAAACCTGGAAAAAAAGGAAGTATAAGCGCAATATCGCTTGAAATTAAGTCACGCGTAGATAAAGGCTATCCCGGTCCAGAACAAACAAGAAGCCGGTCACTGTTTCTACGGTACTATTAATAAACAAATCAATAATTATATATAACAAACCTTAACGGTTTCAAGAGTACAAAGCACAACGCTTAACAGAAAGCAAGGTACCGCTATCAGAGCGGAATAACGTTAAAGCCAAAATTGCGAACTAGCCGGAATCAGACACGACCGTTCAGGTAAGCAGTCAGTAGAAGAATGAACCCAAGTAAGAGATAGACAGAGCACAGGCCGACGCACTCTTTTACCTCGCTAAGCCAGAAATAATGCTGGTAAAGAGGAAAGGTTGGGCATGAGGCTAGCAACCCCATCCTGTAAAATGAGCACTGCTACAGAATCTTCAAGTCACTAGCTTGAAGCCCTATGTTCCACTGGGGAACGTGAAGGAAAAAAAATAGGCACAAAGAATTTAATTGGATACTTAACCAGTTAGGCTGATACAGATGAAGATCAATAAATAAGATAAACTCGACAGAATAGTACAAAGTAAGACATGGGTCAGCAAAATAACAGTTCACAAAAATACTCTGATTGGGTCATGAGTTCAACTGTCTGACTAAACGGATCGATGTAAAACACACACACAGTTCATTAAACAAGGGGGGATAGACACGTTAGGCATGGATAATTGGGTTGCAACAACGCTAGGCTGATCCGGGACAGGTTGACTTGATTCAAGGATGTGATGAGTTGATCTTACAGGAAGTTTGCAACCCTACTCCATAAAAATAAACACCACAAATACTGAAACTTCGAACGAAGCTGATACTCGAAGCTCTATTTTCCACCGGTGATTTCAAAGGAGTAAAATAGTAGTATTAGTAATAATAATGCTAATTTCAATCAATAACACGTTAACTATTGTGTTTCTTCAAATCATATCTCGCAGTACACGATCAATATTTCTCTCATTTACGAGTTATTTGTCTGATCCTTGAAAACGTATTACTACTAATATAAAATCAAAGGATAAGAGATAATAGGATAATTATCTGAACAAAGTTTGAAAGTTATCTGAGTGAATACCTTGATTCTAACAATGACATATAAGTAGTAATAAATTGTACTTGAAACACGTTATCGGGAAATGAATCATACTGTATCACTACTCCATGAGTGTGTGCGCGCTTTTATCAAATAAATGTATTCTATGATGTTTGCACAGATCTACAAATCGTCAAACAGTCTCACTACTTTTAAAAATGTCGCCTACACAGAATGGAATGATATGTTACAATTCTCAAAATATTTCGAACAAAGTAAAAACAAACCATTATATAACAAATGTCACATGTAATGAACTAACTGATCTATTGCACTGTGTACAGACATTATTGATCCTGTCTGGTTTATAATTTTATCATTATTATTATTATTATTTGGATAGTGTTATTAGAAGACGGAGATTATCTGAAAAATGTGATGTATTTGCGCTATACATTTCGAACAATCTGATCACACATTTACTTGTCAAGTCGATATATATGAAAAAAATTAAGGGCAATTAAATTAAACAAAGTGACAAAAAAGGGATTTAAGAATGATTAACACAACGTTTGGTAATCCAATCAAATAAGGATTACCAAGGTAGGTGGGTTAAGAGTAATAATAAACTGTTTTGGAACGCACAGGAGATGGGAGGGAGTGAGCTTAAGTTTATGAATAGCTATAGCCTCAGCGTATTTCAATAAGCGCCCTTGATCATTTTTATAGATGACCTTAAAGCTGTGTTAACATCAATCTTATGGTTCATCTCGATTAGATGTTTGGCTATAGACGAAGTTGGTAGTCTGACACCTGCGTCTATTGATTTTCCACAATTCATTTGTTTTTCTAACCATTTTGGGATATGCTCTCCCACCTTCACATGCAAAGCACGATTACTCCTCCCTATGTATGTGTGTCCACACACAAATGAAAATTGGTAAGTAGTGTGAGGTGTGACACAGTCACTTGTGCACTTTTGAGGTTTGCAGTGGAGCATGTTATTGGCTTTTTCGATAATTACAAGCCGGGCTGCATAATAGGTTCTACGAATGACCGAATTCAACCTTTGTCTCAAAATCCTACTGTTTATTTCTCCGTCATTAGGTATTTTGATGAAGATATTTTTTCTTAAGGGCGGTAAAATTGTAGGTTTAAAAGTTTTAGAGAGTATCCGTTTTCAACAAGAGTCTCCATCAGGATTTCATTTTCTTTGTCTATAACATCAGCCGTGCAAATACGTTGAATAGACATTTCACCAAGCCTCTCTTATACTGTAATGAACAGAAACTATGAAAATTAAGGTATTGCCCTGTCCAAGTGGACTTTCTGTAAATTGATCGTCTTATTGAACCATCATCTCTTCGACTCAGAAGTATGTCTAAAAATGCAAGCTGGTTGCGACTTTCTTCCTCGCATGTAAGACTTATATGATTCTGTACAGAGTTAAGTCTGTCTAATAGATGAATCACGACCGACGTGAAGAACCTAGAAGACATGGATTTCGCGGATGATTTATGTTTGATGTCACACAAAACGGAAGACTTACAAGCGAAAACCGACAAACTGGTCGAAGAAGCAGCAAAGACAAGACTCCAGGTGAACATAGACAAGACGGAGGTTATAAAAATAACCAACCAACAACAACAACAGCAGCAGCAACGTCCAGCGCCAATCACCATCAACGGGAGAGATTTGAAAGAGGAGGCCGCTTCATTCACTTATCTAGGGAGCGTTGTCTCAACTACAGGAGGAACGCATGAGGATGTCAAATCGAGATTCGGGAAGGCGAGAAACACATTCATCAACCTGAAACCAATCTGGAAATCTTCGTCACTCAGCCTGCATCAACAACAAAATTCGAATTTTCAATACAGACGTCAAGTCAGTCAGTTCTTCTATACGGATGGATCAGAAACTTGGCCAGTGTGTCACAAAGAATATTTCCAACAGCCTGTTGCAGACCTTTATCAACAACTGTCTTCGCTCTATACTGAAGATCAGATGGTCGGAAAGAATCACCAACAAGAAACTATGGGAAGAAACAAAACAAGAACCAATCGCTCAACAACTATGCAGGAGAAATTGGAGATGGATTGGACACTCGCTGAGAAGACCGCTGGGTGACATCGCGCATCAGGCCAGTGCTCGAGTGGAACCCGAAAGGGAAGCGGCGAGTGGGACGTCCAAGGGTGACATGGAAGAGATCGTGTGAAGAGGAGTTGAAACAGTATGGACTAACCTGGATGCAGATGAAAAGTACAGCAGAAGACAGAAGCTAGCGGAGACGTGCAGTTGAAGCCCTGTGTTCCACTAGGAATCCAAGGGAACAATAATAATATAATAGATGACTCGTATCTTCATGATCGTCGCATAACAAAATGATATCACCTACATGTCTTATGTTGAGAACTTGTCCCTTGATTTAATTTCTAAATCGCCCTTCTATAGAAGATATGTAGATGATATCATTTTGATATATGACGATCATAAAGATGCGAATCGTCTATTAGACAGACTTAACTCTGTACAGAATCATATAAGTCTTACATGCGGGAAAGAAAGTCGCAGCTAGCTTGCATTTTTAGACATACTTCTGAGTCGAAGAGATGATGGTTCGATAAGACGATCAATTTACAGAAAGTCCACTTGGACAGGGCAATACCCTAATTTTCACAGTTTCTGTGCATTACAGTATAAGAGAGGCTTGGTGAAATGTCTATTCAAGAGGATTCAACGTATTTGCACGGCTGATGGTATAGAAAAAGAAAATGAAATATCGACTTGACAAGTAAATGTGTGATCAGATTGTTGTTCAAAATGTGTAGCGCAAATACGTCACACTTTTCAGATAATCTCCGTCTTCAAATAACACTATCCAAATTTATAAAAGGGACTAAGTGTTTGAAATATTATTATTATTATTACTATTATTATTGTTACTAGTAGTAAGACAATTTAGTAATTAATTAATTAATAGTAAATAATGCTTTTTTTCTCTACTGTTTATCTATCAGACATGGGCTAAACAAGCAGAGACAGATCAATTTCTGCGTGAACAAAATGAAAATGGCTTAGATTTAGCCAGCCTATTTCGTCCAGCTACATTTTTAAATGCATTACGTCAACAGACAGCCAGACAATCGAATATATCGATTGATATGCTGAAATTGTCATGTCAATGGATAACACAGTCTTATACTCATAGAAATAATAATAACAGTAATAATGATACTAATAATGCTAAATCTATACCAATACGCATTACAAATTTGAAATTAGAAGGCGCCAACTTTCGAAATGGTCAACTGAGTCAAAGTGATCCAGAGGATCCAACAATTATCAAACTGCCTGATATTATTTTGAAATGGATTCCTAAAGTAATAGTTATTTGTAAATTTTAGAGTTTCGTTTGCATCATAGTAAATTGGAATGTTTTTTTTCTCAAGTTTTGGTTGGCAGAGATTTGATTGGTTACAGGTCTGATCACGAACTCATCGTATAACCAGAATGCCTCCAAAGCCTCAGGATGGTCGGGGTTGGGTGCCTCGGGTTGGCCACCCCTCCACACACCTCTTGAAATGCTCCCATATGACCGGGCGTCTTACATAGCCTCTCCTGAGGATGTCCTACTCACTGCCTTCACGTGGCGGAGGTGTTTTTCACCAAAGTGAGAGGGCGAAAGCGGATGCCCGGCGCTCTTCACCGGGTTGACTGTCCACTGGATGACAGTCTAGGGGAGATGGCTAAACCCTGATTCCAAACCTCCAACGACTGGCGTATGAAGCTCACTGGAGCCCACCGGCAGACGTATGGACAAAGGGCTTGTTGGGTGTCCTGGATGTCTGGCCCCATTCAAAAAGGCGTATAAACCAAACTCCGGTCACCGGCTGCCAATGGATAGTGGACTCCCTACTCCACTCCTACTGCCTTGTAGGTCACACTTGGTTGTGTAAAGGCTAGAGCTGCACTCTCAAACAAAAGGCCGAGCGATTCTGGGGACATCACTCGTACCAAATTCCCATGAAACCTCATGAACTCTCTTACAAACAACTCTCACCATGCTACGGTGGTACAGTCAAGGCTGATATGGAGTGCCTGGGGCTACAAACCGTCTACGGACTCCGTCTGTGGAACAAGAATTGGATAACCCTGTCGCAAAACCTTGCATCAGATCGCCGCGCCTGGGCAGCGATGATTCGAGATGTTTATGAAACCGGCTCATCCTCCCATAGGAGATAGCCGAAGTAAAGTAAAGTAAGTAAGTAATGCCCTGGTTTTGGTACCTTAGTGGGTACGTACTGATGAGGTGTCTCAAACTAGGATGAAACAGTTGTCCAGCACTCCCAGATTTTCCAGTAGTTCCCTAACTGATTTCATCTCATGAATGAAATTCAATATTTTCGTCTTTTCAAAGTGTAGACACATTTTTTTTGAAATTTATTGGATTAAAGTTGAAATCCTGAACTATCTATTTTTGTGTAATCGTTATTCATTGGTGAAGGTCAGGAGGACGCTTACATTCTTCTCAGTCTTACTGCCGTCAGAATAAAATTCGCATTTTAATTTAGTTGACGGATCAAAATCAGTTAGAGAACCATTGAAAACCAGAGACAGCTGTTTCCTTCTAGTTCGGGACTCTTCATCAGTACAGTACACAACCATGACCTAACCTCTAGTAATCGAAGTCAAGGTTACGAAGCGAGCCTGATGAGCATTCAGGCACTGAAGGAGAATCCAGTGGCTAGCCCCTTAAAAATCTAAATTCTGTGATTTCATGATCGTGTTATTTGCTCGGCCTTAAAAGCAAAAGGTTTTTGATTTTCACGCATTCGAATTTTGTCTGATCAACCGTGTACAAAGTGATAGCCATCATCCATTTTCTAATAAAAAATAAGATTACTACCAGACCAGTGGCAGAACAATGAATCGTTTGTGTTAATATCTTAATCATATACAGATTCACATTAGTCTAATTGATTTCTTCGTATGTGTGTGTGTGTGTCGAGTCACACTTAGTTGTGTGGTTATGTTCTCTGAGCTGGGTGATTTAACTGCGAAGCTTTCATTTTCTTTCTGGACAGTATCTTCATATCGAGCCTATTTGAATTCTCTATGAATCCCATAAATGTCTCTCGTCTCTTGACGGATGACTTTTGTTACAACTGACTGTTAATTTGAATTAGTATTGATTGTTTTTATCGACTTCGAATTTGATATTTTACTTGTCATGTGACAGAGTCACATTGTTAAGATACATGAGGAGACGGATTATTTATCAGTCAGTGGCTTCTTTTTTATGTGTAAGCTGTGCATCAAAATATACGATCTTAATCTAGATCAAAGATTGTGCCATTGAATTTTGTCGGCATGCTACTAAGCAGTTCGAATACAATAATTACTATTATTACTATTGTGATCAACTCGTAAAACATAAATAATCCTTACAAACCAAACTATAGAAAATTATTCTGATGCTCGCTAGTGACTTGCTACAGGTTGGAGCTTCCTGGAGTTCTAGTGAGAAGTCGTGACCAGTGAGGTCCAATTAGAAGTCACGTGTGTGGATGGATGTCCCACCAACGACAATAGTTGGGGTCGCGCTAAAATCACGAATTGGTAGAAGTTAGAATTCATGAGCCATTGAATTGGATCCCAGTGGCTGAATGGTATACGAGCTTGCCTTGTAACTAGAAGGTCCTGGGTTCGAATCCCAGTGGGTGCGTACTGCCGATGATTCCCAAACTAGGATGAAACAGCAGCTGTCCTGTACTCCCTGGTTTTCAATGGTTCTCTGACTGATATCAGTCCGTGATCAACTCGTAAAACATAACTAATCCTTACAAACCAAACTAGAGAATATTATTATTACATTGGTTTCCGAGTGGAATGCAGGGCTTCAGAAACACATCGTCTTTTTTTACTGACTCCACAACCGCCCATAGACTTTGATTTTCTCTTCTCGTGATTTCCTCTATGTGACACTCGAACCTATATGCCCAACACAACGTTTTGCATTCAAGCCTGATGCGTGACTTTGCTCAGCTATCTTCTCAACGTATGTTAAATCCATCAGCACTTCCTTCTGCATATTTATTGACTAATAGGTTCTTGACTAGTCCACTGTAGTGTCAGAGTTATTTGTTGATGATCCTTTATGACCGCTTATCTGATCTTTAGTATTGTGAGAAGGTATCTGTCAATGGAAGTCTACAACAGCCTGTTGAAAATGCTCCTGATGAAGCACACCACAAGTCCCTCAATCATCCAGAAATTCCGAGTGACTTGACATTAGTGTTAACGATCCAGATCTTATTCCTTATGCTGAGTGAGTACGTTAGATTCCCATACCGATTCCAAAGTGATGAAAGTCTATCTTCCTTTTCCAATCCTATCTAACTTTGACAATCTCATCTGTGCCACCTGTTGTCGAAAAGATACTGCTTAGGCAGGCGAAACAAGTGACTTCCTTCAAATTTCTCCTGTTGATGGTGATTGGTACCTGTTGCTGCTAATGTCTTTTCTATGTTCAGATGGAGTCGAGCCTTGGTTGCCTCTTCTGTCAACTTGTTAACTTCCATCTGTACACCTTCGAGTTTGTATGACATTAGATACAAGTCGTCCACAAGGTCTGAATCTTGTACATTCTTCTTGTCGACCGAATGTATTCCCGTCTTCTTATAACCCACTGTAAGTTGACGACAATCAGGAATAACATCGGTGATAGTATGGTGAAAGCTGGCTGCTAGCCAAATAGGTAGACAGTTATTTACATCAATGTTTACGTCCCCAATATTAGTTGTAAGAAAAATAAGAACAAAAACTGATTCAACAACCAGTCACAACAGACTTTGCGTAGGCGGATACAGTTTGCAGATAAATAATCTGAACTTCAAGAAACGGCCACAAACAGATGAAAGATTAACGTTCAGCGAGAAAACATCATTCAGAAGACTGTGTTTGTTTGCTTACAATACTTTATAATAATGTACATGAAAATCTATAAATATGTGTTGATTTCGTAAATAAACGATCTGTTGCCTAGCCCTTGTCTTCTATTGTTACAATAGTAGTGGGCAGACTGGTCTTCCCTTCAAATGCTTCACAGAGCATTTCATTGTGAACCACCTGACATGTAGTCTCATCATATAGCAATTGATTTAAGTTTATCAAAGTTTTTGTCACAGTTGACTGCCATTCTATTCAGTGTGCGATAATAATGTGTAGAGTTCCAGTTTACTATTTAAATGACAACAGCAGCAGCATCCAGTGCCAATCTCCATCAACGGGAGGGATTTGAAAGAGGTTACTTCTTTCACTTATCTAGGGAGCATTGTCTCAACTACATGAGGAATGGACGAGGATGTCAAATCGAGACGACAGTCGGGAAGGCGAGAAACACATTCATCAACTTGAAACCAATCTGGAAATCTTCGTCACTCAGCCTGCATCAACAACAAAATTCCGATTTTCAATACAAACGTCAAGTCAAGTCAGTTCTTCTATACGGATGGATCAGAAACTTGGCGGGTCACAAGGAATATTTCCAACAGCCTGTTGCAGACCTTTATCAACAACTGTCTTCGCTCTATTCTGCTGAAGATCAGATGGCCAGAAAGAATCACCAACAAGAAACTATGGGAAGAAACAAAACAAGAATCAATCGCCCAAGAAATATGCAGGAGAAAGTGGAGATGGGTTGGACACTCGCTGAGGAGACCGCTGGGTGACATCGCGCGTCAGGCCATTGCTCGAGTGGAACCCGAAGGGGAAGCGGCGAGTGGGACGTCCAAGGGTGACATGGAGGAGATCGTGTGAAGAAGAGTTGGAACAGTATGGAATAACATATTGTTGATACCGGACATCTCGTAGAGATCTCTAAGTCCTTCAAAATATTAAATAGACAAAGGACAGCAAATTTACTAAGATTTGCCGAAGTGATCGCAATCAAACGATTTAAACCAGACTTATGCATACAGAAAGAGAGTGTGATTAACCTCTCACTCCCTTGGTAACTGAATTTTGATTTTGATTAGTCATCAGTGATCTCAACTCACTGAGCAAATCTCAATCTTATAAACTGTAAATGCTTTTGTTTTTTGGAGTTGCCATGTGAACCTACAAGCTAACACTGTTTCTGTTAATCAATTTTTCTATTTTCTGTCTTACCCCTACCCCCTCTTTTCAACTCTGAAAGTGTATAAATTGATGATGATAACTTAAACTAAAAATTGTAATGCTTTCATTCTTTTTTGGATGCGTCAAATTTATCTCTTCTCTACTACTAATCAAACATTAAAGTATGTTATTATCATTTATATAACCATTGTAATTTCAGGTAGTCTGCAGCTGATGAGAACCTGTGAAATAGAATGATATCATTTTATACTTCAAATTTCGTCTTCCTTTCTTTATCGAAATTTATCAAGGGAACCAGTTGTATGAAGTCACTTGATATTATCAGTATCATGCTGTGCTGTAGTTGTACATTTTAATCTCGGTTTCACAAATTATTATTAATATTTTACGAGTTTGGCCACGGATTGATATCAGTTAGAGAACCATTGAAAACCACCTGGAAGTGCTGGACAGCTGTTTCTTCTGTCCTAGTTTGGGAATCATCGGCAGTACGCACCTACCACCAGGGTTCGAACCCAGGACCTTCCGGTTACAAGTCAAGCTCGTATACCATTCGGTCACGGGTAGCCGATTCAATGGCCAGTACATGAATTCTAACTTCTACCAATTCGTGATTTAGCGCGACCACCAACCAATGTCATCGGTGGGAAATCCATCCTCACACTTGACTGGATGGACCTCACTGGTCACGACTTCTTACTAAAATTCCAGGAAACTCAGTCCTGTCACAAGTCACTAGTGTGCATCAGAGACTGGTCACCCCTTTTGTTCTATTGTGGCTCGATTGATGGTAACTCGTGGGTATCTGGCAATGCAAGGTTTGATTGTTCTAAACAGGTTGAACCAATCGCTCAACAAATATGCAGGAGAAAGTGGAGATGGATTGGACACTCGCTGAGGAGGCCGTTGGGTGACATCGCACGTCAGGCCATCGCTCGAGTGGAACCCGAAAGGGAAGCGGCGAGTGGGACGTCAGTGCAAGGGTGACATGGAGGAGATCGTGTGAACAGGAACTGAAACAGTATGGATTAACATGGATGCAAGTGAAAAGCACAGCAGAAGACAGAAGCAAGTGGAGACGTGCAGTTGAAGCCCTATGTTACACAAGGAACCCAAGGGAACAATAATAATAATAATTTAAATGACATATAAGCACTGAGAACAATTATTACAGTTTTGAAATAATCTTTTATCTTAGTATAAACTAGTTAGTATCTGACACCTGCGTTAAATCTATAATATTTTTTATATTTCTGTAGAATGAACTGGATCCACTCTGTGAGAATGATTCAATCTCTTTACCACTTTACTTGAATAATACACGTGACAATTTAGTAACATATATTCGTGTACCATGTCCTCCAGGAAGTCAAAATCAATGGATTCCAGCTGGAACAGCTTTATTACTTAGTTGTGTATAATTTCAAATGCAAAAATTAGTGATAATTAATCGATATATACGCATATATATGCACTAAAGACTAATTATATATTTATTGAATGATTTGATTGATTAATTCTTGTCTGTCTGACTCTATTTTTTAAACGATTCATTGATTTTTATCGTTACATAAATTCATACATGTAAAATTAATCTGTGATTCTAATTAATGTATTGCATTTCCTTAATTTCAATTTTTCTTATTTTGTTAAATTAATCAGCGGAGTTTGAAAATTATGTCATGACTGTACAGTAGTGTATTATATATTACGGAGAAAAAGGCAGGAATTGGTACGAAAAACTGCTCACTAGTCAATTTTCACAAATGATACGAATATGAAGATAATTGACATGAATTTTAAAGACTTCCACTAGCTAGTGTCTTAACGGTGAGCTTAGCGAATAGCTTACTGAAAGAAATTATCTTGAGTTAGCATGCATGGATATAGATAGATATATTGGCGGTACATTTTTAAATCTGTGATGGCAACTGTCCAGCTATCGAAGAAGGAGAAGAGGAATCAAACTACAAATTTTAGTTCTTAAATTTTATGTAGATTAAAGGATAGAATGTTTCAATAACACAGTCAGTCTACTGAAAACGGAGCTTAATATCGCAGCACATTAACTTCAACAGTTCTGTGTACCTGTAAGTTGTTATGACCGGAACTACGACCTAGTAGACTATGGGTGAATACTAACTTAATGCGCTGGCTAAGCTCTCCCAGTCGCACGTCAACAACAATAACACCAACGGGCCACAAAGATACAAGAAATGACTATATGTTGATAGGAGAGCTTTTACTGTCTCAAACAACCCTCAATGAAGGTTGACAGCGCTTGCGTGTGCATAAGTTTAAAATGACCTTGAGAAGCACTAATGTCATTAATAGATTAGGACAGGGAACAACCATTAGGATTTCAAAGGTCAATAAGTAACGTGGGAGAAAATTAGATCGTAAATCAATAAGTATAGTGAGAGAAATACAAACAGACATGTAAAAATGACATGTAGATAATTCAGTCTTTAGGGGTTGCAGGTATCGACGTTCGCGAGTTGTACGGATTATACTAACGCAAGATCTTATACCAACAACTTCTATAGTGTTCGCACTTCGAGTACCAAAGATTAAGCAAAAGACCAGATTTAGCCGTCCAAAGTACGTATTATATTTCGGTACCAAATCGCGGGTTGAAGTGAATGCTCAGCTAGCTAGTAATCGTGCACGCACGTGACACGACGGAGTACCAAATGGGGGGGATGCTTGACCGGAAGCCTTCAGCTAAACAAGTCGACTTAAACAGTGAGGGTCAGCATCCAATGTTGAGTGATGATTGCTGTGGTCAATAATTTTGGGGAATTATTTACCGCTACAAGTCTATACATCTACTTTTTATGTTCCAGAATTCTGAAAATCTTCTCTATAGATACAGTTGATCAAGAATTGAAAAACCTTTCTACAATACTCTTAAATACTGGATATCCTAAATGTGCTTATTGAATGAACATATGAGGTAAGAAATTGGTCTTAGCCAAATCATAGTGCCAAAGAGGACGCTATTTATGAATATGTCATTTAAAGGTGACACTATTGTCAGAGTGATTAAAAGTCATCTATCTAAGTGCATTAAACGTTAATTTTAAACCGCTGACTTAAACGTAGTTTTCTGTGACTGAAGTTTGATTCGACAATGCATGAGGGATAAACTACCGCTTATGTCCACGTCTATGGGCATGTACTCTTTCACATGCTCCTATGGCGCTGATTATATTCTTCTCTGAATGGAGCTTTTTTTTCTTCAATTAATCAATAAATTGACTTCCTACGTGGTTTGAAGAACTTCATTGGAACTAAATGATAACACCAAAGGAGATTGAAACCCATGTCACCTAGTGCTTCATTCAGAAAAACTGCCATTGAGTTATTCTGGCTCAGGACTAAAGTTCTGTAGGACTATAGTGGATATATTGATTGGTCGCTAGAGGTTATCAATTCCATTTGAGTTTACATATAAGCCATACTGACGAGTACCAATAAGAACGAAATCTAGGTTCAGGGGCCCCCTAGCGATTGCCTCTAATCATCTAGCAGTAATCCAGAGTGCATTACGGAAAGCACATTGTTTGTAAACCTGACAGAGAGAATTCACTCTGCACCGACATTAAGGACTAGATACGTGACATTAGTTCCCCCACCCCTCCTCACCAGGGGACTAATCAATGAATGTACTTTTTAAGGCACTTTGTTAATAAGCTTTCAAGTAATATTATTACTGCGATATCTACAATTATAAAAATAAATCTATTTACTGACCGGAATTCTAATTATGTTGTTGTTTGCATCTTTATAGTTTGAAATGAACTGATTATAGTACACTCAATTGATATAAATAAACAGTAATTATTAAAGTTAATCTGAATGAGTTTACTGAAGTAACTAGTAGCGGTTACTGGCTCGAATCCCATTGTAGTAGTGACTTCATTCCTTTGTATTCCTAGGGGAATATAGGAAATTCAAACTTTGAAGTTTCACTGACGATGGTGTTGTTTTATTGGGCGGTGGAGTTGCTTGGCTCACACTCTACTGTTATAACGGAATGTTACTGCTTTTGTGGTTGTCATCTGACATGACTAGAATGATATAATAGAGAAGATTCGTAGCTCAGGTGGATGATTTGGAATTAGTTGTGTTCTCTGAACTGCTGGTTCACTTAACTGCGAAGCTTTCATCGTCCTTCTGGACAACATCTTGAGTGCAGCTTTTAGTATAAAATAAGCCTCCAGGCATGATAATATAATCACTTGAAAAATATTCCCCACACTGAGTTAGACACAAAAGTCAGATTTAACTGCGACACCAACAACTTTTATTATTCCACAGAAATTTAAATCATAAATGGATAATTAGTGTCTCATTGATTACATGACCTTGAAGATCCAAAAATAAACCAGTGAAAAACCATCCAATCAGGTTATCAAGTCAGTGAATGCATCAATCATAACTTCGCGGCTAACAACGATCGTTTATTCATCCTAACATCTACTCTCTTTAATAGATTTTCAATTAAGGGACCACTGGGAGATATCTGCTTGTAAGTCTAAGTACTCTCTGTTTATGATACCCCCCGAAATATTGTGAAATCGTTGTTCGGTGTACAGTTGACTTAACTAGCAACAGTATAGAAGGTCAAAACAAGTGATTCAGAGAAGAGACTCTTTTCAACAACGAATTTATCATCAAGCTGTACAATCTTATATGTATATGGTTTCTAAGAAGTTATATCCGGTGAGGGAATCGAATCATAGGTGTGAATGCATAAAATAATAATGATGATAGTATGAAATGCAATTAAAACTAGAATGTTTGTGATTATAATCGTAGTTAAATGTCAAGTGGCAAAACAAATTAATGTCATATATAGAATAATTCATAGGATGGATAGAACTTGAAAAAGGGTGTGCAATTATAAGATTAGTAGACAAATCGAATAAAATAAAAACGTTACGTAATATTGTGTGAAATTTAATAGCATAGAATTTAATGTTGTAAAAACGAATTGATTTAGAATGACAAGTGGAACAAGTGAAATAATACCGGGGACAGTTAAAAGTGAGAGTAGTAATAGTAACAATCGACGTAATAAGGAAGAGTATACAAATTGAATAGACAAAAATGAAAAATTGGTAGAGCTAAAATATGATTGGGGATTACCATACTTTAGCATAGAGGGATTAAGACCATGAAAGTTGGAGGGGTTGAACGAACTTTTTCTGTACACAGAGATCTGACTTTTCTGTTTCGACAGCCAAAGCTTCGGCAATACAGATGAGTCGGGTACATAGTGATTTGGGTAAATTACTCTTTGCCTTGTAGATGAATTTAAAGGCTGAGGCTGTTTCGCCACTTGATATTTAACTATAATTATAATCACAAACATTTAAATTTTAATTGCATTTCATACTACTTTTATTATTATTATTATTTTATGCATTATAGGTGTGAATGCATAAAATAACTCACTTCCCTCACCGGTTATAACTTCTTAAAAACTATATACATATAAGATTGTACAGCTTGATAATAAATTCGTTGAAAAGAGTCTCTTCGCTGAATCACTTGTTTTGATTTTCTATCAGTATAGAAGGAATAACATTGTACTTTGGATATTGAATTCTGACGCGATTTTCTCAAAAATGTTAAGAGGAATTTGGATCGTTTCATCAGAATCAGCATCATGGAAAAGTATTTCCCAAAGTGATCACCTGTCAGTCCAGTCGATGCCGAATAGATCCAAATCATGACGACTGGCAAGATAACATATATCTTCAAAATTCTTTGAAATGAACTGGACAACAGAAGAGATTTCATCAATTGAATTTAAAATATCCTCAAAAACACTTTTGACAACATGGCACATGGTGGAGACTGGAGAGAAACCGGAGTGGAAATCTCTGCAATTGAACTGATTACATCACCTGCTTTTGCACAAATAGTGCCGTCACTAGATTTTGATGCCTTAACAGGATCCAGATTATCAATCTGATTTTCAACATCAATTTTTATGGATCCATTGAAACCAGCTGTGCAAATAATGCATCGACTGATAAATTACACTGTACTTCTATAACTGATTGGATAATAGAATCAATACTGTCAGTATGGGGATGGCTAGGTGACTACAAAGATAATTTGTCAGTAGGCCTTTCGATCCCTTTAATTTGGAAGTCTTTATACTGCTTCTGTTGCTGTTATAACAGTAACTGGAATTGTTGAAAACCCCTAAAAACGTGATCGATAACAACCCGTTGAAAATTATTGTGACCCAGATACAATTCTGAACTATACTAGAATTTCGGTTCGCTTGTCGCCAAATAAATTATGACTGCACACCGTTTCCAACGGGAGTCGAACCCCAGGCCAGGTGCGTGATTGGCGAACATTCTAGCATTGATACAATGACGCATCAATCATAATATAT